CCTCGGAAACCACTTAAAAAAATTCTAGAAAATTATATGAAAATCAGGTGTATCGCAGGTTACAAAATATAGTAAAGACTTTTATAAAAACTCGTAAAAAATCCAATTCCAAGATATAACCCCAAAAAACGCACACAACCGTGCCCGACGAAGACATTCGCTGAGACTGAGCTGTGAGGAGGACGCTGCTGTGAATTGCTATGGGGAGGTATGTGTTGGGGTGGGCAGAACGCGACGACGGCGCTCCAAATTACTGCCAATCAACTGCTAATAATACGGTAATTTTGCGCGCGGCCCCTTCTCCGCCTCTCCGGCCCGGGGGACGGCCTCGCGCTGAAAATTGCCCCCAACTTGCCGCCTCCTCCTTCTACTACATCATCCTCCTCCTTGGTCTTATTCCTTGTTCTGCTCCTTCTTCTCTTCCTCCTGCTACTGCCTCGTCCTCCTCCTTCTCCTCGCCTCAACCTCGTCCACCAACCACCGGGCGGGGCCAAGGATTGGTGGTGAAATCGGGGGAGTTTGAAATTTGAGGATCAGAATGCCCTTAGAAGGCATTTTAAGGTATTTAGAAGGTATCGTAAATGAGAAAGATGATGTCAAAGCAGACGAACATTACGGTGAAACAGGGCTTTAGGGTTTATGTAACTTTAAAGGGACTGGGACGGGGAAGCCTGCACCAAGCAGCTCTCAAAAAGCCAAGCCCGTGCTCTCTCTCCGTCTCTCTTTCCCTCTCTCTCTCTCTCTCTCTCTCTCTCTCTCTCTCTCTCTCTCTCTCTCTCTCTCTCTCTCTCTCTCTCTCTCTCTCCATTCCTGCCCTGACTACCTAAAAATCAGTGAAAATAAAGGTCGGCTCTTGGCAAGAATTCATGAAACTATGGCTCCCCTCCTTCCCCTTTAATCTCCGAAAAATGCTACTGATCTAACCAAAAAGTAAGAAAATCCTTAAACCTGTAAACGGAAGTAAACCCAGATAATTATTCCCGGGATCAAAGGTTAATCCCATCAAAAAAATATAAAACTAATAGACGTCGACGGTGGCTGCTGGTGAGGCGGTTGGCTGGTGAATGTGGAGGGCGAGTGGTGGAGCCCCAACAGGCCGCGAGGCTCCCCAAAATTGGGCAATCGCCACCCGAAATTATGTGTCATTTTCTGCAGGAACCCCCGCAGCACACAGCCCCCCATGTCTCTAGCCCCCTCTTCAAATGCCTCGATGTGAATGTGTGTACTAGGATGGGGAAAGAGTCAGACTCTCGACTACCGCTTGGCTTCTTAAAAAGGGAAAATGGGGTGTGGGGAGGGGAGAGACGAAAGAAGCTTGAGGCTTAGAAGGTATTTCATTAATGTGTAAATAGCTATGGCCTGTAGAGTGTAACACAGCAAGTCATCATCATGATCATCGTCGTCATCATGAAAACCGGAAGTGATAAAAATGCCTATTGACGTCTGTGTATAGTTCCTTACCTCACTATCTTTCCGTAAATAGGTGTATACGTCCAAAATTGAAGCTTTAAAGGATCTTGGAAGGCCCAGTACGGATTTGACGGATATGGATAGAGGACAGATTTTATCTCCAGCCTGCCACGCAACGCGCAGGCCTTTACTTACATTGCGTAATGGTACGAGCCTATGCGGCGCGTTGCGTGTCGCAGGCGCTGCTACGCCACTAGGTATGTCGTCGTAAGAAAATGCATTGTCAGGTTTTTCCTCGTATTTGTAACAACTTCACAATCCTCTCAACATTGATGCGACATTAAAATGATTCCTTCTCCGCGATTCAGAAGCCTTAGCGTCGCGGGTCGCGGCATGCGGCTATTCACAAAACCAACAGCCATGCCTTGCCGGTCCCTTTAACGACTCCACAATCCTATCGACACTCCCTACTTCCAACATCAAAAGTTATCACCCCGACTCATCACAATTCCCCCATCCCCCAAACAGACCGCCCCCCAAAATTGACGGTTACACCTCGAGAAAAACGCGCCACCCCGATGGGTAATTGGCAAGCAGCCTTCCCGGTGATTAGTACTGGTTAGAGCCTCGGGTGGCAACAAGCCCTGAGGCGTCTCAAAACTCAGATGAAGCTACTATCAGAAAAAATCTGGGAAAACTTGAAATGATGCTTGGTGAAGAAGAACTGGTTGGAATGGGTCCCGGGCGGCCATCGTGGGCCCTCCAGGGATAACTGGCGGAAATTGGGCAATTGTCGGCGCCGAGGCCAAACCCCTTCCGCAAAATTTTAGGGGTAGTGGTTTGGCATACGGGACCATTATTTATTTTGTACGATTTGACAGGGCTTGGCCGATACCTTGAATTTTTAATGGATCCTTATCGATTTTATCTTGGCCACGAATGACTTCAAATGACGTTAGTTTGTAACACTTGGAATTTAATGACTTCCTAAAATTCTTCCACGTCCATACCTCCGGAATTCGACAGGTTAGAATCGATATTCAGTCCTTCCCGTCAGCCTTCAGCCCTCAGTCCTGCCCCCGCAATTACAGCCTCGGATTTTCCGCGGGAATCCCTAGACAAGGTCAGGGCACCGCCCGGAACCCCCCCACTTCGAAATTCTATGGGAAGTGCCCTATATCAGGAAATGAGGAGGGAACCTTTAAAATATACCTTAACAGCGCTTCCGGCCTCCGATTTCTACTTCTGGAGCTTGCGACAGCTCTCGAAAACTCTCACATTTGCAGATAGCCCATTTTTTATCAGGAAATGAGGAATACATCCTTAAAATCATAGTTCTTTCAGAAACGCAGCTTCCGATCCGTTGCTCAGACCTCAAGTTCAGACCTCAGGCTCCTCCTTCTAGTGCTCAAACCCTTTCCGAAAAAGCGCAAATCAGTCGCTGCGCATTGGCAGATTTCCAACTCGCTTTGTCAGCAAGTGCGGAAAGGCATTCAAAGCTCATACTAGCTTTTGAAACGCAGCTACTAATCTGCTGCTCATACCTCAGGCTACTACTGACAGAACCGCCCCTCAAATCCAAAGAACTTGCCCAAATCAATCGATAAACATTTGAATATCCCCCTAAGACCCAGCCGGTGTCCCAATGTTCGGCTGCCCAGAAAAAGAACTGCCCCAAGGCACCCACCCACCCAGCTAATTACCCGATGTAGACAATAGTCAACCCAGTCAGTAGCCCACCCGGATCCCAAGAAAGACCCCAGACCCTACCATTCGGCCCCAACCCTCAAAACCCTCCAGGTTTCCCAAAAGACAGACAAGGCCAAAATGGCCCCGTGCGGTGGCGGCGTCAATTTGGTGCCGCCGGGGGTGGCGCCGAGGCGGCCGAGCGATGATTGCCCGCCAATTTGCCCGATTATCTGGCCCTCCCTGCCCGCGCTCCTCTGCATGGCTTTTAAGTGAGGTGCCGGGGAGCCTGAGGTTTCAGGAGTTCCAGCTATTACTTCAGGACCTCCGAAAGAATATTGATAAAATTCACGTTGATAGGCCTTTAACAGTACACAGAAAATATTCACAAAGTGGGCGTGGTTTTGGGGAGAACGAGAGGCCAATGGCGGAGCGCGGTGGGCGGGCTGGGGAGCCCCGCGGACCCCCTACCGTGGTGAGGGGGGCTGGAGGTTTTTGGAAGGGAGGAGGCAGGGCTCTGTGAGGCTGTCCCAGTTCTATTCCTTCTCTTCCTATAACCACAACCAACGCTGCTGCTCCACTCGGAGGACCACCCAAGCCGGTCCTGTAACAACGACACAGGCATGTCCAACCCACCCGAGCCCACCACCACCCCGGCCGCGGCTTCGGGCCCTAATTTTGAGCTGGAGCTTGATCAAAAACCGTATGCTAATGATGCCTATTCCGCATCGGCCGCCGCTGCTTATAATTCTACGGCGGGGTATTGTAATTTTACAACCCCTGCTTCCTATCCTTTCTATAATCCATTCCCAACAAGTACAGCGTCTGCGGCTGTAAATTCGATGTATCCGGGCGGTTTCTCAATGTATCACAATCCCGCCAGCAGCCCTGAAGGTTTGTTGTTTTTCTCCTCTCTTTTTGTTGTTTTTCCTGCATAATTACCATCCATTAACCCCTATTAACGAGTTTCCGATGGCCGCCCATCCCCCTGTAATTGACCCGATCGGGGCAGATTTTTAGGGATAAATTGGCCCTCCTATAATGGGATCTGTTTATGGTCTGATATAGTATTGGGCAAGGCTCCAGCTGATGTGCACCTAATTTCCGGAGCGGCCTTGGCACTCAGATTTCGCTGTAAAATTCGAAGCTTTTTGTTGAAGTTTGGTTCCGAAAAAAAAGCGGAAGGATTTCTTAGGCGTCTTGACTACAGTAGTCGGGGGAGGAATTCAGGGTATTCATATTTTTAGGAAGTTTTCGATTTATTTTGAATTCGTAGTGGAAATTGTTGTTTTGTACTCTTTGGTCATTCCGGCATCCTGGCCAGGGATGCTAATTGTCTTGCCGCTTTGTGGCTAGTAATTGCTCTGCGTTCGGTAGATCCTAGTAGTCACGCGAGCTTTTGAATTCGATCTAACGTAAAGCTTGGAACCGGAAATGCTTTATACATTTCGATTTACAATTTAGATTCTGTTTCTAATATCGTTTCTTAATTTCTCTCACTCTGCCATACTTAAATTTGCATATTTCTTGGTTTTTCGAGCTTTTTGCATAATATTACATGCCCAAGCGTCCTCTATTCCTCTTTTTGACGCTTTCTGTCAAGATTTCAATCCAAATTCTCGAATCCAACTTCCTTTCCTAACCAAAAATTCTTCCATTTTTCTTCCACCAACTGCGCGCACCGGTCGATACATTCGCCAAGGCATAATTAGCAGCGATTATGGGTCACCGAATCTCAGCGGGTTGAACAATGCTCTTTCTCCCCTCCGAGAGAGAGACTGTAGATGGTAGACGACTTTGGAGTAGCAGGATCGAGCCGACACACCTATTGAGAGAGGATCGGTGCGATAGATTGATAAAGGCATCGAGGGGCACGAAATGATGCCCGGTTATAGCTGCAGGGTATGGGTGGGCGGCTTTTTTGATGGATGGTGTCAGGATGGGGTAGTGGTTGAGTTGTACATTCCATTATTACTCACGATCTTTTTGGATCGCTACATCACTCTCTATTTTACTATATCTTCATTAACTCTATACTTTCAGATATCAACAATTCCTTCCCCGATCAAATGACGGCTAAAATTATTGAAGGCAGCGAGGTGAAAATTAACGGCAAGGGCAAGAAGGTTGGTGGAATTTTCTATTTTTTTTGTTATTTTTCATATTCTTATTACCCCCAAGGACAGCTGCCCGAGCCCCTTTCGATCAGATTAAACCTATATAACCATCCATCTGGATGCTGCGAGAGATCCTAGATAAGGATCTCCCCACCTCTCCCACCTGTGGGCCCACGCGCGTGCAATTTTTCGCCCTCAAAACCGCAATACCTAGCCCCAAAAATATACCCTAAATACCCTAAACATTTATAGGTACGTAAACCGCGTACAATCTACAGCTCGGCGCAGCTGCAAATGCTGCAGCAGCGCTTCGAGAAGACGCAATACCTGGCGCTGCCCGATCGCGCGCAGCTAGCGACTGAGCTCGGCCTCACCCAGACCCAGGCAAGCCCCCGGAGCCTTGAGATGACGGGTTTTTAGGGCTTCTTCTTGGCTAAAAACCTTTTATCGCTTTTAATATTTTTAGTATCATAAATGAAGAAGCCCTAAAAACCCTCGGCACCGTACACACCCCCACCATCACCACCATCCCATAGGGTCCCACATTTTTTGCAAGTAGCCGTGTATCATCCGGCCTAGCCGATAAGCACCAAAACACGAAAAACCCTACAAAAACCATCTCCTATGTTCGTTTGCGTCACTGGACTATTTTTTCTGAGGTCAGGATTGGTGGCGGTGGGGGGAGGAGGTTCGGGCTTCCGGGGCCCCTCGGATTGGTCGTATTTCAAAATTTTCCATAAATCCAGGGCTTTTGGGCTGCGTTTTGCAACTTCCTGGCCGGGTTGGGCTCGCCTTTTAGTGACCGAAATTGGCGGCAACACCTTTTATGGGTGGTGCGTTAAAATTTTATGGGCCGCGCCAGGTGTGCGCTACTCGAGGCGAGGGTTTTGGGGCGGTTTTTTGATGTTGTGGTAAAGAAAATGGGCCTAGAAAGTTCAGAAAAATTAGCTCTTTAATTTTAACAAATTTTGCAAGCGCTTTTTGTCGTTGTGAAAGGAAAGAAAAAATTTACCTAAAATTCTTTAAAATGTATCCAGGAACCTTAAAAATCACGCTTTTTAACGTGTTTACCTTTTTTGACCGGGATAAGCCCTTAAAATGCAGGTACGGAAGCCGCGTACGATATACAACAACGAGCAGCTGCAGGCGCTCCAGCGCAAGTTCAAGGAAAACCAATATTTATCGCTGCCCGAACGCGCGAAGCTCGCCAACTCGCTCGGCATCGACCAGACCCAGGCAAGGCGCCCCACCCCGCAGTGTTCTTTTTCTGTGGATTTTGCTGTTTGAATTCTTCTAATTCGGTTTTTGGTTAAATTTTCCGAATCCGGAGGGCTAGAAAAGCTCTATTTTCACTTCCGGTTGTCAGAAAATAGCCCAAAATCCTCTATCTATCCGGCTTTTCCTCAGAACCAGACCTCCACCCCGGCATGCCAGCTATCAATTTCCTCCTCATTTCGAGTTCCATATAATTTCTTTGAATTTGCGGTGCATGGGCTGAGTCCGAGTTGCCGAGCGAGCCGAGCAGGCCTGGCAGCTGTCACGGGGGAGAAAAGTAGATGAGCATCCTCATCAAGCAGGGCAAGTCGGGCAAAACCCCCCGGATCCGTTTCAGATGCGGAAGCCCCGAACGATCTACTCGTCCCACCAGTTGGGCGAGCTGGAGAAGGCATTCCGGGGCAGCAAGTATTTGGCGCTACAGGATAGGAGCCAGCTCGCCGAGCAACTCGGACTCACCCAGACCCAGGCACGGCTTTAGTTTATGGCATTTTTTGCACATTGTGAGGTGCAGGGATGGGTTCATCTAAAAATGTTATTTTTGTAGTTTGTAGCTTATAAAATTAAGCTTTTAAAATCTATTTTTTATTGCCTAAAACCCGTCCCTACACGTGTCCTTGTCTATATTGTGTGTATATGTTCAAGCCACTCAAGTCTCAGCTCCTTCACCCGGATTACTGGGTGTGTGGCGGTGCTTGAGGGCACATTCTCTACCTCCCACCCGGTCGAGGGTCCTTCATCTTTTTACACTTCCTCTCGGGGGACGGTATACCCAAGGGTACGGGGGCGTCTTTCAAGCGTAGCCGCTGGGTATGTTTTTACACGTTTTTTGGGATAGTGAGAATTTTGGGGGAGGAATTGGGTAGTGGATAGTAGGTACCATTGCTACGAGAAATTTATTTTTTAGGGGATTTCGAAGTAAAAAATACTTTCCCAGTACCAGGTTACTTTACCTAGAAATGTACCCACAAAAATATGAAGAAGTAGTTTTAAATATATCTATTTCTAGATACCTTCGTTATGGTACATTTTATTTTTAAGGTATTTACAAGTCAAAAATTAGGAATTAAACTCCATTCCTCTCCAAAAATATAACTAGACCTTGGTACCTTGCTGTAGCAAGTTTTGTTTTTACAGGGTGGTCCATAAGTATTGTCGTTTTTCAAGGCGTCATATCTTTTCCCACTGAGCGATTTGAGCCATTTAGCCAATTAGGTTAGCTTCAGACAAGCCTTAGAAACCACTTTGCTTTAGAAAGTTTTTTGGAATAATGGTTTCCAAGTGAGATAATTTGCTTAAAGTGGGCGACAAAAGGTTGGGGTGCGCCGCGCCAGAATTTCGGGAAGAAGGGCTCTAAATCCGGCGATTGAGAGTCAGGATGTTTTTTCGAGCGTGTTTATGGTAGCTTCAGCATTGTTCTGCATCTTCCCAAATGGAAATTTAATCAGCTTGTCGCTTGAAGGAGCTATGGCCTCCGCAATGTTCCACGAAAATCCGCAAATTCAGGCCATCCCGTCATTTTTTAGTTTTCGAAGTTTTATTTCTTCCTAGGGCTACCCGGGGGCAATTCAACTATGCTAACTGACGTCTTCTTTCCAATGGCATATTGGGCTAGGCTCCGGTCACTTTTCAGAATTTGATTTGAACTAAATTTGGGTGGCGCATGCCATTAGACAAAAATCTCGATTTTCTTGAACATGATGTGGAATTCCGCGCTTAAAATTTGGGAATAGTTGAAAAGAAGCCTTAGTAGTCCCCAAAAAAATTGTCACAGTTTTCTCAGCTTTCTGGCAGCCACGATCTCAGTTTTACATACGGGGTAGGCCGAGGGCGGCGCAACGGGTTCCCCGAAACTTTGAATAGCGCTTGCTCAAAAACGGAGGTGCGAAATTTTTTGTTAGGAGGTTCTGCTAGCAGAGTTTTACTGGTTCTTTTAATTCTAGAGGCAAATTTAGTGAATACATCATTGTTTTGTCGCCAGCGGAGCCTCTCAAAAGCCATTTTTAAGCTGAAATTTGGAGGTTCATTAGAAACTATGTGCTATAAGGTCCAAAACTCAATACGATCGTGCAACTTATCTTACCATCGGATAGAGGATAAAAAACTGCATAAGGCATACGCTCAACTGGCCAATCGCACACGGCCCCGGTTTGATACACCCGGCCAAAAAGCGCGACAATACTTATGGACCACCCTGTAGATTACCTTATTTTACCCCATACTATACAAAAAATGTATAAATTAAATATATAAATATTTTTTTCGAGATTTGTTCCTCCTAGATACCTGACCATCAAAAAAATTCCATCCAAAAATTCGATTCTTTCAAAATTCTAAGCAACAATTTAGAAAGTAAAGTCCATCCGCCCCACCCCATTACGTTACTTTACCCCCCAACAAAAACCACTTATTACAATCCACACCTCCCTTAAATTACCCCACCGCCACTTCCCCCAACACCCAATCATCGTCTGGCTGTTTATGAGCACCGTCATTATATCCCGGGTAATGGATTCCAGACCCAACCGGCGGGACACCTATATAGGGCCACCACTAGGAGCTAGGGGAGGGCCCAGGGGGTCACCCTGGCTTATCTACCATAATCTAGCCGCCGGTGGTGGTGGCGGGTGACGACGGTAAGATGCCAGATGGTATTCCAATTCCTTGGGACTGGGGGAGGTAGTAGATGGCATGGACCTTCCTTCACCTGGGTGCCAGGTGGCTCATGGCCCTTCGACAGCTCATAGCCAGGGAGGGGGGGGGTCAAGACGGATTGGGAACGGAAATAGGGGATAAAAAGTGGATAGGGGTACGGTAGATTTGTTAATAATCGAAAGACCGTAAATTCGGAGTTTAGATCGTTTTAAAGAGACTGTGAAGGTGGTTTTTGAGAATCGGTCATTTTTAGGACCTCGGCTAGGGGAGATAAATCCGGAAGAGGTTTTATCGCGTTTTTTTAGGTTATTATGCTAATCTTATAAGCGCGGTTTTATAAACTATAAAGCTAGGATCGCATAGATCGTTTTAAAGGGATTGTGAAGCTAGTTTTTGAGAATCTTCCAGTTTTCTTCGGGGTTTTTCCGGTAAATCCCATAAAACTATCAGGGTTTTCGTGTAAATTCAGTATAGTTTTTTAACAAAGCTGAACTTTTAAGCCTCTTGTCTACTTTACAAGCTTTTGAAAGATTTTATCGAAAATTCTGAATTTAGCACTTGTCAACCCCTTTAAAAACAAACTTTCCACCCAACTACTCCCGCCAATCACATCCCCTCCCATCTACATATGTTTGAGCCATCCACCCAAATTCGATAAGCGTGTCTTTCCATGATGGGTATGTCGCCGGAGACCTTCTCTTGATTGACAGGCAGACACAGGAAGTACCCGATCAGGATTATCCAGCCCCACCGGTCATCTCCTCCCCCAGAGCTCCTCCCGGAAATTGCTCACGGCACCCTTCAGCTTGTGTCTGTCCCCTTGGGCTAAAAGTCAAAGCAAAAGTGTCATTAGTAGTAGTGAGGATTTCGGGAGTTGGCAAAAACCCGACAAACTTTTAGAGCTGTTTATCTTTCGGCCCCATTACCGTACCCTAAAACCCCATCCCATCCGACCAACCCCGCATAAAGGTTCGATGAAGTGCGGATCAAAAAGCGCATCTCGTCCGAGGTCAGGCTCCCCCTCCCCTCTCATTCTCATTCTATGAGGCCGCGAACTGTCCAGGGAGTGGAACTGTATGGATCAATGGTACGACCGACGGAGGGGGGGGGAGGCTTGGTTGGCCATTGTATTCTATCTACCACGACGAGAGAGAGAGAGAGTGTGTATGTCTCTCTTTCTCTCTTTCTTTCTGTCTATATGTGTGTGGCGGCGCGTCGCATTTCTTTCGCTCGGTTTCTCGCCGCAGCCGGTTCCCCCACCGCGCGCCAAATTGCCCTCCCCCCGCTCGCCCCAGCTACCGTACACCCGAAACGGCTCTTGACCACCATTCCGGCCAGCGGATAGGAGAGGGCGAGGGCCATTGGTTGGTGAAATATGATGATAGCATTGGTCGTGTATCAATGTGGATAGGAAAGGGCGAATGGGACCCGGTTTGATGGGTTACGGTATAGAAAAAATTGGATAGCAATGGGTTTCATAGTGTTGATACCTTTAAAGGTCGAAAATGTGTTAATTTTAAAGGTATCGGCAAGGGAAAATGTTGATATGGCTCTTAAAGCCAAAGTAAAAACTGCCCAACCTTGCCTATCTTCATATTTGTTTTTTCAACATGCTCTCCCGCTTCTTCTTGCCTCAAACGCATGCCACCGGCACCTGCACGCTTCAAATAATCCTATAAACAGTAATACCTTTATAAAACAATTTTTCCAGGTCAAAATCTGGTTCCAAAACCGCCGCTCCAAGCAGAAGAAGCAGGGCAAGGGCGGCTGCGGAAGCGAGAAGAACGGCACCGACGAGGAGGCCGAGGGTGAGGACGAGGGATCCACCGGAGATGGCTCTCGAACGGTAAGAGATATTTCTATACATCTTCAACAATGTTGTGCTTCTTTCAGCCCATGGACTCCGAGACTCCGAACGACAACGTCGGGGATGTTTCTCCCTCTTGTGCAAGTGCTTGGGCGCAAGCTGGCCTTCCGCCCGCAATTCCTCACACATCCTCGATCGGTGTCCCGCCCGGGTCCCTCTCTGCTGCTTTGACTCCGACCGGAACCGGTTGGTCCTTAGACTCAAATTCTAACAAAATAGATTTGTTCTCAGGGGCCACTCTCACCCCGTTGGGGGGAAGTCTGCCACCTCCGGCGCTCCCTGGCTCCCACTTGATGCAGTTGCCGAACTCCCTGGCCTCACAGGTATCTTAAAATAAAGTTTTATAATTTTTGACCTTTTATTTTAAATAACTATCTATAATTTTTAATCGGTAAAGTTTTATACTCTATTAAATGCCGTTTTAGCAATTCCAACTTGCTGCCTCGGCTTCCGGTCCGTTTGCCCACCTTGCCAACCTCCAGCAGATCTCCTTCGAAAAGGGTTACCCAGGTATAGAAAATTTACTATTTCATCCTTAAAGTACGCTTTTTAGCCCAAAAACTCGAAGAAACCCAAGCCGCCATGTACGACCCCTACAGTCAAACCGCCTACTACCCCGGATATCCCTACGGATACTCGCACACTTACTAAAATAACTTAATATTTTTCTGCCCAACCCCACCAAACAACCAAATGCTCCTATGCCCCGATTCTTGCATTTTCTCAGCCTCCCCCTAGTAATTCTATTAATATTTTTGTGTTTTTTTTTGGTGATAAAATTAATAGCACCGCCCCCATCCAGTCAGTTTTGAAATTTACGAGATTTTCTTGCCCCTCTGAATTTCTTGCCCAGATTCCTGATTTTACCTTTTTTAGCTTAGGTTGCAGTCTAAAAAAAGAGCTTTAAAATATCCGCAAAATTGCTTTGAATCTCAATTTTCCCTTTATTAGGCCACTCAGCCATTTCCACACAGAACACCCACGCATTGCTCGATCTCTCCGTGAAATTTTCAGCTTTAGCCCGGCCGCCGAGGCCCAATTAAATCCCCTAGTTTTCGAAATTTTCCCCTTTGGGCAACCCGGCTTGGCGGCTTGTCCGTTGCGGCCGTTGTGCGTATCTTCTATCCCATGTGATATACGGTTGTATTCTGTTTTTGCATAGTTCTATTCAGTGGCCCTATTATGCACAGGCACCCCCGGAATTCCCTTCCCCGCCCTCAATTTTTCTTTTTTAAATCAAAGATATCTATTGCTTCATGTGGATAAAGTAATGATAATAATTTGCTGTATTTTAAGACTAAAAATTACATTTTTAGGTATTCCAAAAGTTACGAAAAAGCTTTGAATTCCGTTATGTTCTGGAAAAGGTTTTTGAAATTTTTTTTTGACAAAACACTGAACGCAAACTTTAAAGCTATCGGATATGTCGATCACTTTTATCACCCGGAAAAAATAACTTAGAAAACATGAATCAAAGACATTTTTGAACGTTTTTAACGTTTTTGAACGTATTTTTTGATCGTTCCTTAATAGGTTTTTAAAACAATTTTCCGGCGCGATTTCGAGTTTGATAAAATACCTCTAGCGTCTAAAATTATCTCTAATAGTAAAAAATACTTCTTGAGACAATTTCAACACTTTGCGGCAAGTTCATAGCGCCTTAACAAACTCCAAACGACCTTCCCGGGGCAGTATCTAACCTAAAGCCATTTCTCAACAGCCCGGCCACTTTTTATGTGAAGTGGCGGCTAGACCCCACTGGGTACGCGCACCCAGATCAATCGCACCCACCGGCGCTAATAAATCAAAGCCCCGGCAAAAACCAACGAGGCTGTGAAAGCGGACCACCCAGGGGGCTGGTGAGGCTTAATGCCAGGTAAGGGAGCCTGTGGACTATCAAACTTAACATAATTTGATTTTAAAAGGTTTATTTGATGGAGCTGCAAAGCTGAGCACGACTCATTACTTAAAAGAATTGATAATGATCTGGGCAACATTTCGCAGGCTAGAATTTTTTAATCAGGCCGCAAAACTGTGCAAAATCAGCCCTTTCAGGGAAAATCTTCTCTAATACCGTCATCGCTCCGCGATTTTTGAAAAATCGACATTTGCAGAATTTTAAGCTCTTATCAATTCTGAGATTTTCATTTCCATTGATCAAATCTCCCTGTAGTTAAAATTCCGCGTTTTTCCCATACAATGTTCGATAAAAACCGTTTATTATAGCTCGTGAAAGGCGGGTGAGATCGGCACATAACGCGGAAAGAAGTGAAGATCACGAAAGAGTATGCAAAGTATTGGGCAATGAAATTATCAACATCAAAAAGCACAGAAAAGCATAAAATTACTAGAATTCCAGCATCTCAGTGTCCGCATGGTTGGGCGGAAAAGCACCCACGGTCACGAATTCCGGGCGAACGAAGCTACCGTGGTTTTCGGCGCATGTGAAATACCTTAAAAACGATATTTTCAGTTTTTTCGGCTTACTTTGTCCCCTTGACGGTACCATTGTTCTTTCCGACGGCTTCATCATAGCTGAAATCAATTATTGCCGGTTCAACGAGTAAAAATACTTGATCCCGATCCAGGTTCCAGGCTGGAATTCCGTTTCGCCGATGAAGGCGACACTGCCTCTACGTGGGGCTGTACCGGCTAGCCGTACTTCGCAACGATCACCGATCTGAAGGGATTTTTTAAGATTATACCGGCATTTTAATACACCGGAATAACGCTACAAAATCGAGATGCAGCATTTGATGCAAAAATATCGTCTCTTTAACTTACGCTAAAGCTCAATTCCACATCCTGCCTCGGAGCCGGGCTACCATTCATCTTTTCCGCCAACATTCTTTGCTTGAAAGCCCGAACCGAATCTAAAATAGATTTTAAATTTCGGCAGTTTCCCGATATACCAGTCCGTTGGTTGTACGCCTCATCGGTGATCGTGTACTTTGGAGCGTCACCATTTTCCAGACTTTCGTTTTGGCGGGTTTTATCGGTTGCGTGAATGCGATATCCGCTTCTAAATCAGAAAACATAGGGGTTTACATTTTTGACCTACTTGACAGCATAATCATTGAGGCAGCGGGTATTTTCCATAATTCCATGGGAATTTCCTTCCTTGTCGAAGAGTTCCAGTTGAATATCGTTGCTAGCAGCTCCGACAACGAGCTCGAACTTTTCCTAAATAAATATTCGATTAAAGTTTATTAATTCCAATTCATAACTAACAGAAAAATATAAAATTTTTGCTAGTGTAATTTCTATATTCAGACCAACCTTTAAATAATCGATTTTCGTCTCTCCAGCATAGCGCTTCTCAAACGGATTCGGGTTAACATTTGTCGTGATGAAAAGATCAACAGCTTCCGGCATTTTCTAGAAAATCTATAGTTTTGGAACGTCAAGTTAAGGAAGGTCGCGGCCGATGCCAAATTCCGGGCCCAGACATCGTAAATTTAAAATGCATGCACAGGCCGTTAGCACAGCCCGTTCCATCCTCTCTCTATCTTTATATAGCCATCAAAATCGGATTCAACCGATTCGTTAACTTCTTTTTAACAAGGTAATAGAAAAAATCTTTATGCATATTATTAAAATCACAGGTCAGCTCTTTGAAACAGTCAGGGTACTATACAATGACAATCACTATGAACTGCAGGGGACACCCGTTTATAAAATAGCAGAGTACAGGAATTTCGGCTAAACGTCTGAGGATCAATGGAGTATGTAAGGGTAGCATTCAATGCTGTATAGGGTGCCAGAACTAGCCTTGGAAGAGGGCGAGGATTAAAAAACCAACGGTCAAGCATATACAAAGATGTTAGGGAAATCAGAAATACTACCAGTGTTAATTAATTTAATAATCTTCAACAATTTTCAAGCCATCCGGGCTCTCGATATCGCGAGGTTCAGGGGAGGGGGGAGGCTGGTGGTGGTAGTGAAGAGATGGCAACGTTCGCTTGGGAGGCCCGATCCGGCGGGGCAACCCAACTAAAAATATAGGTATTATTAAAAATTGATGAAATATTATAATTTATTTTTAATACCTACCGATATCCTTGCTGTGAGTTTTGCGAATTTTGCCGCTGGATGATTGGTGGGGGCTGAGGAGGCTGACTTGGCTTTCGGATCGGCGGCCCGGGAGGATCGGCAAGTAATGTTGGTCGACTCCGGGGGAATGCTGAAGGATCTAATTTTATGAATAATTATTAATAATAATATTAATGTATAAGTTTCGTCCTACCTGATGACGGTGGCCCACTTGGTGGTAGTGGAATCTGCGATGGATCCGGTGGCCTGATAGCTTTCGACGCGGCTGGCTGCTCATAGGGCTTCGCTTGGGGCGGGGGATTGGATCTATATTGATCTTTCTATTTCAAAAATTATATTTAGATTAAAACTGTTATATAAAAATTGATTGGGGATTTTTGCATATTTAAAAGAACTATTTTGTAATACATTAAAAAATATAAACTAACTTGTAAGGAGGTGGCACCGGCCGTGGAGGCGGAAATTTTGGTGGCACCGGCCTCTCCTTGCGTGGAGGTGGTGGAGGCTCAGGCTCACGTTCTTTCAGCCGTGGATCTGACGGAGGTTGAGATGAAGTAGGTGTGCTGGGCTCATCAGTTTTCGGTTGTGACGATGACTGAAAATGAGGCTCAAACTTGATTGTTTTGGACTCACGGCATCCTTTTTTTTCGGAATCCTGAAGGAGCTCAACGACTGCATAAAAGGCAGAGGAGCAGGAGGTTGAGGAAGGCCGGGCGGCTCCTTTTCTTTTCGTTCACGATCTCTTTCTCGATCTTTGTCAGGCTACAAAAGAATTGATAGCGTTTTTGTATAAATCCTTACCCTATCTGTTTTATGCCGCTTGTGCTCCCTTCTCAAATCCTCTTTCTCGCGTTCCAATTTTCGTTTCCGCTTCTCATCGAATACGAGCTTCGACGGTCTCGCCAACATAGAGTCTTGACTCCGACTCATCTAGAGCAAAGCTTCATTTTAAAAATTTGAAATGGAGGTTACCTTTTTCTCAACTGGTTCCTTGTCGATGCTCTCCCTCCTTGCCTTCCTCTCCCTTTCCTTCTCTTTTTCTCGATCGCGCTCACGCTCCTTTTCCCTCTCCTTATCTTTTTCACGAAGATCTCTTTCTCGGTCTCTTTCCCTCTCCTTCTCACGTTCGCGTTTTTCAAGCCGTTCAGCTGAGATCGACTTGGAAAGCGACTAAAAATATATTTTTTTAATATTTGCATTAACATACCTTTGATCGCATAGCTTCGGCTGAAGGGCTGGCTCTCGTGATTTTCGGGTCCTTTGGTATCTAAAATTCAAGAATATTATTCATCTCCAACCCCTTCGAAGCACTAGCACCCGCACAAACAATAATAAAAAAATAAGCTGTTAGTGCAAACACGTTATAGCAAACGCCACCTTAATGACCAGCTTTCCTTCTCGGGAACCTTCCTGAAATTTCTACAAATCAGGGGGTGAACTGTCAAGCCCTAATAAGAAAATTTTGTTCTGCTACAAACCTTTGGAATTGGTACGTCGGCGGCTGCTAGCGCTTGTTCAAAACTAGTGGATGGGCGCAGGGGTGGAGGCTGCTGAAAAAATAGCTTAGCTAAAAAAACTCCGAAATAATTCATAAAATGGGACAATTTTTTCATTACATTATACAGCGGAACCCCCGGGGGAGATGACTGGGCGTTAATCTGGGCATTAGTAGCACATAGCAGGGGGCCCCCGGGATAAGCCGGTCGATTTTTCGCGTTCAGTGTACCCACCCGGATCGCGAAGGTAGTTTTTCGTTCGGAAGGGGCAACAGGAGAAATGGCAGGGGGTGCAGGCTTCATCTTTGGCTCACGGTCTCGTTCGGAGGAGATTGAAGGAGGAGGGGAGTCCGCTTCATCGTCATATAGATCGGAGACGGCTTTTGGTTTTGGGATCGGCGCCTAGAAATGGTTTTTTGCATTGCAGTTTCATTTTTAAACGCTTGTTATAAGGTATGATACTTACCGCCGAGTTCAACGCCGTAAATCCAGCAAACGAAGGTGCCATTGGGGCTGTTGGTGTCATGCTCGATGAAGGTGTACGAGAAATCGGGGCCTAGACGAAATTGTGGTACAAAAAAAAGAACATACAGCCTCCGTGCTGATCTTCCTCGGCCTGGGCGAGGGTTGTTCGTATTGTGGAGGAGGCAGGGGTGCGGGTTGAGGAGGTGGAGCTGGAGCCGGCACGTGATGGGCTTGATTGTGCGCATTGCTCTGAAAATAGTGGATTTCCAGCCTAATTCCCCTAAAAATCGGATTTTTTGGGTTCGAAAGTATGAAAATTGGATTCAACATGTAATTTTGGAATGAACAATCCAATAAATTGTTAATTTACGGCTATTTACCTGATTTGTAGGCACAAATTTCGGCGGATCCGTCTCATCATCACTGTCCGATTCGACAAACGGAGAACGCGATGAAGATCCCGTTGAAATTGGCGCTAAATTTTCTTGTTTTTTTGCGTACGGTCCCCGTTTTTACTTTGAGGCTCATTGGAATAGTGAGCATCTGAGAATGAGCGTTGAACGACTCTGGCCGGCTCGAGAGAATCTTGGCTCGGCCGGTTGCGAAGGATGCGAGCTTTTCGGGTTCCTAGGAGATACATAAGCTAAAGTTTAAGCTGTGCTATTGATACCTCTAGTCTTTTTAATAGAACCCGAAGAATCGACGGAGCCCTCACGGTCTCCCATATTCGCTGTTTTCCGGCCACGGCCTCTTCGTTTTGATACGCCTCCTCTCGCAGAAGGTGACGCTCCCTATATACGAGATTTATATGCAGTGGTTTATAGTATTTTATTTAATTGTTAACATTTCAGACCATATATTACCGGATATGCGGGCGTATTGAAGCCCGATGACGAATACATGGGCGAGGAATAGGATCCTTGTGTATTCATATCTTCGCCGTAGTCATACATTTCTGGGGGTAGCTGCTAAAATGTTTGAGATTTGGCGAGCTACGTAGGTGTTGCGCAAAAATAAGCACTTCTAGAACTAAAAAAACTTATTTATCTTCTTAAACTTGCTTTTTTTAATTTTTTAAAACTAAAACTTTAACTTAAAGTTAAATTAATTTGGCTTTTTCTAATGTTTCTAAAGAATTCGTCTTGATCCTCTACTAAAGTAATAACAATTTTGTGAGTGGGGTTTTTGTTGTTTCTAATTTGACTCTTTCTAACAAGTACTTCCAGGACCTAGAAAAAAATTCTATGAGGAGAGGGACAATAACTTTTTTGGAATTTTTTTCCTTTTCTTCTATTACAGTTTTCCCTGCCCTTGAATTTTTGCCTAGCAGTTTAATTTCAGAAATGAAGGCTCTAATTCATAGCGCACCTTTGGCCGACCCAACTCCATATCATGGGGCGGATTAAACATCATTCCATATCCACAGTCCTGCGGCGCCTCATCGTAGTACCCATACATCATGCCCTGATCCATCTGGTGGTGCATCTCCTCGACATGTCGTCCCTCATAGTCATCCTCAGCCACTTGCCCCAACTGGGCGATCGCCTCCTGCAATCCAAATACGTATCGCACTCGACAAGAAGTTGTGTGGCTCTGTATAATTTCTGTCTCGCGTGCGCCCTTTGAGCCCAAAATCGTATCGCCGCTGTTGAAGGGCGCTTATACTAAACAAAGTCGGTGCAAAGCTTCTTTCAATACAAGACGAATTTGAGGCGATACGTTTTGGATTCAGGGGCCTTTTTAACAGGAAGACAACACCGACCAGGTCCGAGAAGGCGTTCTTCTGCAGCGTCGTGTCCGAGACAAACCGGTGGACACGTTGCCCGCCCAATTGCTGCTGCTGCTGAAAGGCTTCGAGTTGTTGCTGCTGATGTAGGGCATAAGCCGTCTCGTCAGGAGGGCACAGCTCCTCCCGCTCCTCCTTCAGCTTCAACAACGCTAACAAGCCAATTGGCTCAGTGCCATCTTCCATCAGCGGCTCGTGCACTTCAAATACTGTCTCCTCATCTATTGGTTCCTCGGGTGTCGCTCGACACTTCAACCACGGTAAAGCCGATTTATCGGAGATGAAAAGTGAATCAACTTCATTAGTGGGTGGAGAGACGTGTTGACCCTAAAAAATAATTCAATTAAATAAGTCAGCGCATACCGTAGTATCCCTGCCACGAAGCTTGCATTCCTGTAGTACGCGCACAATTGTCATCGGAACCGACCAGGTGCTGTAAAGAACGATCGATAGATTTATATGATATATATTTTATATGATTGATGATTATACACTACAAACTTTTTCAGGATTCGAACAGCCAGCTCTTCAACATCTGACTTGATAAACGCGGCCCCATGCGCTTCACAAATCACTTCCCAATGGCCATGAATTTCGCCAATGTTCACTAAACATATTTTTTTGGTTTTGGAACTCAACCCTTACTGTCCAATTCGCCGGTCGATGTATGAATTTTGATTTGATATTCGTTGGGCGTGATCTCGAGCTTCATTTCATAAGTCTCACGGGCTCGGAAGTTCTCCGGATGCTTGCGCCAATCTTTCAGCGAACACATGAAGACCGTATGCTGGTATTGCGCACGTACCAGGGCAATCACCTAATTTTAACAAAGATTATAATAATCAACTTCGTTTTACCTCGTCCAACGCTTGACAATCTTTCAGGTGCAACTCGTCAACGAAAATATCGCTTACATGTTGGAATCCACCGGAAGTCATCTGAAATTGCTTTGTAAAAGTGGCCATCCACCATCATACCGTAATTTCAAAACCCATATCAGAATCTTTCTGCGCCTTCAGTTTCAATTCGGCTTGCTAAAAAATGAAATTTACGGATGTTCATAGCTACTCCCACCTGACGATCAAAATTAAAGAGATCATGGTAGAAATCAATTTTACGGCGTACAAAGGAGTTCCTGGCGAGAAGTCTAAAGAAAGGAAGATCAGATTAGGTATCTCGACATACTTTCGCAGTTTCTGCCAGTAATATACATTAAAGAGCATCGGGCGGTTGAAGCGGAGGGTCACACATGCCTTCGCCCTGCGAACCTCCCAAGGAGCACTAAATTTGAGTTCTATACTACTTTTTTGGGAACCTACCCATCCTCACAGGGTATGCTACATTCTGCCTCGCAATATTTGAGCACCAGTTCAGCGTACAACAAATTCTCTGCGTCTAAAATAAGGGTAAATCAGTACGTTGCTAATTTTTATACCTCGTTGAGCATCAAAACTCTCGCTTCGAACCTTCCACTTGTAAAGAGGATCGGCGAGCAAGTACAGACGAGGTGTGTGAAGCGGGTTATGCAAGGCAACCGCACCGAACCGCGATTTATTCACCACCGAGAATTTGTCGCCGGGCCCGAACTGTAAAAATAAGATTGCGTAAGCTACAGCGGAAGCTCGACCGACCTTAGCGCTCCCCATAAGCCAACTCTCATACGCGCGCAAAGATTTGTAGAGGCTGCGCCGATCCGATGCTGGTGTCAATGGAACGCAGGTCAACATGTTGTTGATCCCAATCCGGATCGTCTCCCAATCATTTTCTTCCATCAGGATCCTTAAAAACTATGAAACCAATAAAATCCACTAACCCTAGGGCCGTGAAATCCATGAGACCCGTCTCGAAATAGTCGATTTCTGCTTTGCCGACCTATAAAAAAGTTCAAATCGTTTTCACAGGCGGCTTACCGATCCATTATTGATCTCAATCGAAAGGTTGAGCTCCTGGTTTTTGATGCATACGGTCCCAGGCCCAACGGAGACTTGGCATCCTTCGAACCCATCGGCCAATTGTCTAAACTTCCGTCAGGTTGTCCGGAGGATATCCCGGTAGCGGATGAATTTTAGGGGTTTAATGATACGTCATTTGATGCGTAATGCTCGCATATCACGTTTTAGAAAAACAGCTGTTTTCGACACTAACATCAAGTTTTTGTAAAATTTTCGGGAACCCTCTTTCTTCGAGGAAATTAGCATCCGCCGGAAGTTGCGGAAGCCGAGATAAAGGCTTTTCAATTTTTTTTTGTTACTGGAATTGAGAAAATTATGTAATGCGAAAAATAGCATGGGAACAAACAAATGTTTAAATTTGTATGTAATAAATTTTACTAACGTCTCTATCATAAAAATCCTAGTAAAATCGTAACCACACCTCAATTTTGAGTACAGCTCAGCATTTATGTTGATCGGTTGCGAGCGGCGAAAGATGGCGAGCGATTTTTGGATCTCTGCCCGCTCATGAATATCCAAAGTGGTGCGTTTGTCCTAAGAAGCTTCAAATGCAAAAAAAATTGGTGGCTTACCATCATATTACGACGCAGAGCACCAGCCAGTCCTTCCCATGTTATACGGGAAGCAGTTTGTCGGACCCGTTCAACCGAAATATCCTGTTCAAGGCCTAAAAACGCGCATTGTTGGATGCAGTTATCACCGGAGTGTCCCAAACAATAATCACGAACCTTCATAATATCGCTTCGTCCGGTCCTGGGGCTTAGGCCACATCACGAACGGCGTATCTTTGCCGAAAAAAGCCATGGGCGGGATGTCCATCGGGGCTGTCTTTTTATTCTATGGATCAAATACCCATGCCCTGCAATAGTTTATTGAAGTTGGGGATCAACTACGACATTTGAAGTTGAACAGATGTTTTTGATATCTACTGTTATCAAAGTTAATCAGTGTAGGCGATCAAAAGCATTGCCCATCTGCTTGGTATTTTGAAAACATCAAGGCAAGCTTGGTTGGGCAGGCCCAATGACGGCGCAACGCGTACGTGACGCGAACTATCGGGTAGGTAGATTGGTGCAAAAGCGCAGTGGGTGGGCTCTCCATGAGAACGTATGAGAGGCACAAGTACCTAGTAAGTAGGTTCGACACTAGTCACACAATAATCGAAACTAGAGTCTACCGTTGTTTGCCCTCGAATAATCTTGCACACCTTGTTTTTCTTCATCTTCTTGCGGCGATGCCGATTTTCAGTAGATAGTATTGCTGCATTTTTTATACGTAGCGCAAAAAATTTATTAGTCACAACACAATTCGTTTCTAGAAATACGTTCAGCTAACCAGCCTCAAATGCACAGTTTATGATTTTCTACATGCGGAAGACGCCGAACTTGGTCTTCTGCTGCTCGGAGTGGAGGGTAGCCTAAAAGCGATGAAAATACTGCCAGAAAAGCTGAATTACCTGAAGCGCCATCCCTACGACACGCCTTGTGTCCTTTGGATCGATTACGCCATCATCCCAAAGTCGAGAAGAGGCAAAGTATGGGTGGCCCTCCTTGTCATACTTGGCCTAAAAAATTATGTGTATACAAGGCCAGTAATGAAATCAAAACCTCGACAGGACGCCTCAAATTCGTGTCCTCTTCCTCGGTCCAGGTTTTCCCCTCTTTCGCACTAAAAACAAAAATTGAAATTCAATGCATAGCAAACCGTTTATCTTTTTGCACGGTGGCCAAAACATTTGCGGCTTGTTCTCCACCCATAACCGACACGCGAGCGTTTGGCCACATGAACAAGAATCTAAATTTAGGGTAAAATTATGCGAAATGCGTCACGAACCTTGGCGAGTATCCACGACCACACATTCCATAGTTTCCGGCGCCGTAGCTGCCTCCAATCAACACGGTAATCTTGGGGACTTTGGCGCAGGCAACGGCCGTCACAAGCTTGGCTCCATGTTTAGCGATTCCGCCGGCTTCGGCATCGCGGCCAACCATGAACCCTAAAAAAAGAATATTAACTTACGAAGGAATAACAAACCCGTAATATTTTGCAAGAAGAGCAACGGGATTCCACGCTGAGCGCATAGCTCAATGAAGTGTGCTCCTTTCACCGCCGACTCGGAGAAGAGGACCCCATTATTCGCCAGGATTCCGACCTTTTGCCCGTACATCCTCGCAAAGCCCGTTACCTGCAATACCGTAAATCAAAAATACACGTTCAACCCACCAGAGTCTCACCATATCTCGGCTTGAACTCATCGAAACGAGACCCATCCACAATACGCGCTATCACTTCGCGAACGTCAAACGTCTTCTTCAAATCGGTTCCTACGACGCCGTACAATTCTTCAGCAGGGTATTTGGGCTCTTCGAGTTCGTGAATTGACATTTCGTTATGCTAAAACCATACGGTGGCACGTTATTTTAGGCAAAACCTGTGTCGGGAAACCAGCGACAGCGGATCGGGCCAGTGCCAGCGCGTGCTCATCATCGTTCGCATAATAGTCGGTAACTCCCGATTCACTACAATGCAGATCTGCGCCTCCAAGAGCCTCCGCAGAAATCTTCAAAAAAAGGTTACAAACTCAATTTTTTTTTAGAAACCTCTTCGCCAGTAGCTGCTTTGACCAATGGAGGCCCACCGAGGAAGACAGTGCCAGTTTTGCGGACAATGATAGCCTGGAAAAACGATCATCCAAGCCACAAAAATTACTTACCTGATCGCTCATTGCCGGAACGTAAGCCCCACCAGCCGTGCACGAGCCCATAACAACAGCCAGTTGTGGAATGCCCTCAGAAGACATCGTTGCCTAAAATACGTCATAAAGAAATCGCCACTTTGAAACCTGATTGTAAAAAATCCGGCCGAAATGTTGAGAATCGGCAAAAATGTCGGCTTGTCGTGGAAGGTTGGCACCACCAGAGTCCACCAAGTAGATGCATGGCAACTTGTTCTCGCGAGCGATCTCCTGGGCTCTACAAAATGCACAGCTTAAAACTCGAAATTTCAGTAAGAACCTCAAATGCTTCTTGACGGTCATTGGGTAGTAGGTGCCGCCCTTCACCGTCGCGTCATTGGCCACAATAACGCAAGATCTATAAACCTTTCTTTCAGACTTCCGGTCCAAATTATACCTCCCGGCAACGGTTCCGATTCCGGTGATAATTCCTGCCGCCGGGACGTCATCATTGCCATACTGTTCATAACCCGCAAACTGACTCAGCTCGAGGAAGGCAGTGCCTAAAAAAGAAAATAACTCTCTAAAGTAAAACCCTATCCCCTACCAGGGTCAATCAGTTTTTCCACTCTCTCACGGGCCATCAGCTTGTTCCGCTTCTTGTGTAGAGCCCGAGCCCGCTCATCACCACCAAGCGAGATCTTTGCGATCTAAGAAACGCATTTCAGTATTTAGAGAAGCGTACTTTGCTGCGCAAATCATCAACGATTTCATTCATCTGTTGTGTGTTCTTCGCAAAGCCCTCAGAAGCAGTGTCGACCTTGGTTTCGATGGGGGCCCATTGTACGGAGCTGCGGTTGACGGGCAGTGCTCTAAAAAACCTAAGTCAGTATGAGAAAAAGGGCCCTACGCAGCACAATGATGAGCGCGCAGGTGAATGTGAGACGATGCTTGCGCCGCGCCTAAACTATATTAAACAAAAGGTTGGGTGAAGTTACCGGGTATAGCGATCCGTCGCCTGGCAGACGCCAAGCGAAGAACGGAGCGCAGCATCCGAGCTAAAAAAGTGATTTGGTATTAGGAAGAAATTTACTACAAAAGATATTATAGTTGGAAGAAAATGGAAATTGAAAATTGAAGGAAACACGTTTATCGGTAGGACCCCGATTCGCGCTTCGGGAAAGGATGAACGCGAACAAACTATGATTTTATGCAGTGCGTATTATCCCTTGCGAGTGAATAGAAATACCGGAAATAGCAGAAATCCTTGCAATAGCAAAATTGATAAATGAAAGTAGAAATCTCTCTAATCTACGCTCAGATACAGCACGTATATTTTCAAGTAAAAAGCAAATTTAGAAATCGCGCGCTCCTAGAAGAGGCTTGCTGAGTTTAAATTTCTAAAATTATAAGTGTAATGCTACTTTTTCGTAAAAGTCAAAGCAAATTTGAGACATGGAACCATTTACCACATCAAAAGTGGTGCGGGCGGGCGGGTCCCGGCACGGATCGCCTGCGCCCCAGCGCCTCTCAGTAGCGGCGGCAAAATGGTGGCCGCTTGGGCGATTCAAATAAAACAGCTGGTAGACCACCAAGCTCACTGACAACCGGCTAGATTGAACTTGATATACAACCACTGACTTTCATTTATGCCATTTACGTTTTCTTCGATTCTCTTATCCTCATTTTTCGTTGCGGGAAAATTCAAGTATACGGTCACCTAGCCAAACTCAAACTTTTTATATGTAGAAATGTTCAGCTCGACGAGCTGGTTCAGGATCAGCTGAAAAACGATTGGGAAATACTTCTGGAGTATAGGGGTCAAAAGTTTGAACTCCAGAAGGGCCAAAGAGGCCCATTTCCTTTGGATACTTCGCTCTAATACACTCAAACTTTACCTAAAAATAAGGCTTCGTAAGCCCATCCGAAGCGATGGCCCACCTTGCCTGACAATATGAAAAGCCTAACTGTAAAGTGTTTTTACTCAGGCTGGCGTTTTAGGATGGGACCGAGCCTATCTTGTTCAGAATTTTTTGCTGATTCCGAATCCGTTTTCCAAATTTGCTGCGGACTTCGCGTTGAAAAGTCATTTGAGGTCTAAATTAAGCTTAAAACCGGCATAAATTCGGATGCTGGCCCACTATTCCCTGCTTGGGTCCAGGTGTTGTTGTGCCCCTTATCTACCCTCCCGAAGCCCCGTTCTCAGTTGGCACCATGGTGCATTGGTAAGCTGTTCGCTTGCCAAGCACAGGGCGGCGGTTCGAACCCCGCCCTGCACAATTTCTTTTGCTTTTTGCACAAAAACAAATGATTTTTTTGCATAAGATCGCGCTTTGACCTCTAAAACTGTAACCGAGCCATTTATAACGTCGGAGGTGACGACAACATAAAAAATAACGCAAAAAATCCAGATTTAGTCAATTTTTTTTAGTATAAATGTCGGAAAACTTTTTAAATAAAAGTCGGCAGCAAATTTGGAAATCAGATTCGGAATCAGCGAAAAATTCTGCACAAGATAGGCTTGGTCCCATTATAAAAAGCCAGCCTGAGTAAAACACTTTACAGTAAGCGGTACCTCTATTTTACATTAATATCGTTAAAACGCTGAAAAGTTACAAACAATGGTTATTGAAGCGGTACGTAGGAATACAGGCTACACCGCTCCGTACAAAGGAGTGTCGCGTAGCCGGAACTTTCCGAAAACTGAATTTCAAACGGGAGGGTTTTGACCCTCTGACGTAAGTGTGTGCCGGGGCGCGCTTTAGCAGTGACGGGCTCCGGACGCGCCACATTACGCACGACCGTAAGGTGTATAGAACGGAATACTTTTTTACTCATCTAAGATGCAGAAAGCTTTTTAATAACCAGAGGACAGTGTTTTCACGAGTTGGGAACTGATGATTGTCACCTCCTAGGTTTAGAAGAAGAATAATTAGGGTAGAATCATTTACTTTAGCTTGGTGTAAATGTTCGTCATGGTATTCGTGTATGAAAGGAAAAGAACTTGAAATCTCTAAACTTAAAATGAAGCATACAAAGAGGCCACGGCAAAAGCGCACGTGGCTTGACGGAAGTACAACATAATCTCCAGCCATTCCTGGACCCGCTACCATGTAAGATTTTTAGGCTTCATCAAAAGAGTTGAAGGTTTCGCAATTCTTCACATGTCTGTGGTTTTGTAATTCTTCGTTCATTGGCCACTCACAGCCTACTTTGCGAAAGTTCCTGCGCCCCTGTTTCTTTGTAATGACTGGTTTCTTGTAATTAAGGACATCGCGGTAGCTTCTGATTTAGAAAAAGTATTTCAGACGAGAGTCTACAATCAATATCGGGCAGAAGTGAACCAATCAACAAAAATACTGGTATTAGGTTGGTCGGAAAGTAACTAGAATTTTTTTCGGCAATTTTTCATTAATTATCTAGAGCGTCAAGAGACTAGCTGTAACCTACACCAGAAAGCCCTATGTGTCTGCTATTGACCCTAAAAATATCTGGAGGATCCCACCTCTGTACTTGTATTTCTAACGATTTTCCTTGGGGCGCCCAAGAACCCGACGCGCGGACATTCGCGAGCCCCCAAACTTTTCTGCCGCAGAAATATTCAAAAAAAAACGCCACTGCGCGAGAGGTGTTAAACACGATGCAGTGCCAAGGGAAGATCTTTTGAACCACCGTGCTGGATTCCGCATCATAGTTTAATTTCAGCGAATTTTCTAGTTTCTTTGAAACAAAAACTGATGACTGAGTGTTTCGGACTCGAAGCTTTGCATAAATTAGATGCCTAAATAATCTGCCAATGTAGGCCATGGATTCAAAGCAGCACAGTAGTGGCAACATCATGCGATTGTCTAAAACCCGCATTGACTGAGGGTTTTTCAAAAATTTGAAAATTATTATAGGACTTAATGACCGAGCTTGAGACCCGAAGGTATCCTTGAACTTCCATTCTTTCTTTTTTCTGCACAAGCCTAGAATTCTTTTTGTATTATGGTATGATAGCCTCTTGCCACTGGGTACTGCCGGCAAAATATTATAACACAAAACCTTAAGTGACTGGTCGAAAAATCATAACAGCGAACTGGGCCTAAAATCGTGATATCTTCCTCCTTTTTCCGAGATGTAAACCTTTTCCTCGGAGACCAGTTGTAGGTTCTATGCGCGGGCATCTAGGCCTTACTCGGTCGCAACGGCTTGAAAAATTACCCACGCGATTTGAATAAAACGGTCGAAGAAGGGAATACGGATTTTGGCGCCTCGAATCCCATATCGACATCTTTTTGGATCGACCTAAGAAAATTTAAAGAGGCCGAAGCCAGATTTCTAGTGTTGACCAGTCTGTAGTGCAAACTTTCCTCTACAAAATTGACGCATTGGAAAAAATGGTTAGTCAGATCGGTGGGCGCAATACTCTCAAAAACCAAAAAAAAACCAGAATTCACATGATACGCGTTCTTTGATCTCTAGCTCAGCACGTTTAAGGAGTTCGATGCTGATATTTTAACCGAAAATACTAGAACATATGACCTCCCACTCAGCAAAATATCGAGGCGAAACAATGCTTCTTTCCTTAAAATTTTCTGCCTCGAAAATTTCTAGTTACTTTCCGACCACCCTAATATATTGTCCCAAAATTCCGAAAAGCCATGATACTGACGATTAACTCCTCCAGATTTACCATCAATGGGTTCTTTTGTTAATTACAAAGCCTTCTGTCTTCTTCTTTTACTTTATTTATCCACTTTGTAAAAAATAAATTGAGAAGAAATTATTCCGTTATATACACCTTACGCCCATGCGTAATGTGGCGCCTCCGGAACCCCGTCATTGCTAAAGCGCGCCCGGCACACACTTACGTCAAGGGTCAAAAACTCTCCCGTGAATTTCAAACCTTCGTAACTTTCTTTATACAGCTTTCCCAATAATTCTTTCAACAGATATGGGCTCTGCTCGACGGGCTGCACATTTCCATACACAAAACATGCCTGTATGCAGGCCCGTAGCGGAACCGAAATTTCGGGGCGGGCCCAAAAATTTTGTTGACCCCCCCCCCCGTCGCCACTTTTTAAAAGATCCGAAAACCGCGTCAATAATAGCAGTAAGTAGTAATCGCAAAAGGCGTCCGCTACACTCAAATTCGTGGGAAAACACGGCAGAAAACGCGCCGCAGGCGAAAATTTTCTATGAACAATTGATTCACCAATGAAAAACAAGCGCCGCAGGCCAAAAATTTTGAAAAAATAAGCTTCATATACGTAAAAACTGTTTGAAAAACAGTAATAAACAGCGCCGCAGGCAAAAAAAATTTTGTAACTAAAAATCATAAGGGTCCCCCCTTATGAATTTTTCGGACCGCGACCAATTTCGGGGGGCAGGGCTCCCTGGCCCCCCCCTCCTACGGACCTGCCTGTATGATAGGTGACCGTATACCTAAATAGCTAAATTTGGGCCCCTATATCTCGCTCCAAAAGTGTTTCCCAATCGTTTTTTCAACTGATCCTGAACCAGCTCGTCGAGCTGAACATTTCTACATATAAAAAGTTTGGGTTTGGCTAGGTGACCGTATACTTCAATTTAGCCTTCGTTGCTACATGAGCCTTTTCAGATGCTACGAAGGCAGATAGGTTCCTCTAACCTACTAGGCGCTAACCCGAAGCAACGTAACCGAGTGGTAATCCTACCATATATAAAAAACCAGCCGATTACAGCCGCTTCGCGACTGTAATCGGCTGGCCTTCGGGCTACCCTCCATATTCTACACTACCACCTACGTCGATCGCTTCAGATACCTCCTATAGCCAACCCCCTTAGATACCTAAACGACTTATATACCTTCCTGATGGCTTCAGATACCCCCGATGGCTGAAATCCCCTTCAAAAACTACCTAAATACTTTCCTGATGGCTTCAGATACCCCCCCATGGCTGAAATCCCCTTCAAAAACTACCTAAATACCTTCCTGATGGCTTCAGATACCCCCGATGGCTGAAATCCCCTTCAAAAACTACCTAAATACCTTCCCGATGGCTTCAGATACCCCCGATGGCTGAAATCCCCTTCAAAAACTACCTAAATACCTTCCTGATGGCTTCAGATACCCCCGATGGCTGAAATCCCCTTCAAAAACTACCTAAATACCTTCCTGATGGCTTCAGATACCCCCGATGGCTGAAATCCCCTTCAAAAACTACCTAAATACCTTCCTGATGGCTTCAGATACCCCCCATGGCTGAAATCCCCTTCGAAAACTACCTAAATACCTTCCTGATGGCTTTAGATACCCCCCATGGCTGAAATCCCCTTCAAAAACTACCTAAATACTTTTCCGATGGCTTTACATACTTAAAATCATTTAAATAATGAATTAACATAAATAAAAAGTATTAAAAATAATTAAAATAACTGAAAAAAGCTATCTGGAGGACGGAAGGCCCTGGGGAAGAGGGGCGAAGGGAAAGGGGGCGTGGCCTGCCGTGCAGAGGGCCCCCACTCGTTTTATTAAGGCGCCACTTTCAAAGTCAATTATTTTTATTTAAACGAAAACTTTTTTATAATGTTTTGATCATTTAAGGGGTTTCTGACCATGCGCTATCCGAATCCGAAGAGAGCTAAGCTCTCGCTCCTTTCCCCTTCGAGTTATAGTTGGCTTCAGACAGACAGACTGACTGACGGACGGACACCACAGCAAAATTATTATAGTTGATAGTGTCTACAGGGTGTCCCAAAAAAATATCCCCCCCCCCCCCTAGCCGGCCGCAAACCTGTCCGATTTTTACGACTTAGGTATCTATCGAAAGCTCTCGGAAAGGCGAGTCCAGCACGTCTTGCCGATTTTCGAAATGTCGGAATTTTTTGCTCCATTTTCGGCATTTTTCAGGCAAAAAGAACACGCTTTTTCGTCCAAAAGGCAGTTTAACCGGTTTAAGCGCTATCCAAGCTGTGTTTTCGCGAACGGCTTTCAAAGAGCTGTCGTTTGGCTGCCAGGAAAGGCATAAAAATCTTTATATTGCGATTTTTGTAAAAAACACCTTGGTCAGAAAAACATCAGAAAATCCGCGCGTTTCGCAAAAAACATTAGTAAATGATAGAAAGTAGATAGATAGAGATAGTAAATGATTTTAAGAATCGGGGAGAAGTGCTGGACTCGCCTTTCCGAGAGCTTTCGATAGATACCTAAATCGTAAAAATCGGACAGGTCTGCGGCCGGCTAGGGGGGATTTTTTTTGGGACACCCTGTATGTTGTCTGTGTGTGCGCCACTTTGCATCCACTTCCGTTTGTCTGTCCGGAGGATATCTCGATGAGGGATGCATTTTGATGTATGTATGATGATACGTCATTAGGTGCGTAATGGTCTTGAGATGACTGCACACATATCAGATCTTTCAAAATTATAGATTTTCGATACTAAATTTCGGTTTTTATGAAAACTTCTTTGCTAGAAAAAATTAGCATAGACCGGAAGCGGGGATTCGACTAAATAAGAGGGCAAAAGAGGTGTTTTTAATTCTTGTCATCTCAATTCAGCAGAATTATGCAAAGTGAAGGATAAGATTGGGTCGGACGGGGCCAGGGTTGAAAAGTCGCGAAGCGGCTTTTCAACCCTGGTTTACTCTGAATTATATTTTACTTTTTTCAGCCCCTGGCGTCCAACACGAGCCAACACAATGATCTTTCAATGAACTGCGCCCCGAAGACTCGCGGAAACTTCGAGATCTATACGGAGTCGCCTGTTGATGAAAATTCTAAAGACACGAACATCATCCATCAGCTAGACCGCCAGCTCAAAGAAAAATTCCGCACCGTTGACTGTGTCGTCAAGGGAATCAATGACAAGGTTCAGCTTTGTTAATTGCTTTCTTATTTCTGTTTAGCCCGACATGCCCACTGACTTCTCACATCTGCACGCCCTCAACAAGAAGCCACAGCCTCTTTCGGTCCACGTACCTAATATCAAGGTTTGAGATAGTTTCCGTCACATTACATTCTTTTAGACCCTTCCTTCAAGCTCTACCCTGGGTTGTTCGACTGTATATGAGGACGCGATTTCCTCGACGAGTCAAGAATATATTGACGCTTTGGCCGACTTTGCCGAACCCGTAAAGGTTTCTGTTGCCGAGGTGTGTATAGCGATTTTTTCCTTATTTATGAATGCAGGAACCTTCTGAAGATTTCGTGGAACAAGCCGATCTCGATGACTTTATGCTAACGTACATGTTGGAACGGTATGCAGTCACATCCGTTCGAATATTTATCTTTTGCAGGCAGAAGATCCTGCGTCTACCCAACTATCTCTATCAAACGGAGGTCACCGAACACGCCAGAACGGTGGTCGTCGAATGGCTGAGCAGCGTGTGTCTGGAATATGGAATGCACATTGTATTTATCTGGGATCTGTTACCAACCAAATCGCATTTTAGCAAACTTTCTGTCTCGGCGTCGCGATCATCGACAAGTTCCTCTCCGTCACATTTGTGGAAAAGCAGAAGCTGCAATTGGTGGCATCATCAGCGATTTGGATTGCGAGGTTGATATTTTTCTTGTCATTTACCGTAGTTTTTTTAGTAAGTTGGAGGAGATCTACCCGCTGGAAATGCACCAGTTGGTCTTCTCCATGGACAACGCTTTCAACGAAGAACGGGTCCGGTACACCGAGCGCTTGATCCTCGAGAAGTTGGACTTTAATCTGGGATTCGCCACTTCGTACTGGTTTGCGTCGAGGTTGTCTTAACCTTTAAATCGTGTAACCTGCTTTTAGATTCTCACACCAGCTGAAGGTATCTTCGCTTGTCAGGCATATGGTGCGATATTTGACGGAGCTGGCGTTGGTTGAGGTTTGTCAATATTTTTTTATTCATATAATGCCCAAAAATAGTACTTCCTCACCCAATTCCGACCCTCCACCCTCGGTGCTGCAATCGTACACACATCGCTATTCATTGTTGATGGTGCGAGCCTCCATTCCGAATCGTTGTCCAAATTGATCGACGTGGACCAGGGTGAACTCGGTTAGTGCATTCTTTGGATTCATGGTGTATTGTTATTTCAGAGACACTCTCGAAAGAGCTGGTCATTCTCTTCAAGGATGCCCCCAAACGCTTTCCGTGGTCCATCTACGAGGCGTTCAGCGATCCTGTCCACGGCTGCGTCGCCACGATTGCTTGTCCTGCTGTTCCTTTGTGATCTGGTGCTCTTACGCATAATACACTAGGTTCATTTTTTAGGGTCTCAGACCGCCACTTATGATTTACTGTACTTCTTGTGTTTCTTAACCTCGCGGGTAGCGAGTGTACCCCTTTTAACCCCGATACTCAGGGCTTTCAGTTGGATCCCAAATTATTTATTTGTCTGTGTTTACCTCAGTTTTTCTTTGTGTTTATCGCACGTTTCAGAGTGCTTGTGTTATTTTCGATTTGCGCACGGCGCCAATAAATGAATTTCGTGAACTTCAGTGGTTATTCCCCTACACTTTTGACCACTTTTTTAAAGCGGTAATACTTAGCGAAAAAGCAGTAAAGCGTGGTGCGTGACAAAAATCATTTATAGCTTTTACCGGTAATGCACCAACCATCTCTGACAATTATCTACAATCAGATGGTGAAAGCCAAAGATCAAGGGGGAATGTTCTAAATACATGTAACATTTGGTCAAGAAGTCGACTAGGAACCCCTTCGTTTGAGTGAAAGTGAGCCGAGAAGCACCTGGTGGGAACAATAACATGATGGCGATTGGAATTGAATTATAGGAGTGCCGAATGCATGTCACAATCGGGCATCGTCACGCCAAGGCTATCTCGCGTGACCTAAGTAATTGTTTATAAAAATGGAACGATTTCTGGGTTACCGTCGAGACAAGTTTCCATGCTTCCGGTCCACAATGGGCGATAATTATTGGGTGAGAACATCTGTAAAGGTTATTTAGGAAATTTAGCGGCCGAAGACGCCATTTAGAGGCCTTAAAATAGCTTTTGATCTCTACTTGTAACGCGAGGGTGTATTTATAACTTTATACAACCTATACCTCAAGTACCCATCCATAGCCCGGCACATATCCGATAGATAAGCTTCCGTTGAAGTGGCTTTGTTCTTCTGCGCCTCAGCAATGGCTTGGGTGGCCGCGATTTTACAGCTGATATACTCCTTCTCCGTCTCAACCTGAATCCCGCTCTATTGTTTCGTTTCTGGAGTTTTTCACTTACCTTGGCAAAGCAGGCGGCGTGTTTTTCGAACAATGATTGACCGCTGCCGCACATATATCTGAAGATCATTCTTTGAATAGAAATTTCAGAGTTTTTATACCCATATGATGCATCAACGGCATCTTCTGAAAGAGAATCACACCCGACGCCCTTCACGCAATCCTGAACAACGGAATAAGGTGCTGTAAAGACATCATTACCTTGAAATCAGCGTAGATCGAGCAGAGTTGCGTGAACACTTCCCTCCCCTGCACGGGGAGCTGCATGCCTGTGTCGCTCTGGAGTTGAGCGGCAAAGGTAAGCATCGGCTGCAGGCAGGTGTTGACCTTTTGCTCGCTGGGATAGTCGCACTTCGGTTTTGCCGTCTCTACGACCCAGAATAGCCACGATAGACCGACGATGAGCTCGCTGATCATTGTACGCATTGCTAGAATCGTTTTATTAAAGGATCATTTCTATAAAAACGTTTGCAGGGAGGAAAACCCTTTATAAATAGCGTATGCCACGCATCCCAGATCCCGTTTCTTGCCCCTACCCACCCCCATGCCTCCATAAATAGAATTAGGAGCGAGGCCGGACTTACCTCAGAGTGTCTCAAAAAAGGAGACAAGGATTCTGAGCCTCAAAAACATGCGAAAGTCGATGTGGCCAAGCTAGTCAATGCCGGGATGACATAATCTATAGACAAGTCGTAGGGGGCAGCCAGGCTTTTAGGGACTGCGGGGAGGAGGAGTGGGACGTTGAAGGTGTGTCAAGGGCGGGAGATGTCAAGAATAGGGCCGATTTCCCGTGTGCTTTCGGGCAGAAGCTGTGCTGCCCGGGGTGGCTTTTTGAAAGGGAAGCTGAGGTCGAAGACCGCTGGCTAGTTACTTAGTAATAAGAGGTTTACTAAATAAAGAATTGTCGTATTTTCTCTAATAAAAATGACAGAAATCATAGGGTTTCTAATTTTTTCGGTGACCCTAAGTGACTTTGATAGAAAAGTATATTTTTCGAGCAAGCAAATAATCGAAAACCAGATGGTTACAGTCGCTTCGCGACTGCAACCATCTGGCCTTCGGGCTACCCTACATGTCCCACTCCACCACATCCTTTCCCACCTCCATCAATACCCCCCATAGCCGAATTCCCCTTCAAAAACTACCTAAATACCTTCCTGATGGCTTCAGATACTCCCCATGGCTGAAATCCCCTTCAAAAACTACCTAAATACTTTCCCGATGGTTTCAGATACCTCCCCTAGCCGAAATCCCCTTAAAAACCAAAAATAACGACCGACCGGATGGAATGAGAGAAAAAAGAAATGAAATCCCCGTGAAATTTTCATCCACGAAACGCGCGGACCTGGTCGATGTCCAAAATCACCCCAACCTCCGTCCCCCACCCTTTTACTAAGGAAAAAACTTTCAAATTTAATTTTAATAATTTAAACTAAAACTTTTTCGTAATTTTTTTATCAGTTTGGGGGTTTCTGACCACGCTCTATCCGAATCCGAAGAGAGCTAAGCTCTAGCTCATTTCCCCTTCGAGTTGAATTCGGCTTCACACAGACAGAGACCACAACAAAATTATTGTAATCGAAAATAGGAATAAAATTGGTCGATTTTGCCCAATTTCTTCGATTTTTACGACTGGCAGCTGTTTAAAGCTACAAGTAATCCCCGATAAAGACAAAACCCAAACTTTTTTAACGTTTTTCAACTCTAAATACAATTTTTACAGATTTTAACAGGTCAAGGATTTTCTTAAAAGGTATCTATTTCCTTAACCTCGGGAATATGATTTTAATGGAGGAAATACTGCAGTTCCTATTTATTAAAGTTCCTGCTTTCCAGGAACGAAAAGCCAAACATTTATAGAATATTCAATATCTTTTCACAACAATATCCCCTCTGGCGCATTACGTATTATATGATATCCCATCCAAAACCCATTATCCATTCTTGGCGCGCGCCCCCGCCTGCCCTAATGGACCCGCCGACACCCTAGGGCCCATTTTTCAGCCTGGTTTATTGAGGGAAAAGCATCTAGAAATAAAGGATTTTAGGATTTAGATAACGTCAAAAAAGAATAAGAATAATAGATAGGCATAATAGATACGTCAAAAATAAAAAGGCTTTTGCGTGAATTGTTTCTGGGTGGCTGGAGGATGCGGGGGGTTCCGGCGTTCTCGGCCAAAGGGTTAGGGCAACAAAAAAATGCCGAAAAAATGTCGCCTCGGCGGCCGGCGTAAAGCATTTGAACAAAGGGGTCCTTATGGAAGTTGCGCGGGGATTTGGAAAGCTGAGGGTTTGAGGTGTATTTTGTATTAAATGAAGGGTTAGAACGATGTAAAACTATGCAAATTTTTCGAAATTTATAGGAATCTGGGACTTAACTATGAATTTAAAAGAATAATCGCTTGAAAAGAATACAATTGAATATCTTTAGAAATACCGCAAAATTTGCAAAAATATTTTTGACATTAGGAACCACCTACGTTTCTAAAGGGATTTTATCAAAAAGGGTAAATATTTCATGCTAAATTAAAATCCTGTTTATTTTTTCTTCAAATGTGGGCAATTTGTAGCTTCATAAATGTATTAAAATACATGTACGAACCAGGTATAAAATTTATATCTTAAAAATCGTTTTCTAGCAACCAATGTTTAGCTAGCTTTCTGAAAAGAATTATTTGAATATCCAAGACCTAATCCTAAACCCTAAAAACCCAATTTAAATACAACTTAAACTTTCAATCAGCGGAGACCCAATTCCCGAAACCCAGAATAGCTGCCCTAGCCCCCAAAAAATTAATTGGTAATCCCCCCAAATTGCCCAAATGGGCCGTGGTATGGGAGACAAATTGGGGTCGTCGTCAGCATGGGAGGAGGCCTGGCAGTTGTAATCAAGTCCCAGGGATAGGGAGAGGGTGAAGCTGAAGCCCAGAATGCCGGGAGTGCCGAGTCGAAATTTGGGGGGGGGGGGGGGGCGGCAGCAGGGGCGCCTGCAGTCGACATAAAAGGGATTCGAAATGAAGTTGTGAGGCCCTAGAGGGCTATTCAACGGGGAAGGGGAGGATGAGGATGAGGATGAGTGGGGGGAGCTTGAGCTGTCTTTCGTCAATCAAAAGGGGTAAGCGAACGGCTTGAATTTGCGGGGGATGATCAGCGATTCTTGCGGAGGGCAGCGGCGGGCTTTTTTCTGGGGGCGTCTGTTTTGAGGGTGGGGCGCGGATTCTCGTATTCTGAATTTTTGAACAAACCGCCTCTAGCTTATAGAAAAAGTGGGATTTCATAGCTAATATCGTGGTATTCAGCTTGTAATACTATACAAAACCGTTTAAGTTTTATTTTGTAGCTCTAAAACAAAAAAAAAGCAACCCCGAGTTGCTCCTATCCTGCGAAGCCCCGGCTGTTGGACTCAATTAATTTGATGCGGCCTTTAGATAGGGCCAAAAAGAGGGCCCTAAGAACCCGGAATGGGGAGCCCCAGACGTCGGCGGCTCGGGACCCACAATGGCCCTAGTCTTCTTGGGGGGACCCTGGGCGCTGTGGGCCCAAACACCCAAAGTTAACGCAATTTGTCGCTTGCTGGCAGGGTCGTCAAGATTTTTCCGGTCCTAACCACGGATTGGGGTGGAAACATCAAAGTTGCTGCAATCGTTGAATGGGTTTGGAGAGAGAGAGAGAGAGAGAGAGAGAGAGAGAGACAGAGAGCGGGAGAGAGTGAGGTAATGAGAAAGAGAGAGAGAGAGTGAGAAAGAGCGAGAGCGCGAGAGGAATAGGGAACGAGGGAAAGCGAGAGAGGGAGCGAGATAGGGAGGGAGAGAGAGAACGCGCGCGAGAAAGATAGGCAACGAGACAGAGCGAGAGAGAGGGAGAGATATATGGATAGCGAGATAGAGAGAGAGAATGAGATCTAGAGAGATATCGAAAAGCGATCGTTTTAAAGGAACGGTGACAGCAAGAAACGCATTACAAGAGCCTTAGGTTTACTTGAAACATATCGGAAAGCTCAAAACCCTGAAAAATTTAGTTTAAAAGCGTCACTGTGGATAACCCAAGCTACAGTATATTCCACTAAACTCTGCCTACCGTTCCCCAAATCCTACTTCCGCGTCTACAAAAATTCAATGGCTGTAGGCTGTTTTAGAAGGCAAATTCGTTCAGGCGCCGAGTGGATGTGTAGATAAGGATGGGGAGTTGGGAAGACGTTGAAGGGCCGCCCGGTGCAAATCATATTTCCTCCGTCGTGTCGGGCGGCGCCTCGACGGCTGCTCGTCCCCCCTAAAAACTGCAAGCCCGAAGATGAGGTGCGAGGTTGTATGTACACTTCAGAGAAGGGAGTCTTGTCGAAGTTGTAATAACTGGATGGTGTAGAAGGTATGAAAATTTTGTATAAGTTTGAAGTGCAATTAACTATAATTTTCAGGGCCTTTCAACGTTTCCAATACCTTAAACCTTAACACTACTAGCTAACCCTCACAAATAGCCACACACAAAAACACCAACTGTCCGAGCGGTGATGAAGCTGTTTTCCGACCTCGACCCCCGATTTTCCGGTCCCTTCCCACTCACTTACCCCCAAGTTACCTCCAAATCATGAAAACCCTCCTCTATTTTCTAATCCTACCTCTCATTATACATTCCATCCGAAACGTCAAACAACTCAGCCCGAAGAACCAAGACTTTCTGGTCGAGGTACCTGGTTTTGAGCGTCTTTTCAAACCCTGCTACAGCTAACGACTGAAGTGATGAACCTGGCGAGTTTTGGACCCGAGAACCCGTCCGCCAAGCCGTTTTACAAGGTCATCCTCGCGAGGTGAAGCTTGTTTCTGACGAATTTATGTTTTTTTAGGTACAAGGCGATGCCCCAGGCGCAAAAAAAGACGATTTGCGGAAACATGTGCCGCAATTCGGGAAGATCTTTGATGAAGCTTGTGGGTGAAAAATTGTTGTTAAAATGAGTTTTTTCAGTGCTGCAATTCTCCGTGGATCATGGCGCAGCGTATCGTGGTCTTGGGCATTTTTTCAAGAATTACAAGACTGGAATTCAAGGGCATCATTGAGGAGAATGAGAAAATTCGTAAAAAGTGATTCTAGAGGTGTAAAATAATTATAATAAACTCTAATTTGCATTGCCGCACACACTATACAATGAAAAAGCCATAAAAATGCCATAATTGGCAAGGGCGTTCTGATTACTTTGATAAACTTTTTGTAATAGCAAAAACAACTTAAGAAATCCAAAATCTGTTTTTTTTTGCTTTATTCAAAAAACACAAGCTGTTTTGTTGCTCCCCATTTGTCGTGTTCACCAAATAGTAAAGCAGACCGAATTCAGCGTCATCTTTTGACTCCTCCATCATTCAAAATCCATTCTTTCCTACCCCTAAAATACCCCCTTCGACCCATTGCCGGCTCATTCTCCCCCATACACATGCTTCTCCTTCCCCTTCCTAAAGATGAGCTTTAGCAGGGAGGAATTTGTGAAGCCGAGACACATTCCTCTTTGCTGCCTCTCACCCCCACCAGGGCCATGATGGGCAATATTGCTTTTTCGGAGGGGGAGGCTGGTTCGAGGACCCTCCTTACTTTGTCATAAGGGTAATCCCCGCACCTCAGCCCCTTCAAAACCACCACTTCCACCAAACCCTCACATCGATTGGGCACTTTTTAGGGTGGAAACTCCTGGCTATAGACGTCATCTAGGGATGGCGGGTACAGGGAAGAAGTTGCAGGTCGGTTTTTGGGTATTGTAGCGTAGGGTGGCTTTTAGGACCTTGCCAATAAGCATCTTTTCACTGGATCGGTTGATTCTTGGAATGACGAATGGAGTCATGGATTTTCTTCGGCTCCTGGTAGTTTTCAAAGTAGGTATTAAAGCTTTTTCTAGCTCGACCAGCCCCGCCTATGACAACACAACCGGAAGAGCACGCATTAAGAGATCGAAATGGGTAATTTGCATATTATAAACCCATCAAAGTCTGGATTTAAGCTCTATGGGCTATGGCACTTCTGACGAGGTCACCACTTTACCTGCTCAAGAAGAATCAGACCCTCACGCTAGCAAGGAGCCAATCACCTCACTTCAAGTAGAAATCTCTATATATAGATTATGCTGAATTCTATCATGTTCAGGCAGCCTGGAACGTAACTAATGCCATTCAAGGAATGTTCATCGTCGGATTACCAATTGCAGTCAAAGTATCGATTTTTAACCTCTTTATGGTATGATTTTTAGGTCGGCGGCTGGTGGAGCGTTGGTGCCATGGTTTTTGTGGCCTGGATCTGCTATTGGACCGGATTGCTTCTCATTGAGTGCCTCTACGATAAGGATGTGAAAGTCCGACATAGTTATCGAGATGTAGCTGCAAATCTTAATTTCTGAATGTGTGAAATAGGTAGCAGAAGCCTATCGGCCTGGGTTCGGAAAGGTCGTACTCGCTGCGCAGATGACAGAGTTGCTCTCGACGTGTATTATATACTTGGTGATGGCTGCCGACTTGCTTCAGGCTTGTTTTCCGAGTATAGGTATGGGGAGTTAATGGCAGCTTAATTAAGCAAAATTTCAGACAAACCGGCTTGGATGATGGTCGTCTCCTCGGTTCTTTTGGGATGTGCTTTATTGGAATCATTAGTTGTCGTATCGCAGGTAAAATCCGATAGTGGCTTGGGCTTGAGCTTAGGCTTAGGCTTAGGCTTTCGTAAATACCTTAACTATCCCTTCAGCTCTCCTTTGCCAACGCTGTTTCCCATCTAGTCATCAATGCAATTATGGTCATCTACTGCTTATCTCAGGTATACAAATATAAAAATTATCATTTCAACATTTTTTAGGTATCTAGCTGGGTTTGGGGCGAAATCAAGCTCCTGCCATCCATTGACACCTTCCCGACAATGATTGGGGTTGTCGTGTTTGGCTATACCTCCCACATCTTTTTGCCTTCTTTGGAGGGGAGCATGAAAGTATTTACACACCTGAAAATGAATTGCTTTGAATTTAGAACCCCTCCGAATTCAAGTGGATGCTAATGTGGTCCCACGTGGCTGCCGCACTTTTTAAGGCTATTTTTGGGCTCATGGGATTTTTGACTTTTGGAGAGCTGACACAGGTGAATTTGCATAAAAATAATCTTATTTTGTAATCACAGCAAGAAATCTCCAACTCACTGCCAAATCAGGGCTTCAAGATTATTGTCAATTTGATATTGGTCGTAAAGGTAGTGAAACGTACTTTTCAGAAATTCTTTTAAAGGCGCTCCTTTCCTATCCCCTCCCGTATTTCGCTGCCGTTCAACTCATCAAGGACAATTACTTTCGGGGCCGAAAATTCACACTTTTTACTAGGTATAAAATTAACATAAATTAGATTTGTAAATTTTGCAAATTTTGAGCTGCTACTCGAAAGACCAAACCCTGCGTGAATGGGCGCTTTTGCTGCGTATAGTCTTGGTGCTATTCACGCTATTTGTCGCGCTATCTGTTCCTTATTTGATTGAATTGATGGGATTAATTGGGAATATAACTGGTAGGTTTTAATTATGTTAATTATAGACAATCTACATCCTTTTTGGTTAGCAAAATAGGTCAAAAAATCTATTAGGTACGATGCTCTCATTCATTTGGCCAGCCCTCTTTCATCTAAAGCTAAAACAAGCCGGAATGGTGGATCGGTAAGTTTCAAGCCTTAATAAAATCATAATGATTAATTTATATAATTTATAGTAATTTTCAGCGATCGCAAATTCGATCAATTTGTCGTCGGACTGGGCTGTTTCATCTGCGTGACCGGCATCTATTATTCAGCCAAGGAACTCTTGCTAGCTATCCAGAATAACGATCAATAACTCGGATTCCTGTTTTAAATCGGCAAATAATTCAATGTAGTCTTGATAAAGGTATTAAAAACATTTTATTGATGGCGTACATCAAATATTCACTGTGCCCATTCGTCGTGATTAGCATAATTATTAACTCGCTGTCCTGTGCTTTATCAGACATGATCGGACGTCTAGTAGATAGGCTAGGCGTCCAGCACGGCTTGATTTTGCATTTTTCCGTGTCAGACAGATTGGCGATAGCTAAAACAGGCTGATTTAATGGCAATTTTTATAGAAAATCGTATTTATAGTAATTAACACTTACCATTATTTTATTCGCGCTATAAACCGCATCAGACAGATTGCATTTATCCGTGTCAGACAGATTGTCCTAAAATATTTTTGGTGTGATTAGAGGAATTTCGATGGCAACTAGTGAAAAAACATACCTTTGCCTAAAACCTCAACCCCAGGATGTATGGTAACAGGGCTATCGCGGTCTGCAAATCTATCTTAATTTTAGCATAAATCTCACCGAAAGCATCGAAAGCGTATCAGAGATTACGTCACATATTAATATTGATTTTCTTTAATCTAAAGTAAATATAATAACATTATTTTAAAAAATCTTGTTGAAAATGATCCCAATTTCAAACTTTATGTTAAAAATCGTTGGCCTACCTTTTTTCATAATTTCTATTCGCACTTATCCGTGTCAGATAGATTGTTGAAATCGTTCCAATTCATAAAATTCACATCATCACTTGTAAACTATCTAAAAGCTGCTTTATATTTGCTTGTTAAAAAATATAAGATTTTTAGTCAATTTCTGATAGTTTTTTTGTAAAACTTACGGTTTTTCAAACTAAATCATCAATAAAAAAGCGAGCTCGTTTTAGACGGCTTTTCAGGAAGCCATCGCAAAGTTTGGTGAAATTTCCAAAGCTGAGGAGATTCCTGAAATTAAGAAAAATATATTTATAAAACGCTTTTAGCAAGTGGAATTTGAGCAATGTGGTATAAAAAACCGAAATACGTGAAAAATTGCGGGGAAAATTGCTTTAAATGCAGTAAAAAGCGAAAGTCGAGATATCCGATTTTTGCGCCCGTCTGGCGTGACAAATGGAAAATAATACGATGAGCGATACTGAAATAGGGCGTGGCGAGAGAATATCGGTCGCGTAAAACAACGGGGGGAAATAGGGGGCAGAGGGGAGAGGGAGCAGAGAGGGTCGGGGGCAGACGACCTTCTTTTTATCGACCACCCAAGGGGAAGAGGCAGATGGCTTTTGTTTTTATTATTGAAGAAAGGGTGAAAATTGAGTCAGCGAGAGGATTGGGCCTAATAGAAAAAGCGCTAGCAATTAAATATATAAGAAAACTTGTCCGAAAAAATAAACCGCTAAAAATCGAAATAAAAAGAAAAAATATACACGAAGATTGTGCCCTTTAATGAAGTATAAGCTATAAATAAACATAGAAAACATTGCGCAATGTAATTGAAAAACCACTAGAAAAATTAAAATATATGTCTAGTGTTACTCAATTTCAAAAAAAGGGCTGGAAATATACAAAGATAGCATTTAAAAGCGCTATAAATACCAAATTGATAATTAATACTCGGCTCTAAACACTAATGTTATAGATTTGTGTTAGGCTTCTATTAATGTGTATTTTTATGTTTTGAATAATGCAGATACGCTTTCAAATATTCAAATCAATTTACTACATCCTTAAAAAAAACGTAATACACGAAAAAATTCAACTGAGACGAAAACCATGAGAAAGATGTGATACACCAGCGATATGAAGTTGTGAGAAATGGAAAGTGAAATCGACAGCCAGAGAGAGAGAGAGAGAGAGAGAGAGAGAGAGAGAGAGAGAGAGGAGAGAGAAGGGAGAAGAGAGAGAGAGAGAGAGAGAGAGAGAGAGAGAGATCAATGCAATCCGAGAACAGTTACAACAATAAACTACCGCTTATTAGCCGGATATTCAGATTTGGATTTCATATATTTCATCTGGAGATGGAGGCGCATGGCTGTGAGGGCCGAGGCGAAGAAGGCGAGTGTTACACTGGCGCCGACCAATACGAGGGCGGTCAACACGGATGAGGTCATGCAGTGAAGCGCTGTGATTTCTTCGCGTACTGAAAAGAGGATAGAATTTGTTAAAGTACTATATCAACAAAAAATACCTGCGGCTCGTTTATCACGCTCATATTCGTCTTCTAGCTCGATTTTGACGTTGTCGAATAATCGCATGGTGTGACCATCGACAATGCGATTTGCTCTTCTTGCACGTTTATTTTTACCACGCGCGCAGATTTCCTAAAAGAATCGTTTGGTTTCTCTCTCCCTCTCTCCCTCTCTCTCTCACTCTCTCGTTCTCTCTCCCGCACTCTATCTCTCTCTCTCTCGCTCGCTTTCTCTCTCTAAATCACTTACATTCGCCTTTTCCTGCGGTGTCAACTCGACAGAACAAGAAAAGTACACATCATCCGGGCCCGGAAATTTAAACGCCGAGATCTTGAAGAAGTACGATATCTGCTGATTGCTGCTGTCCTTCCTCCGCTCCATCGGCGAGACCACTGTCGGTCGGGTGACGCAACTAAACTCTAGACGTTCGGCGGATTATCCGATAATACCCATCCTTGTCGATCAGCTCAATTTTTGTAGTGCCCGGTCCATCAGTGGCAAAACAGGAATGGACGAACATATCGTAGAAGTTCGGGTCTAAACGGGTCGTCAAAAAGTTAGAAACCAGGATATACCTTTATTTAACGATCGTGAGCGTACGACTAAAGTAATGTTCTCTCCAATTTTGACTGGTCTGGATACCGTAGGAGCGCTGGGACCGTTTCCGAGTTGGATTTCGAGGAAAACCTAAAGGTCTTGGTAAGAGCAAAAAGTGCTGATGTACCTCTTGCTTGACCGTTTCCGGTTTCTGCGTGGCTATCATTCGATCGACCGGAACTTGGCCATCATCCGGGGATTCGTCTTTTGTAAAAGATACGTGCGGATGTAGGGGTGGATGTGGGGGTGGGGGCTCAAAATCTTCGACAGCATAGCCAGGGCGGTCCAGACTGGGAGCCACTTGGATCTGCAAAAAGGTGTAGAGCGGAAGGAGTAAATCTTACGGGTCCCCGATATGTGGGAGGGGTTTGATAGCCGAACGTTTGGGGTGGTGGGGTCATCGGGCGGATGGGAGGTGCTCTTCTGACCTCCGCGCTGACGGGCGGCATTCTGGAGGGCGTATTTCTACGGAATTTTCGACACTTACCGGCTAGTTGCAACTGGAATTAATATAGCTGGTTGCTGTTTGACAGCCGGAAGTGGGTAGCCATGGGTTAGGACGTCGTTATCTAGAAGCCCAAGGATAAAAATTGATTTTAAAGGGGTGGTGACAGTGAGTAGTATCTACCTAGCGACATTGCCGTTTTTGGTATCATTCCAGCATCGACAGAAGCCGGTACCACGACGTCAGCCCAAGGTTTTGCCTCAACCTAAAATACACTAACAAGGAGGACGGGCTGAAGCTCACCTTTTCAGTCGGTCTATTTGAAGCCGGCTCCAGTCCTACCCCGACTAATGGGTTGAATTGAATCCCTTCGAGTCGTTGTTGGTCTTGTAGCGTCCTTAAAGCTTCCGCACCATCAATTCTAAAGAAGGATAAGGTTGATATTTTGCTTAAGATAAACTTACCGTCCCTTAGTAGCAAGTACATTTCGTAGCGCATCAATTCCGGAAACAGATCCTGCCTTGGAGGTGCCGGGTCCCACAGCGAAAGAGTCTTGAGAGGCGATGCCTGGAAAAATTATACACATATTTCCACATTTACACATATTTCCATAACCAAAAAATATTTTGATTAGAAAATTAAAGCAAGTAATTTACTAGTCAAATCCCTACCTAAAAGCTGCCGCTCCTTATCCGCAAAACTCTGCCCATCAATAGAATTGTGCTCAATAGCATAGTTTGAAGCGGGACTTTGAGAAACTATAAAATATCACGATCATGAGTGAACATGACTACGAAAACATACGCCTCCCAGTCGATGGCACAATCGGATCTGGTACCATTAGCTTGGGCATGCTTGATCTCGTCCCAAAACCTGGGTTGTACCCGACAGACCCTGGTATTGGCCAATTGCCAAAAGGGGAGTTTGAGGAGGAGACTGCAGCTACTGTCGGGACCACTTGATGGCTTGTCTAAAAATTATATAAATTAAATTAATAAGTAGGTTTCAAACCTGCGCAGAGAGAGCAGGGCTTTCCTGATAAACAAAATTGTTTTGAGGGGGTCTGGGGTAGGGATCGATTGAGGGAGCGTGCTAAAATTAGTTTATGGATTTTATAAATCTCTAAAAACCTGTACTGTAGGTTGTATCGGAGTCATAGCCTCGTAAGTATCTTGGGCAGCGAGTGGAGCAGAAATTGGATGCCTCCGAATTTCCAGTCCCCGATCTCTAAAAATTTAAGGTAATTGGGATACCCTAAATCACGCTGAATTCGTATTCGCGGCCTTTTCAACAGTGGCGAGTTGACAAACAAAGGAAAACTGCTTGTCGGCGGCCGTTTGAGTGTCTTTATCCATCTGGACGTAAACCCGATTCTCCATTTGGTCGATTACCTGCAATTTAATAAGATAATTTCTAGGTTCACGTATGCTAATTAGTCTAAGAAAGATAAATATTTTCGGATGATTTTAATGGTATTATTTGCACTCTTCATCCTATCGTGATGATCCCTTGACATATCTGGATTGTTGAATCAACAAGACCCATCTGCCAGGATTCCGGGTATGACGTAACGGGGTCATACGCTAATTACGTAATGGTATCGGCTCGTCCAAGGTGGGGCAGAAAAGGGCTGTATTTTGGGATGTATAGGCCGGAAAGCGTAAGAATTTAGTTATGCCTTGATTATCAAAGTTTCGGTTTTAAAGGAGCTAGGAAGTGACCCTCGAAAGTTACTAGGTCTCGGCAGTTAGGCGCCACGAAAAAGATACATTGATTTTCGTTTACAAATCGAGTTTATAAGGCTGTCAAACCAAAATTCAACGTCAAGCTGTTTTTGAACGTCATTGATTAGCATAATTTTTGAATTCTAAAAAAATTGTGGGGCTGTCAAGACCCAGCCATTAAAAAGGATCGATTTTTTGCGTGTCCCAACGACTTGAATTTGTTCAGGTTCCTCATTACCAACAAATCCCACTCCCACTAAATCGGCGTAAGTTTACAGAGCTGAGATAGGCTCATCTCCCCCTTCCCCGTCCACTTCCGGGCTATGCCCATCCTCCCATAGAGGATACCTGTAATTATGAATGTCGCTAGCCTTGACACAGCCCGTGCCAGCTGCCAATTCAACTCCAGCGACTCTGGCGAACGAACGGCGGGTGGTTCGACCCACACTCACCACCCTTAATTGCAGTTACAACAATCCCGGCCATGAGAAATAGAGAGTTTGACCTAGAATGGGGGGCCTAAGCGGTAGGACCAATAAGGAAGAGGGGGAGTTGGAATTGAGAGAATTAGAAAAAGGGTCCTTAAGCTTTTAAAAGTAGAAAAACGCTCAAAAGTGAGATAAGCACTTTTAAGAGTCCTAGTAAGTAAAGCAAGATATCTGAGCTTGAAATACGTACAGAAAAAGCTCAAAAATGGGTTTAACGTATTTTCAAGGTTTCTAGCAATGAAAACAGAGCTTTGAAAGCAATGAAAAACGTCAGAAATAAAAAAATAAAAAAAATAAAAAAAATCAAAAGTTAATTTTAAAAAGTTTAACTAATCTATGAAGTTCCACCCACATTCCTCGTCGTCCTCGACAACTTCGTCCCACACCGATGAGCGGGTATAGAAAATAGTACAGTATCCATATCCATCGTGTTGTAGTAAATACACTCGTGTACATTTGCATAATCGAGCGAGTAGATCTTGCCATTAAACGCGCGATCAAAATCAAGCGACGCTGTGATGCCCTCGGAGGAGCACATCGCATTCACCGCTGAAACTTGAGCATGAGATTAGCTCTTGCCGTTACCTTTGATCTTGGGCGGGTTAAAATTAAACTGGCCGCGCGCAACGTTGATTAGCAGAAATATTCTCAGTATCATCTGTTGCTCATCACAGCCGAAGCAGAGGGAGGTAGAAGGGGTTTAATATGGCCGGAATATCGATATTACAGGAGTGTGAGGTGGTGCTCAGGAGTCCCAGTGAAAGTGAATGTTTTTGGGTGGGGGATAGGATGCAATGTAAGGTGGGGAATGGAGCGGAGTGTCTGAAATGGGCCTTGTCCCGGTTCGAGGGTCGGTTGAATCGAATGGAAACAGGGGCAGAGGTGGTACTGTAGAGGGGGCGGAGGGAGGAAAGTAGTGTAGGCAGTAGGGGGAGGGAGGGACTCGGTAATGGGAGACTCCCACCTAACCCTATGGACGGACGAGAGTCTCGGACCACAATTACCCCCCACCACCACCCTACTACCACTGTCCATCTCCTCAACTCAGGAGCATGAGGTGAAAACTTACTCTTGCATTTTTGACAGTCTTCTTGAGGGGGGGGGAAGGGTGAGAAGAAAACAACTGGGTTGACGTGGAGAAGAGAAAAAGTGCAAAGGGAGAAATGTTATGGGGTAAAATCGAGTCTGGGCTTGGACTTTCTAGAAGAAAAGGCCAAAAATCAACTTAGACACGATTTTGAATATCATTTTACATGCTCCTTCAGAAAATAACTTAATTTTACTCCTTTTGTCGTCAAAAGATCCAAATTTAGCCTGAAGAAATTAAGAGATGACATCCGGATGTCAAGTTTGAAACTGCCAGTTATAAGATAATTTCATAAACTTAAAAGTTTGTTAAGAACAATTTCGTGTTGAAAATTTGACGCTTTACAAGTTAATTCTTGTCAGCTTTTATGCAAATTACCCTAACCAGAAATATCCAATTTTATTACCCACCTGACTGACTTTTCAAAACCAAACCTACAAACAGACTCATCAGTTTTTTAATGTATTTCTCGTGGTATTCCCTATCAACTTTCATATCTTTTCTTGCTTCCAAAACAGTCCCCCGCTAAGCCCAACGCGTCCACATCCGCCACCTTTCCCCTAGGTAACCGGCCGGAAATTGGCCGAAGATGGCCCGGATCGGCGCGCCCAAAAATTCAGCGCCCCCACTTCGGCTAGTCAGCCAATGTGGGCACTATTATTTTTCTTATTTGGTAGGTGTTTTTTTTCATAAATTACAGTATTCGTTTTTAGCCCTATGCTATAAAGTGGATGGGCTACAGTGTTGGCACTGCGTCGGGCCTGATTGCGGTACTGTAACCGGGCCATCGGCAAAGATGATAGAATGTGATGACGGGCAGGCTTGCGAGGTATTGGATCTCTGAATTTTCAGGGTATTTTTGGTCTTGTAGGTGACGCAGCTGGTGTTCTACGACCTGGACCTGAACGTGTCGAAGGTGCAGGTGCCGATTCGGGGTTGTTCATGGGCGACTGGGTGCATGGCAATTGTGGATCCGACACCATGTCTAGAGGTGCCGAACGAACTCGGCGGGATGGGGTGTACGACGACAAAGTGTTGCATGTTGGATGGGTAGGTTTAAACGATACTGTCGATACCTCAGATGCCCTAGATGCAGGTTTTAGCGAGGAAGCGGCACGCCACGCGCTCGCGCACACGCCAAGGTGACGCGCGTTGCGTGTTGCGGGGCCGAAAATCCTTAGAAAATCCATATTCCTGCCTTCTTCCTCCCTTTAAAACCAATGTTCCAGGTGCAACCCGGCTACCAAAACCCTCATTTCAATGATCCTCATCCTCCTTGCCATCATCTACAGCGAAATCAACCACATCCGTATTTTTTAACCTCAATAAATCTTTGTTAATAAAAAACGCCATCGAATTTCTACAAAATTTATCACAATTCCTTAAAAATCCCCGTATCTTGAAATTGAGCATAATTTGCATACGTCGCTCTATTTTTCGTTCGTTTCGGCAATCCGAGCTGGACAACTCTTGCTCTTCTGATTTTCTGGCAACGACCATGATTGAGGAGTGACTAAATCAAAACTCCGCCAAGCTACAAACTCCAAACCTGTCCCAAAAGTGATAAACATCACTCCACTGACCACAAGAATGGCAGCTATAGTGAAAAATACGATTAACCATTCGATTGGACTGTTCTAAAGGGAAATTTAAGCCAAAAATGCATCCATTCAAACCGTCTGGGTGACGAAGCCGACATAATTCGGTGTCACCGCACTGGCTAATTGGCCAAAGGTACGCGAGACACTATTGATGGCTACCGTATGAAGGGGAGCTACCGAGATTAGAGCTGTGAAATAGCCTAAAACGATTTAGTATTATGGAAACTATAAGCTATAAATTACCTCCAGTATATCCGGATAGACAAGAGGTTCCTACTGTAATTAGGAGAACTGCTAACACGGGATGTCCACAGGGAAGTAGCGAAACTAACGCCAGGCAAATCGCACACCCAAATGTTGCTAGAATTTGTCACTATATAATTTTTGAAGGTATATATTGATACCTAAACAATTCGAAATCTTTGTGATAAGATCAATCTTCTTTGGATATTTCCTCTTCAAAGCGTCTGCCGAACCACCAACAATAAATTTCATAATTGTTTGGCATAAGAAAGGCAGGGCCGACCAGAAGCCGTTCTAAAAATCTTAACGTTACAACTTAATCAACCCTACATTCGTCAAATCCATACGCTGAACATGCTTAAAATAGCTCGGCAAATAGGTGGTGAGCGTGATTATTGATACTGGAAATATATTGCAAATCACAAGGGGGTTTTCTCCGGACCTGATTGCCCGATTGTGCAGACGACAAGGGTGATAATTAGGGGGGAGGTGAGAAGGGTCTTCCAAGGCGTGTCTTTTGCCACTTGCTTGGAGGTCATTTTGCTAAAGTTTTTTGGGGGTTATTTCATTAAATTTACCCGCAAATCAGCTCTTTTTCCGCATCTGAGATGTCGTTGCAGTCATGAGGCGTATCGCGGACTATCCAACGCCAGAGGATGCACATTAATGCGCCGACAGCACCTTAAAAATGTTTTTTGTTATTAGCAGGATAGGCTTGCTCAAAACCCTCAAACGTTAAAAGTACAGCGACATCTAGCAACAACCTACTGTCACTCTCCCTTTAAATTCATTTTTGGTTGTTTATACCTACCATATATGTAAAATATAGCCCTCCACCCTCCAATCGATCGCATCTGACAAATTTGCGATGATACCAACATAGCAACGACATACGACATTTGATTTCCTAAATTCGGAATATTATTACTTTTTTTTAAGCTACCATTTGTATAAAATGCCACCGCTGAACTCTTCTCCTCTTTTGGAAACCAAGCAGCCGCTACGGTGGCACCAAGCGGGTACTGTATTCCCTAAAAAACGTCTTTTTTCTTCTTGGATACCCTAAACCTGCCCGGCCCCCATAATCGCTCGCAACAAAATTATCCAAAAAACGCCCAGATCGGCGGCGAGCGGCGTGAGAAAGGACCCAATTACATTAATTGCAGCCCCGGCGAGCAGCACGTTGCTGGGACCAAATCTATAAACTTTGAATTTATAGTGTCACTACCCCTTTAAAATAATCCTATGATTTGACCTACTTATTACTCAGCCAAGTACAACAGCAAACAGACACCACACCGCCCCAGAAAAACGCCGAGAAAATATTTGACTGGGCTTCGCTTGACCATTCGAGTGTTCCGTCCTGGATTAACAATTTTATTATGAATTTTTGGCACTTACATAGCTTGTTTTTGCTTCTACTGTTAATTCGGTTGGCAAATCGCAACCGATTATGGGCGGAGTATCGTTAGAAAGTGAATTTGCATCCTCGAAAGTCGAGTTAACCATGCAAACCATAGCCATGCTGAGGTTCGTTTTCATGATGCCCTTAGTGCGCGTTTAAAGTTCAGAAAATTTGAATTTTTATACCTGGGCAAACATCGAAAATCCTATCATGAGGAGTACACGAAAACGCTTGGATTTTGGGGAATAGAGACCTGCAAATGGAAATTTTAGCTTTTCAAGGCCTTGGCAAGGCAGGATTGGTTATGCTTGTAGTTATAAATATAATATTTGACTACATAAACCCTTTAAAATCTTTATTTCAGACTTTTAGAGGTATAATAAATGCAAAAAGTTACTAAATTAGCTAAAAATACTATGGTTAACATAATTAACACCTACCTGACGCGCGACCAACATCCTTCCTCCCATATTCCATAAGCTCAAAATTTTCGCAACCTTCCTAAAGGCAAAACCGAAAAATGACAAATGACCGAGCGCGGGTGTACCTTATTTCCCATCTGCATAATCCTATAGGTCGCGACAGCAATATTGCACCCCCTGCAAAGTACGATCAAATACAATGAACACTCAAGACGGCTGTATGGCTCGAATGTTTGGGGTTTATCTGGCTTTTTCACTTCTCATCACCGGGCTCCTCAGCTCTCGGGTCCATTGGCCACTTCTATGCTTTCTGCTGTCTTTTCCTGGAGGCCCAGTGAAAGGGAAAGTACGCTCCACTCCAAAGAACGAGCCGATTGTGTGCTGTTAATGTCTCCCCATTCCCTTACATGCTCGTTAGTGGATTGGCAACTGCATGTAACTGCCCAGCTGTTTTCGTGGGGGCCAAAAAAGTGGCAGATGTCTTAATGTTGGATTGATATGAAAATTGAGAGAATAGATCTTAAAACACCTTGCTCATTCCTTCTATCGCTCTCTATAAAATTCCCTTAAAAACAATTTACCATTATTTTTCAGGAATTCTTAATGCTTCGCCGACTCGGCGGCAGTTCCAACTCACTATGGAAACCGAAGAACCCTCATTCATTAGAATATTTAAGGTATATTACATGGATTTAATGAAAGCTACGATAATATGCTTAAGATACCTCCACGGGGTACTTCAGAAAAATGAAAAACTCACCGACCCCAATAAGAAAGTCCTCGTCGAAGCCCTCAGAGCTATCTCTGAAATTCTAATCTGGGGCGATCAAAATGATGGCACGGTTTTTGAGTAAGTTCCAACAAACTTTCCACGAAATATCTTTATAGCTTCTTCCTGGAACGCCAAATGCTGTCCCATTTCCTTCAAATCATGAAGCAAGATTCATTAAATAGCGGCAGTTACGTATCGATACAATTGCTACAAACTCTCAATATTCTATTTGAGAATATTAGGCACGAAACGTCATTATGTAAGTTTGGAAGAGTTATAACTCCTTAATTTTGAATTTTAGACTTTCTACTCAGCAACAATCATGTAAATCACATAATCACACATCGATTCGACTTTCAAAATGAGGAAATAATGGCGTATTATATTTCTTTTCTAAAGACGCTCTCGATGCGGCTGAACCCAGCCACGATACATTTCTTTTTCAACGAGGTAAGCTTTAAAAAAATATCTTAGTTAATGAAATTTAGTTTTCAAACGAATTTCCCCTCCTCACCGAAACTTTGAAGTTATATGATTCCAGAGAGAATATGGTAATTTATACAAATCAATACCAAAAACCCAAATTTAGGTGAGAATTGCCGTGCGAACGATTCTGCTCAACATTATACGGGTACCAGCTGAAGGGTTACAAGCATATTTAGCCGGCGCATTAAGAGTAGGTCTAATCATGCCCAAAATTTCATAAATTAACATTTTCAGGATTACCTATGCGATTTAATTGATCAACTTGTCGATATGGCGTTGGATTTGGACGTGTTTGTAAGGTCCGCCGAAAATCTGACGATAAATCGAGATCGATTGAGGGATAAGGTATAGAAAACTTAAAAATAAGCAAAAAACTAGTTTAGGTGGATGATCTGGTCGACGTTTTTCACTATATCAGCGACCTCTTGGCAACCCAATCAATTTCCGAGCATTTATCACATTTGATATCTTCTCGATTTTTGCTGCCGTTGCTGCTGAATTCATTGATAGCTAGGAGGTAGGAAAAATTGTTATTTTTTATTTTTTATTTTTAGAAACAACCAAGCGATGCTCTTGACGCCAATATCTTCCTTATTTTTCGCTTCTCAGGTTCGTACTCTAAAAATTTAGCTAATTTACATATCTTAATTTAGATCCTCCTCGTCGTCGCCTACAAACCACTAATCGAAGCCTTCGTCCAAGCATTCCTCTTCGAAGACGCTTCTATACTCTGCACACAATGGATCAGATCTGAAGACTCCTACCGTCTCGAACCCGCCTCAACTACCGGATCTGTTGCGCATGAAGATCGAGCATTCTTCGGAGGCCTACTCGCTGCCCTTGATAGCACCCAAAATGATGACTACCTGTCCTTCTACGCATTGATGCTCATCTACGCGATGCTGCAGAATAAAGGTGAGTTTTAAAGGGATGATTAGTGGGTGGGAACTTTGAAAAACGATAAGACAAATTAACCAAAACTTTCTCGGTATCGTTCCTGCAGAATGTAAGTTGACAGTGTTGTCGCGTACTTTTTGCTATTGTTCTACCGCTATGGTGTTTCCAAAATAAGCAAAAATGAAATTTAAATGTTTATCATTCAGGTGACATTGGGGATATTTTGACGGCGGCTAGTATTCCTCACAACGGTGGTTCCACTCCGGTGCCGACATGCGAGCCGAGGATATTGAAGGGGCTGATCGAAGTGGTAAGTAAATTATGGTAATTTCTTAACGCCATACTTTGAATATTTTTAGATAAATAAAATATCCATTTTTAGGTAGAATCAGCTGCAAAAGCCGATTCACGACTTCGCCCCGTCACCCTTGAACTTGCTTGCATCGTCCTCAGACAATTGGTACTACAGGCTGACGATGATAATAATGTATGTAAATTTAATCAATGCTTTTTATTGTTTACATAAGTTTTAATTTATTTGATTTTTGCTTGTTTCAGATGCACGAAACCATTGCTCGCAGTGCCGGTGTTGTACAGGCTGTGATGGGCACCCACCTGGCTGCTGCTCTATCCAGAGAGCAGTCGTTTTTGGAGATGTTTGAGGATGAGTACGACCAGTTTAGTGTATGTTTTTATACTTTTAGTTTAGCGTATAGAGAGTAGTAATAAACTATAAATTTTCTTAGCACTGCCAACTCCGACTAGGCCAGGTCGGTTGGGAGCTCCTCCTCCCTCCAGCCACCGCTCCAAACTCTGGCCTCCCCTTGAATAAGAGATTGCCAGAAGGTCATGAAGAAAGGGTTAGAACGGTAAGCACCTAATTACGTGCCTATACTCTATATATTTTTTTCCAGAATATTCAACTCTACCTCCACACCCGAAAATTGAAGCAAGACATGTTAGGCGAACCGGAAATACACCTACCGCTGCAGGTAGTTTAGAGATACTCGATTTTAAAGATCTAAATTTTAGATCGACACCCACGCTGTAGTTCGAGTTGGGGATTGTATAAATTTGAGTGAGCATTTAGGCATTAATGAAAACAATTTGATTTAGACAATTCGGATCTATTGTCCGTGACCGTGGCAAGCAACAAAACACGGCTTTCCCGATTCTTGGTGACCGATCGTCTACAGTTGATTTTGGTGGAGCCCGACCCAAAGAAAGCCGGATGGGCGCTGGTTGCCTTTGTCGGGTTGCTACAGGTAAAAGCGTGAAGAGAACGTAACGATATATTTATTTGTTTAGGATACCCAAATCTCCGGTGAAGCCACAGATTCCCGATCTCTAAACGTGGAGGTGGAGAGTCGGGGAGGTGCTAAAAAACCGCCACTTCTACAAGCACGCTTCATCTTTGACGATCATATCCGGTGCATGGCGGCTAAGCAGAGATTGACGAAGGTAAAAAATGTACCTGATTTAACCTTAGCAAATTGTAGGCTTTATTTAGAAAAAAAAACAGAGATGAGAAGATAACTATTGACAATTTTTAGGGTCGTCAAAATGCTCGCCAACTGAAGATGGGGTTGATTTGCGAGTTGTTGGGTTGTAGAAACGAGGTAAGTGTAAAATATAGTAAAATTTAAGGATGAAAATCATAGAGGTAATTTACACCCGAATTTTAGATCATGGCACGAGCTAACCCCTTCAAAATCGTGAAAGGCTGCGCCCCAGGAAGCGCCCGGAAGCAGCTAGACGTCAACCGAGACAACAGCCCATCCAGAAATTCCATGAATTCCTCAAACGACAGTCGCTCCGAAAACTCACGTACCTCCGGAATTCACCATGTGTAGTTTTGTAAATTATCCCTAGAACCCACTAGATCCCATTGCCAATTCTTCTTCGATGACAGGTCTTTCTTCCCGCAAAAATACTGTAGGGTTGCTCAGAATTTTGTGTGTAATTATGCTGGTCATTTTGTAAATTTTAGGCGTTGTGAAGATCAAAATGATTCTAGAATTTTTTTATTGTTCTCATTGTGCCAGTAAGCAATAAACGATCGGTGCGTACCCCCAACCTCTAAGCCATTTTTTGTTCTTGATGTCGCTGTGATGATGCTACTCCCCGAGACCGCCAAAGTCAACATTAGTTCTTTTTTTGTTTACCCAGATCTCAGATAAATATATGGAAGTTTTGAGGCTTAAGCACGTGGAAAAATCAAGCTTTACTTAACATAAACTGTCACCTTTTTGCGAAACATCATAAAGACATTACCCACGAGGCGCGAAGACATTAATTTTTACGAGGTGCCGTTGATAAAGCCGCATTTGAGTGGCCGGACCTTTGGTTTCTAGGGCCTCGCGAAAGATGCGTGCCGTTCCCTGTTTGTTGCTGTTTATTGCGTCAGCATACGCCATTACAGGTGTGTTTCAGAAGTGTACTCTGGATATTGAAAGCTTAAGCCTAAGCCTAAGCCTAAGCCTATGCCTAAGACTAGCCTAAGCCCAAGCCAAAGCCTAAGCCTAAGCCTAAGCATGTCCCGGGAACCTCACCCGACACCCATCTGGACCACTGTCAGTGCATAAGGGAAATCAGGTTCAAACCAGATTGCTCAAATATTGGTTCCGGGTCTAAGCCTAAGCCTAAGCCTAAGCCTAAGCCTAAGCCTAAGCCTAAGCCTAGGCCTAAGCCTAAGCCTAAGCCTAAGCCTAAGCCTAAGCCTAAGCCTATCGATATGGCCGATTCCTATGGTCGACCTCCCACCATCTGTATAACTTGTCGTTAAAAATCCTATTTTGCATTGAATGAGGCGGGCTAACAAGCTTCCAAATTTAGAATGCGACGTTTTCCCCTGTTCCCGCGACGTTGTCATCATCATGGACAGCACCCCGAATATGAAAAATGACGAGAACGTTAAAAAGGTTGTTTTCAAAAATTAAATCTTGCTATGAAAACTCATTAGCAAATCAACTACGTTCGTGATTTGGTCAGCGGTTGGACGCTGGGAAATGAAAATGGCCTAAAGGTAATTGTAGTTTTTATATTAATTTTTATGCTAATTTCAGACCCGCGTGGCACTAGTTGGTAATGGAATTCTCGAAGATATCGACACGACGGCTTACACTACAGTAGGAAAACAGAAAAACTTCTAGGGCTTTTTAGAACGCCACAATCCTTGGACGAACTTTTGATAAGCTCTCGGAAGAAGCTAGCGAATACGGACTTTATGACAACACCTTCGATGCGTAATTAGCATTCCGACGTATGATACCGTAGTCTAATTTAGCCTAATGAGCTGGATGGACCAAAAATATAACAATCGGTATCCATATCCGCCCAGGGACAATGTACAGAAAAGCATGCTTGTTTTTACGGCTGAAACGTAAGGATTTTTGGCTTTAAAGGGAGAGTGACATTTTCTAGACGAGCTGCCAACATCGCAAAATCTCAGGCGGCCATTAAAAATTTAACTCAAGCTGGCTTCAAAGTTTCGATTATTGCTATCAGCCCTTCAAAAAGTGATTTGTTTACGGGCTTGACAAATGTGGAAAAGGTATGCAAATTAGCTCCAATTAAACTATGAATTTTATAGATATTTTCAATCGCAAATATTGCTAGCATACCTTCTACCCTGAAAATGGATTTGCTTCAGAAAGCTGTATGTGCGGGTAATTAAATTTGGATGCAAATTAGCATTGATTTAGGCACTGCCACAACTTGTCCGCCAATCACACTACCGCCCACTACACCAGCTGTAGGGATAAAAATTCATTTAATTTATGTGAATTTTGTATAGCCACCTAGCGTCGCGACTACTCCAACACCATACTATCCATTTTTGAATTGCTCTTGTAATCGGGACAAGCTTTGGCTAGATATTGTGGTTGCGATTGATGTGTCAAAGAGTATGGGACGATTGGGGATTGCCCAGGTGATCTAAAAACCCATAAAAACACACGTTTATTTTATGTAATTAGTAATTTAATACACAAAAACTGGTACGACCACAGACTATAGGTATCCTAAATTTTTCCAGGTCCAAACAGACCTCGGAACCCTTGCCTATTGGCTCACCATCGACCCAAAGCTCAATCAATCCACCCGAATTGGAATTGTCACATTTGCATCCAAGGCTACTGTAGCGGTAAGTTCGTATCGTATACACTACTTACAACATAAGCTTACAGTACAAACTTAATGACCTCAAAACTGGCGACGATGTCCTGAACGCCATCTACAGCATCGATGTCACAAATGATGAGCATTTGGATTTGGTCAGGTACTTGGAATGGATATGTTTTCTACAGTAAACACGAATTTTCAGCGCCCTTCAAGCCGCACACTTGGCTTTTGCAGCTGGGGATCGACCCAATGTTCCGAACGTTATTATTCTTTACAGCTCGGCGTATAAGTAGGTTGCGGTAGTAAGCGCTACGCCATTTTCCTAGTGACGTCGGTGATCCAGCGGAGACTTCTGCTCAATTACAAGAATCTGGGTATCATATCATTACTATGGCGGTGGAGAAGGTACTGTAAAAATTGGATTATGCTTAGGCTTAGGCTTACCTAAGTCTTTCCGATAGTCTTCTATGCTAGCTCGTTTTAGACCGGCCAAACCGACGTCGTCAAGCAGCTTCATAAATTAGCGTCCCCGGGAATGAATATCGAAAGTTCGAACCCAAATGCTCTTGACAAAGCGGTGGATTGCCTCTGCCAATGTAAATCCAAATTTCTAGCTTTTTTGAAGCTTCATTTTAGCAAACTGCTTCTGTAAAACCGGCTGGCATCAACCCGGATTTGGTGGAACTAGAGTCTATGCCGAGTGTTTCAAGTAAAACTCGGACTTACAGGCTGACCAGCTAAATTTCCAGGCATATCACCACCGATGCGACATGGACAACTTCTTTAGCCGCATGCAAACAACTGGATACCGCTATGAAATCAAATTTGGTCTATCTCAATTCGAAGGAGCAGGAGGAGTACATTATCCAGAGTAATTTCAAAATTAAATTTTTTGCTGAAGATATAATTTTTTAGACGTTGCGATCATCAATCAACAAAAGTTCTCTTTCCACATCGGCCTACAGTATAATACGAAGGATCAAAAGTACAAATCTGTAACTGGCGCTGAGGTTCTTGCCAAAAACCCCAAGTTTTTATGCTAACTTTTAGGACCTACCGTACACCCACTGGGACACCGGATACCCCAACGAGCAAAAGGGATATTGTGTGGATCTGTATCAAGTGATGTTTTCAAATTTGCTAGAAATCAATTTTAATTTAGACCACCGGCTTCAACTACGCGTGGAGAAATGAGGATTGTGACACCGCAAAATTGCACTATATTTGCCAGGCCAATGCTTGTGATTCTGACCATTATTGTGGTAGCGGATAAATGCGTTTTTTTTGGGTTTCCTTGAGTTTTTGAGGATTTTATGGTTAGCTTTAATCCTATTCACAATTGACCTTGGGTTTTTGGATCGGGGAGAGGGCTGTTTGCATAGATTTGCATTTTTGGAGTATTGGAATCGATTTTTGGGGATTTCCGAGTTAGAACCAAGTTTGTTAATATGGCATAGTGGTAGTATAGTATTGCCTATAGTAGTCAAAAAACCGTACTAAAATGAATAATATAAATTTTCGCTACAATCCAAAATTCCAATTCACAGCCCAAAAACCATCTATAAACAAACACTCACTTCCGGAGGTGTCCGGAAAAGCGCCCGCGGGCCTGTCGGTCTGTGCACCCACACTCGGAGGTATTTGTGTTTCTTTTGGCCGAGCCCGAGACTGTGATGACGATATTGATTGACCCCAATTCGCATTCTCCGCCCAAAGAGATCTGCTGGTTGTGTGTATGTCTGGCCCTTCCCTAAAGCCCCTCCCTTCCTCCTTCTCACCCTTCTCGACCTCCGCCCCCTAAAGAACCGTTCCCTTTTCACGCGCCCTTTAATCCCTCAACCCTCCACCCTCACTAATCCCTTCAAGCCAGTCGGCTGGTTTTATAAATGGGATTTGAATGAAAATAGGCTTGCATCTAGCATTAGTCGCGCCTTATAATCTATAATAAATGTTCTGAGATTTTTTATGATCGATTTAATTGTAGCCAGCCTCAAGCGTGATTTGAATGAAAATCGGCTTGAATATTGCTTAAAAATTGCTTAATAATTTTCAAAAAAGGTTCGAATATTGTGTAAATAAATAACTCGACTAAATGTGATTTGTTGGAAAATAGGCATAAATATAGCTTAAAAATAACGCAATGATCTTTAATAAAAGCTCTAAAATTTTTTAGATTCCTCCAGATACCAAAAAGCGATTTGAATGAAAATAGATTCGAATATAGCCTAGCAAAGCTTAATAATTTTTAATAAATGTGAGAGCGTCTTAAATGCAGCTAGGGAAAAAAATAAGAATTTTTATTAAGGGTTTTCATATTTTCAAAATTCATTTTTCCACGCTGCTAGCCCCCTGAATTGTTTTCGCCTTCCTTCCTATAAATCAAAGTTATTTATCCCCTCCCCCTATTTTTCAGCCCGGACCATTTCTGCCATACTTAGATCTTGCAAAATCCATGTTTTCAACGTTGTTTTTCTCTAACAAATTAGTCAAACTCTAAAGCTCATTTTTTAGTACTTAATAAACCTATGGCTAATGATGGGTAGACTACGGCTCTCCACAATTTGCGTCTTTCTGGGCATTTGGCTCCTATCGTCCATCTATTTCTTTGAACTGCTTTCTACGCCTGAACCAACGATTGAAACAAGTGGACCGGGTAATTTGCATAAGTAAAACGAATTTTTGTATCTACTTTAGCATTAGAATCAATACCCCGAGAAGTCAAGGAAGCACCAAGAGCTAAAAAATTGAAATCAGCAGATTTTGGAAAGATAGATTTTGATGTGAAAGAAGACCAAGATCGATTCCAAGTCAAACAGGTAGTTAGCATCAACAGCAAAGAATTTAATGGTTTTTTATAGGACAAGGCCCAAGAAAACGATTTCGGAGAGATAAACAACAATAATAAAGACGATGAAGAAGGTGCAAATGAAGAAAAGTCAGTAGATGATGAGGAATTTCCGAAGGTATGCAAATTACTAGTTTTGTACCCTAAAAATTTAGAAAAACCTGGCTAAACCAGCTTTTCCGATCGCAAATCTTGACGAATTGACTACGAAACCGGTAGCGAAGACAAAGGAGGAAAAGGTAGGAAACAAAAAAATGGCATAAAACATGATTTTAGCTCGAGTACGACGCTGCTTTCAAGAAATATCAATTTAATGGCTGGTTAAGTGATAAAATTGGAGACAGGAGGAAAATACCAGATTCCAGACACAAAACGTACGCCTTAAAATATTTTTTGAGAACCCTATTTCAGTTGCCCCGCCGATTTCAAGCCAAACTTGCCAAAGGCTTCGATTATTGTCTGCTTTTTCAATGAATCGCCTTCAGGTATGAATTTACGTAATTTGAATATATAAATTCATTTAGTATTGATTCGTATGGTAAACTCGCTACTGGACCGAACACCAATTGAGAACATTCAAGAAATATTGCTAATTGATGATGCTTCAGAGCTTGGTAAGCGACTTAAAAAATAACTAAACAATTTTTTGGTGTTTTTGTCATATTAAAAAACTTACATTTTTAATAGAAGTATTTTTGTTATTTAGATGAAGCCTACAACGCAGCGATGGAGTACAAACGTACACATCCGCTTTGGAATGGCGTGAAATTCATGAAAACGCCGCAAAATCTGGGGTTAATCAGAGCGAAGGTTTTCGGTGCAAGAAAAGCGAGAGGAGAGGTACTAACCACAACATTAAAATAATTAGAATTTGAACCCCTAGGTGCTCGTTTTCCTCGATTCCCATTGTGAAGTCAATACCGATTGGCTACAACCACTTTTAGAGCGAATTGTGGAAGATCGAAAGCGGTAGGTCTTAAAAAGATACTTTAAATTTAGCAATTTTAGGGTGGTCTGTCCTATTATTGACATTATCGATCACCATACCCTGGATTACATAGCGTCACCGGTTTGCAAGGGCGGCATGAACTGGGGATTGACATTTAAGGTAGAGTAAACTTCTTAGATGCAAACTTAAGGCTTAAACGTTTTAGTGGGACTACCCGCATCGCTCGTATTTTGATGACGAAACAAATTATATCAAGCCCTTGCGTTCGCCTACGATGGCTGGAGGACTTTTTGCAAGTAAGCAAGGGGTTAAAAATTATTGTTAAATTGATAATTAATAAACGTAAATAGCAAAAAAATGTAAATTTCTAGTTGATCGCGAATATTTCTTCCACGTCGGGTCTTACGATGAGGGGATGGATATTTGGGGAGCGGAAAATGTGGAGATTTCTATCAGGGTAAGTTTCACAAACTAAATTTAAGTAAACAAATTTAGTTATGGACTTGTGGCGGCTCTCTAGAGATCATACCGTGTAGCAGAGTTGGTCATATCTTTAGGTAGATAAATTTTTAATTCGAGCCCTAATTTTACGATTGTTAGATCGATTAGGCCCTACGGTACCGATCGGGATACGATGGGAAAAAATGCACTCCGAACTGCGAAAGTATGGCTTGATGATTATGTGGTATGCTAATTACATAATACAGCTTTTTTTATGTGAATGAAGTCACCTAAAATCATAGTTATTTTTTAGGAGAAATTCTACGAAGCTCGACCTTACCTGAAGAAAATGGGAGATTATTTCGTGGGAGATCTGAGCCCGAGGATTGAATTGAGGCAACGACTTCAGTGCAAACCTTTTAGGTATCGATTCCGTATGCAAATTTGTATCTAAATTAAATTTTAGCTGGTATCTGAATGAAATCTATCCCGAGTTGCTACCAGGAAATATCCCTGAAGAAGCTGCGATATCGCATAAGCTGGATTTGAGCAAGAAGTATTTGGTAAGAATTATAAATGAAAATTTTACGTATTAAAATTTTAGGTCCGATTGGCAAATACTTCCTTGTGTATCGGAGCGGATAGTATGGGTAGTAGAATAAATGTCGGGTCGCCGATCGAGGTCGCAAAGTGTAATGAAGCGGACCGGAAGCAAGTTTGGAGGTATACTTGTAAGTTTTAATAAACTACATTATAAAATTATATTTAATATGCAATTTTCAATACATCGATTAATTTTGAGCAAAACTCGAGCTCCGTCCGATGGGAAGTTCAAAACTCTGTGCAGATGCTTTGAAAGGTGCTATTCTAATGAAATGCCACAACCAGGGATATCACCAGGAATGGAAGGTTACGGTAGGAAATTCCGAGTTTTTCGAACTTGCATTTTTTTTCAGAAAACTGGCCAAATCTTCAATGCCTCAGTCGGAAAATGCCTGCATGCAACGGCTGAAAGATCGTCCCACGCCTCCCTCGAATTCTGCTCAAAGTCTCAACTCTTCGAAATCATCCCCCTGTGATTGAAATTAATTTGCATATTCGCCTCTAATTTCCAGCCAATCGGCATACGGGTATCGATTTTCTGACAATTCCAAGGTCCATGTGATGCAAATTTTCAAAGGTATAGGCATAAATTATTTATTCATCATCAAGATCGCAAAAACCGTATCCAAAAAATGAACCGTAGTTGCTGTACAGAGATGGCTACTCGCATGGGTGGTGCTTTGAGCGGATACGTTGTATCGGCGGTATATTGAGTTAATAATAGTTATTGATCGAGGATTATGGTAATATTATGGCAATGGAATTATGCAAAGGGGGAGATTGATATGTAAGACTGCGTCAAACTGGCGCATAAGCCGGGTTGACCAATTTGGTCTTACTGCTGCTTACTGCGTTTGTGGCGAATTTGCAGTAATCGATAATATGTTTAAGAAAATACCGTAATCGTCATTATGACTTTCCGGGTACCTTCAAGCATGTGTAATCGGCGACCTTCGGCTTCTGATAGCCCGTAAAAAATCGCCACTCCCCCGCATTTCCATTACCCGCCCCCCATCCTGTTGTTGTTCTTGTCGTTCATCAACTGCCGCTCCCTAATCCACTCCAGATGCAATTTGCATAGCGAGATTAGCAAAACAAATAGGAAGATTACAGCCAGAATCAAGAATTCCAGAGGGCGCAGCAGAGCGAAGAATGTTGAGGCCGGGAATAACTAAAAAATATGTAATGCAGATAAAGTTATACCCTTGTATAAATTTATCTAAATTAAGTTACTTCAATAGTTTTTAACCCACCATTAGTGAAGCCTCAACATATTGATCTTGCTGCTCAAGCATGGCCTTCGGCGTGTTCGGCAAGTAGATGATCGAGTTGGTGCAAGGCTAAAAACACAAAATTCTCATGTGAATTTGGCTTTAAAATACCCTAAAATCAGGCAGATGCGGGCTGGCTGAAACGGCTTTTGCGTGTTTAGGGCAATCAATCAATTCTAGGTTTAGATCGAGACATAGGCGAACGTCTCCGAGGAGTTCTTGCTTTGTCTAAAAAGTTTTGAAAATAAATTTTTAGATTTCTTGCCTTTTTGTCATTAAGGCAGTTAAATTGAATTTCTTTTCCTTGCGTTAGTCCCTGTTTCAAGGCAGTATGTAGCCCTTCTTTAGTGTAGGCGGTCTAAATAAATTAATAAAAAAATTAAAAATGTTCTAAACCTCAGCTGGCTTGACTCCTTCTCCGCTCAAAGCTCCAGCAACGTCAAACCGTTCGTGGAGTTTTAGGGTACTAAATAAATAGGTTAATTTAGGGCCCTTTTCGATACCTTTGGAAATATTTAAGCTCAGACTCCAAGATCGGATCTGATGAGGCGCATGTGCCGTGCTTCTCGTATTCATGCTTCCACAGAGAGGATACTTGGCGATTCGGGTACAAGTTGGGCCAATCCTTCTTCAGCTCCTCAAAGATCGGGCTCACCAGATCGATGTCGAATTTCTGGCGAGTGCAGAATTGGGGGTATGAGCCGTTGGCGTAGTTGGGCCTGAAAAAAATATTACTATTACTTCCTACTTCCGGTGAATTTTCTATATCAGTAAATGTTTGGTCAGGTGATGCACGCTTGGGTATGGGGGGGGGGCGAGGAGCCTGTCAATATTGTAGATAACAGAACGAGCGTCCCAGTTTTTGCCTGTAGCCTTAAAAACACGTACCCCGTCTTTGATAAGAGCTTTCAGGGTTTCGAAGCCAAAATTTTGAATGAAATAGATGATACGTACCATAGCCCATGAACTGTCCAGCTCGGAGTTCCGTCCGGAACTTCACAAGAATCCTTTACAGCATCGTCGTCAGCTCTGCAGACTGCGACCGGATAGATTAACGTCAACATCAGATAATCGAAACGAAGGTCTGTACTTTCTAAATTTCATTAGTTATGCATTATAATAAAAAGTGTGTTACCAATGAATCCGTCCTCATCTCGAGCGATAGTCAAGGGACCTCGGAATCCGGCTAAGCGTGCGGTTGTCGAAGCAAAGAAGTGAGAAGAGAATATCAGGGCGACAATCCCATAATAAAAAACCATCTGTTAACTGAAATTTGGGTATTAAAAACAGGTCTTGCGAAATAATCGATACTGTATGAACCGAATGTCTTGTGCAAGGTGTTATCTTTGTCCGAGTGGGGTTTTATAGGGTGACTACGACCGGACCGGGACCTAGGGCCGTTATCAGCAAACAACTTAGCCGGGGGATATAAGACAGTTTTTATTTTCAAACAGAATTAAAATTGGAAGTTTAGCCTAGAGACCCTTTACACCGTTATCTAAAAAAAAGGGCTGAAAGTTAAAGCATTTAGAAAAAACCCAAAAATTCCGCGTGACAACTAGTCAAATTAATTTGATTTCTTATCTAAAGTATATTTTTGTATAACTAGCAATCGTTCAGGTCATATGTAAGATTATTGAAGCAGCTGTTATTTCACTACGAGGTCAACGAGAGAGAACACTGAGTACGAGGAGAGTCCAGACCCCAACACGCGCCACACTTGCCCCAGCCGTTTCTATTTGAAAAATCGAAGAGGCGTGATGATGATTCTAGGGTTGTATGGTCAATATCATCATCCGGTTTGTGTCATCGGCAAGAGCTTTTAAGAAAACAGGGGAAAGCCAAACACGACGTGAGGTGAAAGCTAAAAAGTCTGACTAATGCTATTTCAACACCTACAAGGATGTTTTCTCCGAAATCTCTTACATACCTACAGCGGATACAAGTGATAAGCTAATTTTCTGCGGCAAGTGTCAGAAACGCATCGAGGTTGGATAGATGCTGCATTGCAATGGCGATACCATGGAGTCGAGGAAATTTCGTTGCCAGTCTCAATCAGACTTGAAATGAAGATTTCAGGGAAAAATGGCAAGAACGAATAGATTCTAATAATAACATCTGAAATAGAATAAAAAATGTACAAAACAGTATTGATTAAATATACATTAGGTAGCAAGTTATTGTTAGCAGTAGTTTGGAAGTTAATCGGCGTGACTTTTCATGCGGTGTTTACAGACCAGAAGCGGAAACGGTCAGATTCGGGGGCATTCCGACGTTGTACTCTGTCAAAAATGTCAAAAATCATGTTTTCCAGATCGCCATACAGCCAATCAGGAACGCAAGATGTACTTCTTAAAATATCCAGCATAGCGCTAAAAGGCACTTTTTTGACATTGATGAAACTATCGCCCGTGTTTGTCAAAATATTTCATCGTGCGGTGTACGTTCCGATGCCTCTCTCACTCTCTCTCTCGCTCTCTCTCTCCCACCCCTTCAAATTAAGCCAAAGCCAAGTCGAATCTGGCTGGAGTGAAGGTGGATGGTCAACCTTTCGAAGACTCGCCACTAGCAACGCCATGACTACCCGTGGCCCTAGCCCCTGGTCTCCATATTCTTTTTGTCGGTGTGTACGATGCGCATCTCTAAGCACCCGAAAAGCTTCCCTCGAATCGGAAGGACCATTTTTGGCGGTTGTCTCCGAAGGGCGGCTGCACGTGTGTTATTGCTTATTATATTGCTAGTCTTCATGTTTAGTGTCTTTTAAAGGATTTTAAAATGTTGTAAAAGTTTGCGAATTAGCAGAAAAATGCCGGGCGACAACATCGTCGTCGCCGTCAGGGTTCGCCCATTTAATGATCGGGAAAAGGCCAGAAAAGCTGGGCTTATTATTGAGATGCCGGATGGAAAAGCGACTGGGATACGGTAGATTAGTCCGTTTTTATAATGCTGGCGTAGTGACCCGAGCAACATGTCTGAAGAGCCAAAATGGTTCACTTTCGATCAATCCTACTGGTCGCACGATGGTTTCAAAACGGAATCCAGTGGATATTTAGCACCTGCCGACCCGAAATATGCAGATCAGGTATGGGAATTCACGAATTAGAACCAATTTTTGCTTTAGAAAAAAGTTTTCAACGATTTGGGCAAAGGCGTTTTGGATAATGCTTGGAAGGGGTGAGAACTAGGCTTAAAACAAGATTGAAAAACCTTCCTATAGTTATAATTGCTCGCTATTTGCTTATGGACAAACCGGAAGTGGAAAGAGTTATTCGATGGTTGGATATAAGGAGAATAAAGGTATGTGAAGCATAATAGCAATAATCGGTTCAGGAATTGTGCCAATTGTTTGTGAAGAACTCTTCAAACGGATCGAGAAAAATAAAAAAAAGGATGATGGTACTCAATATGAAGTGTTTTTCTCGATGTTTGAGATCTATTGCGAGAAGGTATTTTTAAAATGAAATTATACTTTAACATGTAGGTTCGCGATCTTCTATCTTCAAAACCACCACCGAAAGGAGGGCTAAAAGTCCGAGAACACCCAAAAACCGGATTCTACGGTATGGATTCAGCACTTTAATTTGAAGATTTTTTTAGTTGAAAGCCTAACGAGCAGCCCCGTCACCTCATACAAAGAAATCGAAGCCAAAATCGACGAGGGGACCAAAAATCGAACAATTGCTGCAACGAGCATGAATGCTACGAGCAGCAGGTGGGTCTTACTGTAGTTATCAAGGGAATGTAATTTCAGAGCTCACACAATCGTCAAAATACAGTTTAACCAGAAAACTGGGAAAGGCGGAACGACGAAGCAATCCCAAGTGAATTTGGTGGATCTGGCTGGAAGGTATATAAAAAACAGAGGTTTACGTAGTCGAAATTTTTAGTGAGCGACAACAAGACGCACAAACCGAGGGTGATCGTTTAAAGGAAGGAATTGTCATCAATCAATCGTTATCCACACTTGGAAGAGTTATCAAAGCTCTTCATGATCAACAAAAAGCTAAGAAGAAAGTTCAGGTATAACTCTCAGCCTTAAAACCCCAAAACCTATATTTGTAGATTCCGTACCGCGACTCTGTACTTACTTGCTTGTTGAAAAATGCTCTTGGTGGGAATAGTAAAACAATTATGGTAGGAAGAAGCGGAGGATAAGCCAAAATTTATAACTTTTGTCTAGATTGCAGCCCTTTCACCAGCTGATATCAACTACGAAGAAACACTATCTACCCTAAGATTTGCTGACCGAGCAAAGTCGATTAAGACACAGGTAGAGATTTTTCGCTTACGGCAGCTATCCATGGTTTAGGCTGTGGTAAACGAAAGCGCAACAGAGCGTATGATTCGAGAACTGCGAGAAGAAAATGCAAAACTGCAAGCTGGGATTAAGGGTGGTGGCGGAAATTCGGTAGTTGTTTATCTAACCGAGCTTTGGATCGATAATTTAAGGAAGAAATCGAGAACCTACGACGCCAACTCGCTGAAAATCAAAAGGAAATGGCAAACCTTGAGAAAACTTGGCAACAAAAAGTGGCTGAAGAGGCTGCTAAGGTAATTCGGTATTCAAATTGGTAACCTCAATCCAATAGGCGGGAAATGTGTCCGCTGAAAGAGCAGCCATTCTTGAGAAGAAGAAGACCGTTTCTCATTTATGGAATCTGAATGAGGACCCTGCGCTTACGAATGTTATTGTCCATTTTATACCGGAGGGCGAATTGACTGTCGGTAGGAGCGGTTTGTAATTTCCGCAAAATTCGGTTTTAGGAAACTCTTCGGCCAATCCCCCGGCGGCAATTCAATTGAATGGATTGTCGATCCAGCCTCAACATGCTATAATTGTTAATAAGGGAAATAAGAAGTTTACGTTGAAGGAGTTGGAGGTAAAATGAGTTTTAGCTTTGATGACGTTTCAATTAGGGAGCTGATATCCTGCTCAACGGAAAGAGGATTCAAGGGGAGACCGAATTGAGTCAGAATGATAGGATTCATTTTGGCGGGAATCATTTATATGTTTTCTGCAATCCTCAGAAAGGAGCGGCGAATCAGGTATCAACGTTTCAGATGAAACATATACATTTAAGGACATTACTTGGGATATGGCACAAAAGGAAATCGCGTCCAATGCTGGACTTGCTAGTGGTGGATCGAGATCAGGAATGAGCAAGGGTAAAAAAATAGAAAAATTGCTGAAAATCGTATACGATTTCAGCGGAGCTCATGCTCGAAGAAGAGCTCATCGCCCTCTTCCCGGCTGTCTACAGGGCAAATGCGATGGCAAAGGAATTGAAGAAGAAAGTCAACTTCGAGACCGTTTTAGTGTCGCCGGAAGCGAGAGGGCTGGAGGATGGGCTAACGGAGGTAATCATCACTTTAATCCTCTTAAATATACCTCTTGATTAAAGATCTGGATCCGAGTCCACAATACAGCTGACGATACCCATTTCCTGTGGGAGAAGACAAGGTTTATGAGTCGCTACTATGGCATGCAAGAGATGTATGAGAATAAGATGGATGGGGAGGATTGGGAGTTGCCAAAGGTATGAGTAGCGGCTAGTTTTAAGCTATTAATGCGCGTTCCAGGAACGAGATCCCTTTTATGAACCCCCAGATAGCGAGGTATTTATTGGAGGCGCTGTCGTATATTTACAATCTCTGTCCTATCTCGTGGATTCTGAAGAAACGTATTCGATTGTGGATTTTGATGGGAAAGAGGTAAAATTCAGCAATTTTTGTTTTCATAGCTTTAGATGGGCCATATCACTGTATCGCTAGCACCTTGTTCATCTTCAGGAAAAGAGATTAATGGAGCATATGTGGAGAATCCAAGCACTTTGGTAGATTATTTTCGCAAGATCGTAAAAAAATACAGTTTTTAGGTCGGAAAGAGCATTGGCTTTAAGGTGAAGCTCCTATCAGCTAGTGGATTGCCTAAGCGACTTTATGGGGTAGAGGAACGTAGCGTTACGTGTTTACAACATTTTAGTCTTCTTGCAAATACCGATTTTTCAATGAGAAAGAAGCCATCACCCCAAATATCCCTGGAACAGACCCGTCATATAATCACGAGAATTTCTACGCTTATAGAAATGTTTCAAAGGAGGTAGTATACCGTAATTTTTAGCAAAATAGCAATTTTTAGCTAATCGATTATTTGGCCCATAATAGCTTGTATATTCGTGTGTGGGGGACACAGAAGGCCGGGACCACTCGTAGATCTTCTATGGTACTTTGAATATTTTATTAATTCTATGCTTTTTATTTTTAGTCACTTCCGATGCCACCTAGAAATGGAGAAACTAGGCGGTATGTAACACGAGTTAACGTTCAAATGTATTTTTTCAAAATTTAGAAGCAAAACCAAGGGCTCGACAAAGAAAAAGTCGGGATCAACGAAGTCGAGGAGCAACAGTGGGAGCAAGAAGAGGAAGGGATCGAAGGAACCTAAAAGCGCTCCAAAGTGATTTGTGATCACAATAAAATTGTGCAAATTACTGATCCAAAAACGATGAAAATATTAAGATTTTTAAAAGCAGAATTGTAAGGGTCATAAGGCATCTCGTAGCCGAGTTGTCGGGATGCCTGAAAACAGATATTTTGAAGAAAATCAAAGTTTTCAGGCATCAGAATAACGCGTAGCGCGCGTCGCGGTTTTCGTGATAGGCAACGCGCACGCAACGCGTTGGAAAAAATTCCATTTCGCGCTAAACTTACATCCCGATTAAACAACCCCGGATGATTGCACTGATAACCGCTACAACAGCACAAATAGCAGTCTCCAACTCCGGGGATTTGAGACTAAATTTTTATATACAAATTATAGACTTTAATACTTACCATTTGACAACCACCATTGTTAATCCCGAGTATACTGTTACCACAATGACTCGGCGTAAGCCCAAGATTAAGCGCCAACTCACTTCCGCACATGTATTTTGTGCGCTGGGTGGCTGTGGAATAGCTGGAATTATGAAAAAATACCAATATTTTAAAAGAAAAATTGATACCTAATGGCACACCAATTATTCACACCCTGGCAGGGCAACAATTGAACTCCGGAAGCATCGCCGAAAGCGGATTCTCCTGGAAAAAAGCCGAGCTAGGCTTTGTTTCGAATTCGAGAATACAGAATTCTGCAAATACGATCATTAAAATATCAACAGACAAAATACCGACAGTGAAAACCCCGACATTAAAATAACAAACGCTTTTTTTGGCTAACGGTATTTTGGCCCTTCGCCACTTTCCCTTTCCGTATTACGTCCAGAATTCATATTTAATAACCATAAATACCTTGAAAACATCCCTGATACCGCCCGGCACACCCAAATATCGGATTGTATAGATTGGCAAAAGCCAGGAGGAATACGGCTAGATGCGCCATCCCAGCTAGCCAATGCCGTCCGCGTCCCCTCTAGCGCATAACCACAAACATCGCAGAAACGAGCCCCCTCCCTTCTAACAATCGTTCGCCTTAGTCATCCCCTTTCAGCAAAACGAAATTTTGGACATAATATAGCGTTAATCGAGTTGGCAGAATGTTTTTATGCTCTGAAAAATCGTCTAATAGACTGGAAAATCTTGCTTTGATCGAATTTGTGAAAAAATCTATGCAAAAAAAACTCTAAAAACCACTTTTTAAGCGATTTATGTACACCACAAAATATAATTTAATAATTTGTGCATCCGGGGATCTTGAGGTTGGTGTGCAGCCAGTTGAGGCGCTCGATGGTGAGTTTGTAGGTCTAAAAAGGGTTGAAAAAGTATCAAAAATTAGAGATATAAAATATACCTGGGTATTCTCCCAGTGCAGCACTTCTTCACCATTCTTCACTGACTCTTTGATGAAAATCTAAACACAATAAAGGTCAGATTTTTGTATGTTTCGGTTGTAGTCTGTAGTTGTAGTATATAGTTATAGCTCTTATTTTCTAGTTGTTGTTTATGGTTGTTTGTAGTCTAATTTCCTAACCTCAGGGCACCACTTCCGGTTGAAGGATTGAATCGCCATGGCTGTGGTAACTTTCGTAGTCGATGTCTCATAGCCATCGCCAACATGCACCCAACCGTGCCCGATACTAGAAAAAATTTAGTATTGAATTTTTTAGGTTCTCTTACTCGTATAGTTTCTGCTGAACTTCTTTCAGAACGGCGGCATTCTGAAGGTATTATTTTTTATTAATTCAATAAAGCCTAAAATTACCGGTTTCTTGCCGGAAACAACGACTTCCTTCTGCTCGGCCGGGCTCAGCTTCGTGGTCCAAAGCGCCTTGACCTCGCCGAACTCGTCGTAGAGGCTCTTCCACGAGAAGTACCCCGAGATGTCGTATTTTTGCCATGGTGAGTTCTCGTGGTGCGCTAAAAATGAACGAGTTTCTAGTATCTATCGTAAGAAAGCTACTTTAGGGGCCAAAGCCTACCAATAATATTTTGAGGGGCGACGTGCCATTTGGTCCTCAAGTATCCGATGAGTTCGTGAAGGGCTTTAACCTAAATTTTCAAAATTTAATGTTTTTTGGTTTTACAGTACCTGCACGGCCGGGAATGGCTCGCCACCGGTATTGACAGTCTCGATGCCGACTGAGCGGGAGTTGGTGTCATCGACAGCGCATCTAAAGGTCCTAAATGTCTCCTAAAAACTTTACATACCCATCTCCACGCCAGACTCCTGCTCCAGCATGCCAGGCTCGATGGAAATCATCTACAAGCCGGTAGATCTTGCCATCGCGATCGACTAAAACACAAATTTAGACCGAAAATGCACTAATTATAGGTAAGTATGTATTAGATATAACATACCAATATACTGCACCGACAATCCACTCTTTTCCATAGCCGCCAAACTGTCCTTCAACGTCGCATCTACCGTATGATGCACAACAATGATGGTCTTGTCACGGACATTGCTAAAATAGCACTTAAATTACCATTTCCATACCGAAATTCTTACTTAATCTGCGAGTGCGAGTTCCAGAAGCTATTTTCAGAATCGACGATCGAGAAGCCGGTCGGTTTGAAGCCTCCCTAAAAATTTTTTCGTTTTGTTTAAAAGCAAGTTACCTTCGAATCACAATAACCCAGATCCGCACAAGTTGTGCCGGTGTTCATTCCCGTAGCCTTGTGATTAGCATCCATGTAGAGCTTTCGGAATCCGAGCCTAAAGCTTGGTTTTTGCAATTTAAACTTTCTAACTTGATCAGCGTGCTCAAAAAGTCCTTATCAGCCGCGTTGAAGTTCTTGAGGCTAGCCTCAGCCTTGGCCTTCGCATTTGCATATGTTTGCCCTGGATTTTCAGCTGATTTCGCTATAAATAATATGCTAATTACCCTCCAGCGACACGACATATTGTGCCATTTTTACGCATAGTCCGCATTCGTCAACGGCGGATGCCTATAGTTTTCATTTTGTTAAGAGCTTTAAGATAGGTTTAATACCGTGTAGATTATAGCCAATAACAGCAGCCATTTTCCAGAAGCCATTTTCGGCAAGCCGGATGCGTTATGCCTAGAAAGGGATGGCGGGTAGGGTTGCGATAAGAGGACTACGCAAATCGGGGCGGCATGAGGATCGGCAAAAACTCTAAAAGCGGATGCGTTTTGGTCGAAGATCACTGATAAGGTGAAGGGTTTAAAGGTCTGCAGGAAATATTTGGCAACAAGTAGTAATGGGCATCAGAATACGGGGTTTCGTTTGTTATTGGTATCGGTATCAAGTGGGGAAAGAGATGCCTATCATATTTCCAAAAACCGATATCAATCAAAACAAAAATCTGTTTTTTCTTATAGCATTTTAGGTTTCAAAGCAATAATTAAAACGCTTTCAAAATTTGAATCCGCACAAATTATTGTTTTTGACAGCGTGATTAGCATTTAATTACGCAATGAATATGAGATGTGTAAAATACATAAAAATTTATACTACAACAACGTTAGCTCAAGCTTTCCATTCAGGGCGAGGCAGCCTCGCATCTTCAGCATCATACTAAATACAAATCCATTAAACTAGACGTTATGTGGCCGATTTCCACTGTCCCATCCCCTTAACACTACTTACACGTTGCATCAAGCGAACAATTTCGTTGATGTACTCGATTCGAGAGTGATGGCGGCTGATAAAAGGCGCATCTTTCATCACTCGTTCTATCAGGACCCTGGCAGAAAATAAGGTATGGTGTTTATGTAAATACGATGTCGTACTTGCTCCGCTCTGTCATCTCCTGAATCCATATCCGCTCTCGCTCAAGCCGGGCTGCTCTTTCTTCCGGGGTCTCAGGTATCCGGGGAGGAGGAGCTGGGGCTACGGTGTTTTGATTCCGGTTCGTGCGCTTAAGGAAATAATCTGTTCCAATGTTTAAATTTGAATAGCATAACTGGAAAAAAATTTAACAAACTAATACCTACCAATTTATTTACGATGAAGCTAGGCAGCAGAGCGGAAAGCATCGTATAGCACGGATCACGGCAAGCTAAGATTGGAGGTTACTAATTTGCATAAAATTTGTAAAGCACCGTATTCAGAGTTCCCAAAAATTTAAATACAGCTAACTCCCGCCAAATAGTAATTTATATAAAACTTATAGTACTATGAAGTGGTGATAGTGCCAGAAGGTGCTCTTCAAAAAGTGCACGCGCCGGTCTGGCCGCGAACGGCGGTCGCTCTTTAATACGATGGCCCCTTAATTTTTATGCATCCATCCCCATGTTGCGATCCCCAATTTGCGTGCGGGGGCCGGGGTTTTTTGGTTAAAGTTGGAGCCGTGTAAAATTTTATGGTCTGCCTGATCCGAATGCTGCACATGGAGTTTGTCGGTTTTCGTGGCTTTTGGAAGTTGCGAAAATTGTGTATTGGATAGTGGTGAAAATACGGTAATTTTGCAAATTTTGATGAGAATTCTTAAAGTTTTGCAGTTAGGTTTTAAAAATTAATTTTAATCCTTCTTTTTAAATTCATTTTAAATAATCAACGCATTTTAAATCTATGCTTCATGGAATTTATTCGCAAAATACAGTACTTTCATGATGTCCTACTCCCTTTAAAATTAGGAAACCATTCAAGAAGAAAATTTACAAAAATAAGTGCTAATTCTGCAAGATTTAAAATATACGCTTCATGGCCCTTTTGCGTCAAATCGTATAGTTTCGTCATTAAATACGGTTTTCATGACTTGCTCCCCTTTGAAATCACAAAAACCAAATTAATGCAACTTCTGATTTGTTCCCAACGGACCAAAATCAACCCGTCTTACGGTAGTCGCAACAACCATTTCCTCCAAAAAACCCCAACTTTCCGCCGGCATACTGTAACCAAAGGGCACCCAGGGAAAAAATCCGGATATAAAGCGGCGACAGGCTTTTTTCTTTCAAAATACTGTGGCCCGGGGAAAAAATCGTATATATGGGTGATTGGACTGACATTAGATGGGGAGCTATACCCTTTGGCGGATGTCTGCCAATTAGCCCGTTTTGGGGACCATCGGAAATTAGCTTGTCGGCACTCGCATTTCCTGTGATACCCCCTTGGGGATATAGCAACCCCTGCATCTATTTCTTCAGATGCTCCACCCTAGATTTCCCCCAACTTTGCAGTTATTTTCGGAAGCATAAAATCAAAACCCCCCGCGCGGCCCCGGCATGGAGTTGACATCATTTTGGGGATTTTTGGGGGCTAAGGGTAGGTTTTTGGAAGATTGCGTTCTGGTATAAGTAGCTGGGCATTAGACAAACGTCGTGAAAATGGGTATTCGGGAGTGTTATTTGGGGTACTGTAGGTGGGGAATAAGGTGGATACAGTAAGACGATTCTGAAGGGCTGAAAGTCGTTGTTTAATCAAGATCGGACTTTAGAAAGAGGGATATTTCTGAAAGCCCAAATCTGGCCTCAAAATATCATATTGCCTCATCTGCAGCAAATGGCCTCAAAATATCATATTTTTTTTCTTTTAGGGATACTGTAGATGTATTTTTATTTTTGTATTTTGGGTTATTCTTAAGTTTATTTTTAGACGGTATAAGATGTTGCTACACTTTTAAAATGACTGAGGAACGTCGGATTTTCCTTCAAAAAATTTTTAATTTTTAAACAATCAGGAAAATTCTGTGTTGTCGTCCTTTTAAAGAATAATTTCATATTTAAGGTTACTGTAGAAACACATAGCAAATTTCTTTTTTTTATACGAGCCTCCGGGGTGTCCCCACACCTTTAAAACACCACCAAACCCTCGAAATTACCTTCGGAACGTGAATTTTTCTAAAACTTCGCCAAATTAGCGTCCTTTTAAAAACCTATCCACCACCTCCCCGACATATCCGTACTTCAAGCTCACACGCAATACCCCCCGGCTTGACTATATTATGCCAATATGCTTTTGCCCTACCGCAGGGTTTCCGGGAATCCTTAGAATCTTTACCTTGGACTCAAAACCACCCTCTCAAATTGAGCAGATGTACTCCGGAAGCACCCCGGATTTCCACAGGCTTAGCGCCCCCGTCCCATCCCCTTGAGGACAATGCTAATTACTCCCTGCTGGGGCCCGCCTTCTTGAGGGCGATCGTGGATTTGGATCTAGCCACGTAGTACCCAATACCTCATAACTATCATCTAATATTTAATATTTAATGCCTATTAACGACCATTAAAGGTATGTTAATATTAATTTCATAATTCGTATATAACTCTTCTTAGCCCATAATTTCACATAATTTTCAGCTTTAAATTTGCATACCGGATTCCAATTCCACGCAATTTATTCACATTCCTATTTTTCTATGCATTAGACCAGCCTGAATTTCACCTCAATCCAAATCTCACTAAAACAATTCTACCGTAATCCATCCAAATCTTCAAAAAGAGGCGTGGCTTCGAAGCCACCTTCTACGTAGCTAATTCCCCATTTTGTCATCGCTATTTAACTGATGGACACCGGCCAGGGATGACATTCCGGAAGAATCGAGATCCTGAGCACGTGCTCCCCTCCCAGGGCACTTATAAATACCTCTATCAAGGCAACAGTTTTCCGGGATCTTTTGTGACGCCCGGGGGTCTAAGTCCAGCCAAACGCACTCGTAGATTGAATTCCATTCCTGCAAATCCCTTTCCACGAAATGAATTCTAAAAGGGCAGTATTTTCTGTCTTAATCATTTTACTACCTCACCTACTCCCCGGGGAGTGGTGCTCATTAGCCTTTTATATATCTGGACCCATTTTTTGCACCGAAATTCCCATAAAAAATTGTTGCGTTTGTACCGAAAATTCCCAACCGTTGCAAATCTTTACTGACGTCTCACGTATTTCCGGAATTTTTCTGATCTTTGGAAAAGTCCTTTGTCCCTTTTTCTAATTCGAATTCCACGACATCCGGTTTTTCTTGGTTCAACGGGATTCTTGTTCTCACATCTTTGTAATCCTTTTTTCATCGGATTTTCTAGCATGAGCCCAAAACCGCCGCTTCCGGAGGCGGCTGACGAGGCGAGTGAGGAGCAGCTACCGACAATGCTTGAAGATGATAAGAATATCTTTATGCATTTGCATATGTATCCGAATAGGTACTTTACTGATGCATCCCTTTAATACGTAAGCTTTAGCGCAGATCCTTGCATCAGAAGAATCATCATCCCAACCAATCGAGAGTTGCGAACGGTATTTGCATCTTTATTAAAAAGTTCCAGCGATTTTAAGCAGTTCTTCAACGAATTAAAACACTTGGCGGCTATTGAAGAGCTATGTATAAAAAATGATCTGAAGCTTGGTATGCATGCTAATCAGTTAAAATGCATAATTTTTTAGCCGTGCCAAAGTTCACAAAAACCGACATGGGCATCGAGATCATCGACGGGATTGATTATCCGGGTTTCAAATTCCCGAAATCTATTTTTGCCGACTACCAGTATCAGCCGTTACTTGAGGCATTGGTAAGAATTTAATTAAAAAAATCCTATGCAAAATAGGTGGCAGGACTCTGGAAGAAGAACCGGCTCTTGGCAAAGGAAGTTGAAGTCCAGCGGGAAACGGCTAAAGACGTATTTAAAATTCTGTATATTCATATTAATTTGTTTAGCATATGCGCCAAAAATGCCGAAATGAACATACGTTTTGTCGGACGGTAATTTGCACCTTAGACCGCAATAAGTTCAATTTAGTTTAACGATTTAATCCCGTCTGAGCAGCAGAAAGTCCAAGAGTTTCTCAACAAGGTAATTTGCATATTCCTTTTTTGAGTTTAGAGACCGTTTAGGTGCATCAGCAACAACAAGCGGACCAAGCTGAAGCAAAGAAAAGAATGAAAGAAGTGCTGCTGAATACGCCGGTATGCAAATTTTTTTATGTTAATTTGGCGATCAGAGGTTTGTAACTTTTCTTCAGATACCAATCGGAGAGCTCATTAAAATCGCTGACCCGTTAGAGAAACGATATTTGGAAAGTCTACAAGAGGTAAATTTTAGCCAAATACAAACTACCAAAGTAACTTCTAGGACATTGACCTTGCACAGATTCAGGCTTCGATGTTGGAATCTGATGGAGATACGGTAACGGTTTACATTATAAAATTTTTATAAGGATTAGCCACCCTTCATGCCCTCCCCTGAAGGCGGCAACCCGCCACCACTACCAGAAACATCCACAACTTTGCCAAGCAGTTCGGACCACCGTAGTCGGCCTGTCGTCCTGGTTTGTAGCTTAAATTTTTGGTATTATTCATCTTTTAGCCAATGTCACCTACAATTCAACGCAGCTTATTTCAAGTCGGAAATCTTGAGGTAGAACTTTTTCTGATGCAAATTGAACTTTTAGATCAATCATGCTCGGCCCTCAATTTCGCAAGTTAGGCAAATAAGTGTAAGTCAAAATTTTAAAGGATCCTTTAATTGTTTTATTTTACTCTCTCCTTAAGCGAAGAACAACTTTTCAGGGCATGCCCCATTACGCCGAAACCTACCCAACACCACCGCAAACCGGCTGGCAAACACCAGGACCGACCCAAACAAATGTGAGGAAATTCAGCTCAAAATAGATGCTCGAATTTTAGACGCCGTACCCCCATCAAGGATTGTCAGAAAATATCATGGCGCAGCATATTATGGATACAGTAACCTAATAAATTTTACAAAAAGCAACCTTTTAGACAATGATCACCCCACCGCCAATGACCGCCGCTTATGGAATGCCGGTATTAGTTTTTAGCGCTGTAGTAAGAGAATACTAGATACCGTACCCACCAGGACTTATGCATCATGTTGTTCCGCATGATCAGGTAAATTGAATAATTTTAATTTAAGCATATTTAGCGCCCCGGCCCCTCAAACCGGCCGCCTCCACCAAATTTGGGATATTTTATGGATGAGGTGGCATTAATTTTTACTAATTTTCAAGGTAACTTTCCAGCTTCTCCGCTTCCCATCACCGCCTTCCCTTCAAAAAGTACGTTTGCGCACTTTTACAGAATCTAATTGTTTTCAGGCGAAAAACTCCCCAACTCCAAGCGGTATCCAGCGAGCTCCTGACGTAACGCCTAGCAGAAGCCGACCTAAGAAACGTCAAAACTAAGCAGATTTAAATTTACTGACCTTGAATTAGGTTTCTAAACTCTTTCTGATTCCTCTCATATCAAGTACAAAAACAAAAACACATATCTCTTTGCATATTAACTAACAATTTTTTGTTCTAGAGTTTTAAATATTGTATTGAAAATTTCCTATGCACGTAGTTAGAACGCCATAATATTTATTTTAGAACCTTTATAATCACGATAAACTTTTGAAATTTGTTAAAATAAATTAAAATCTGATTTTGCTTCTGAAAAATGGTAAAAAACATCATCACGGATCCTCATTATTGATGGCAACGTCCTGGTGATAATCAGCAGCAGCCGTGCGTTTTCTTGGGTATATAATGGCCCCCATGCCAACGACGATCAACATACACACGCAGATCATCACTAAAAATATATATTGTTTCATAGAATCGTATAAATCAGATTTACAAAAAATTAAAGCTATTACAACCTCCAAAAGCCGTCCCAAACGTCTTCGATGCATATTCTGGCATTAAGGCATAGATAACGTCGTTCTGGCACTCGTCCCAGTCGTAAATGTTGTAATACGCCTAGAATTAAATCTATTTAACATCGAAGGTATTTTTTTTACTGACCCTGCGATAAACTACATCTCGAAAAGCCTCAGCGCCATTTCGACACTGCATCCCATAGACTGCTGCTTTGCATTTCAGGGTTTCGACCAGACCGCTACAACTATCCGACCGGTTTTTTTCGCATTTATCCAATTCTGGATTATGATCTGTTGGAAAGCACATGTAGAAAGTAATGTCTAAAAACCAAAATCACAACAAATAAATCCGGTACTTACATTTTTCATTTAACGTCTTTCCATTGCAGCGCTCGTGCAGGATTCTAGTTGCCAAATGCTGAGAACATCTGCAGCTGGCTGTTATTTCATTTAGATTGCTGAAATTTGCATAAAGTAGACCTGCAAAGACCATTTTTTAATTCTAAGGATAAATTGTTCAAACAATCGTTTAAAGCGGCTTTATTTATTTTCTTACCCGCACAAAATCTCGTAGAGCCTAGGATAATAAGAATCTTTTCGATGGTTCAAGCCTGGATCCATCTGAGCAGCCTTGTCCACGAAGCAACCCATTGCCTAGGCATCAAAACCGATCAGGATTTATCATCAAAAAATACCAGTGTATCAAAACAATTATTACCATGAAAATCCTTGACATGATTATTCAGCAGGTTTGCTGAAAAATCTAAAAAAATAGTACTGGTTATGAATTAAATCATCCTACTATGGTTTGCATGCACGGCGGCCGCAAGTATAAGTAATAATAATATCGATAACATCCCGGCTTATTGCAAAATAAGTGAAGAACAATCGAGACGAAAATAAGTGATGGGTTGAACCGATTGCGCGCCATTTGAATATCCGCCCATGCCATCTGGGTCAGTTGAATGTTGGCCACTAATCAATCTTTTCCGAACGTCAGCGAATCAATAAAAGCATCATAATGCAGTATCAACCCACTGCGCTCATCGCAGTAGCTAAAGACAACACAAATAAATCTATTTTTATCAGAACGTATGAGTCGATCTTTGCGAAAATCCGCTTTAGCCACTTCGAAAAATCCGAGCAATTGAACCAAGGCATCACAAGTCTCGTAAGAAATTTTTTTCGGCGCTATTTTTGATGCTCTTTCAAATGGCATAATTCGCTATGGGCGGATTTCTCGAAATTACCGTGCGAAGGGGTTTTGAAACGGGTGATACTTAAGCTCAAGCCTACGTCTAAGCCTAAGCTTAAAACTAAGCCCAAGCCTATTTATTTTTATTAAATTCATACAATATAAGCAATAACTATAAAAATCGAAATTCATCCCCTAGATTTTAAACACTAGATATAAAGCTTAGAAAATCTCTCTCAAAATTTTGGTCAGTGATCCCGGGAACCACCCACCCGACACCCATCTGGCCCATTGTCAGTGCAGAAGGGAAAGCAGGTTCAAAAAAGATTGCTCAAGTATTGGTCCCGGTCTTGGCCTAAGCCTAAGCCTAAGCCTAAGCCTAGGCCTAAGCCTAAGCCTAAGCCTAAGCCTAAGCCTAAGCCTAAGCCTAAGCCTAAGCCTAAGCCTAACCTAAGCCTAAGCCTATCGATTTGGCCAATTTCTATGGTCGACGTCTCACTGTTTGCCGTATTGGAACAAAGGGATCACCAGATTTTATCAAAAATTCTCGTCAACCAGTCGAGCTCGTCAGAATTTCGCCCCGGACTCATTCTGACCAGCTTGAAACGCTGATTCCGATGTGTTACATGGCATAGCTCAAAAATCGCGTTTGCGGTTTTTGCGATTTTTTTAAGTTTCACCTAGACACCCGGCAAGCCTCCCGATCGGTCGTGCCTTCCAAGGCTAGTGTCGCGAGAAATCCACCTTGCGCAATCGCTTTCTCCCTTTATTTTTGTCTTTTTCAAGATGTTCAGCAAGGTTCTCAGCATGCTAGCATTCGCTACTTCCGCAAGCTCACTAGAGTAAGTTATTCCGTTCATTTTCCATTTTCTTATCACTCATTCATTTAGGTGTGCTTTCCAAGTCCTGGCATCTCTTTATCAGTTCGATGTTAAAGGTGTTTCAAACTCGAAAACCATATAAACTTTTGTTTTGAAGGAGTAGTCGATAAGTGTCAAAGCAGCGATCACTATACACACTCTATCACTTGCGTTCTCTCTCTCTTCTCCCTCGCCTTCTCGAAGATCGGTGTTTTATCTGGTAAGGTGCAATAAAGAGGCTTTAAAAGCTTGCGTAAGATGCCCAGATAAGCCACGGTTTGCTCTCAGGCCCCCTCTTTCTCACACACTCACTCTCTCTCTCTCTTTCTCTCTCTCTCGCTCTCTCTATCTCCCTGGCTTTTTCGAAGATCGGGGTTTTTGGCTCGTAAGGTTCAATAACGCGGCTTTAAAAGCGTGCGAAACGCGTCCAGATAAGCCAATACACAAGTGCTTTGGATACGTCGCCATAATCTTTCGCTGACTTTTGCAAAAATTCTATCAGTCTGCATTCCCCTTTCTTCACAATGCACTTTTCTTTTGTTAAAAGAGTAGAATAATAGTAATAATAATTTCAGCCGCGTCTCGCCAGACCAGACCTCCGCACAACCATGTCTGATAAACCTTGTCGCCAAGTCGTCGATGGAAGAGTCGGGGACCAATTCGTAATCGCAAAGGGCTACGAGGGCCCATGGAAAAACGCTGTCGGAATCCCCGTGGGCGAGTCACGTGGCAAAGGTATGCCGATTCCAGATGGTACCGGTACCCCCGATCTTACCACGGTTCAACGTCCAGATTTTCGCACGGTAGACAAAAATCAACCTGTCCACAAGTAACACACCCAGTGGGCACCATTATTATCACAATTACCCATATTTATGCCTAAATGATGACAAATGTTAGGGTTTTTCCCCTCATATTTTTTGGTTTAAGTAATAATTATCAAACGAGGTTTTTACCTAACATTTGTCCAAACTTTAAGAAACAATTTTATGTTATGATTTATTAACACCTTTGAATTGCAATAAACATTTAACCACTATTTTTTGTTTGTGAGTGCCTGGAAAATCGTAAAAACCACAAGCGCGATGTTACAGCTATGCCAGGTAGCACATCGGAATCAGCGTTTCAAGCCGGTTCGAATGAGTCCACAGCGAAATTCTGACGTGCGCGTTGCCTCGATTTTGATGAATGCAGAATTGAAACGATTTATAAATGTACATTTGACTGCTTTTAGGTGAGGTTTTCTAAAGTAAAATGAAAAGACGAGAGCAGTTTAGTTGGCAAAAAACCCTTCCTCCCAACTATCGGCCGTTATCTAGAGCTGGGGGTAACGACTCGGCTCTTTCCTGTGGTGGGGTGAGGCAAAAGACGTCAAACTGCGGCGATAGTGATTTTTGATAAAAACGAGAGAACGACACAAAAGTTAAAGCTATGCCGCCTCTTTAGCTACTTTTGTGGCAACAAGACACGCTCTAGGAATTTCATGGGGCTTACAAGGAGTCGCTTTTAGGTGCTTTTGGAGTTTCGGGACGGGACCTAGCTATTTCGATAGAGAAAAAATTCTGAGCAACATCCCGTTTTCAAAAAGTGCTGATCGATAAAGCTGTTTTAGAAAATTGAATTCAATTAAAAATGTTCCCGGTGTCCGGACTCTTGTGGTGATTTGAGGTTATTTGCGGCGGTCGATCGCCCTTGCCACATGAGGACTTCACGCGCCACGGATCTCGTCCTATGCATGGCCAAGTGGCTAGTGCGTTGGCCTACGAAGTTTTTTTGACCTTTTGCCACAAGTTCGATTCTTATTTACCGTTAACTCTTTGCTTTTTTGCTACTTAAAATTTTATGCACCGATAACGGGTTCAAGAACCAAAACGCAAAGGGTTAGCCAGCGCGAAGATTCGAACCCGAGGCAAAAAAATGTTAAAAAGTTGGTAGTCAAGCGCGCTACCAATACGCTAATGCAACCTGTGATGGAGGCATTGGCGGTGGGTTACGAATGGCGCCCTGCCCAGCCCCGAAAACGACGTGAACCGAGGAAATGGACCCGAAAACCAGAAAAAAAACGCGAACTTTAAACTAAATTTTCTAAAATTCCTTTATCGATCAGCACTTTGTGAAAACGGGATGTTGCTCAGAATTTTTTTCTCTATCGAACTAGCTAGGTCCCGTCCAGAAACTCCAAAAGCACCTAAAAGCGACTCCTTGTTAGCCCCAACCCTTATTCTTGGGGTACCTTATTTATTTTTTATTAAATACGATGGCACAATCCGAAGCAAAATTTAGCTAAATAAAGCAATACGAAAAGGCTACAGGCAAAAAGGTGAGTCAGGAGAAAAAGGAAAACACCGAGAGCACAAAGGTTAAGACACATGAAACGGTACGTTTTATGATGATTTTCTCACGGTTTTTGGGTACTCGTAAAAATTAGGAATATAGAAATGCAGTTACAGTCAGGCAATAAACAATCAATTATAGAGAATGAAATTTGGAATCTGATGGATTTGTGGGCGGCGATTGGTGCTGGGGCCAGCCGGGAACCGGGTGGGCGGCAGGCTGATGGAATTGGTTCGCCAGTTGCCAATTTTGCTGAAATTTGCAGGAATTGATGTTTTTTATGTGTTTCCATGAGCATTTCAAGTAATCTATTAAATTAAATTCACTACCATTTGGAAAGGCATCGGGACAAAGTTGTTGATACCGTAGAACGGGGGTGCGTATTGGTATGGTGCGTAGGGGTCGATCATTTGGGCGGGCCAGTGCATCATCGGCTAAATTCAAGGAATATACTTTAATAAATTTTATAATTAGGAAATCCATTGTTTAATAAATCTCATTGAATTTTTTTAGCTTTACCTGGCTTGGCATCGGGTCCATGGGTGGGCTTGGAATTCGGGTCAGGTGGTTGTGGCCGCCGGGGATTTGACCCCAGCTAGGTGATAGCTGATGCTCATCCTAAATTAAGTAAATCAATAATTTTAAAGGGTACAGTAGCGTGCAAAAAGAAGGCAACACCCAGGAAGCTCTTGTAACTCGGCTGCCTCGTTATATTTTGCACCAAACGGATGGTTTCCTAGTCTTTTCGATGCTGTAGAATTCGATGAGCAGGGTACCAAGCCGCGAAAATTACGTTTAGTAGCTTAAATATGTAATTTAAAATAGCTCCCAAAAAATCGACTTTTTCTAAAGGCATTTTTCTGTTTCAAAAACATCACCATCGTGTTCAGCATGGTCGATTTACCCACGGTCAATGTTTCCGGTTGCTTAGGACGCCTTCAGTCGGCTAGGAAGCTGCGATTAATACGGGTCGCCATCGGTCTGGTGGGGGCGCCTGCAATACCTTTCCCCCAGGCGAACCCACTTCTTGACCCGTTTCGCGCAAAGAAAACGCGGCTTCCCGGCTATGCCAAGTCAAACCCGATCACAAACGACACTGACTTAGGGTAAATCGACCATGCTGAACACGATGGTGATGTTTTTGAAACAGAAAAATGCCTTTAGAAAAAGTCGATTTTTTCGAGCCATTTTAAATTCCATATTTAAGCTACTAAACGTCATTTTCGCGTCTTGGTACCCTGCTCATCGAATTCTACAGCATCGAAAACACTAGGAAACATTCCATTTGGTGCAAAATATAACGAGGCAGCCGAGTTACAAGAGCTTCCTGGGTGTCGCCTTCTTTTTGCACGCTACTGTAGGTGAAGTAAAAAAACTCGAAAGTTTGATGGATGAACAGAAATTTAAAAAATTAAGAAAATGCTTTACCTCCGCATGTAAGCCCGCATCTTCAGATGAAGTATTACTAAATTTTGCAGGGCTCTGGCCGTCTTCTAAATTATATAACTATTAAATAATGTATTTTTGGTGTTTACCTGTACTAGGAGAGTACGAAGCCCGCTTCCTTCCGCTCTTATCCCGAAAGCCCTTGGCAAATGGGTTCTGCGACACCTTCATCTTCGTGACCTCATCATTCTGGTAGCAGGTCACCGCGATGAACGTCGTCTTTGGGTTACGGTACTGTAACAATATTTTTGGCAAACTAACAACGCCTTACCACAGCGACCGGAACAAGTACATTCGGATAGTCTTGTTGCTGCTGGATCGTCAATACTGGGACGTATTTGTGCATGGAGAGGACGTGGAACTAAATTTATAGTAATTATTTTTTAACCTAAAAATTTAAAAATTAATTAAAAGTCTTTAAAGCTCTATGGTATTGTTTCGTACATTCCCCGGCTAGATAACGATCGACGATCCCGTAATGAGGGCAATTTTGAGGGGAGCAAATTAGTCAATCAGCGGTCAACAGGGGGATGTTCAGCCTGGCCGCGGGCAATATTGCATACTGGGCCACCTGACAGTTCGCACCTTCCGGAACTAGGGGCAATTTTGACGGTATGATAAGCGATCTGACGGAATTGCGTGAAGGTACGTGGCCATGATTTTTAGAACATAGAATTAAGAGTTAAAACGTTTAATAAGCTTTCGCAAAAGCTAGTTCTGAAGAATATTAAAAATCTGCACTAATTTGTCATCCGTTTAAAGGTACGAGCAAGCCTGACTAAACGTTCCCCATCCTTGACGATCCCTTTAAAACTTCAAAACTCAGATTTTGCAAACTTTTTTTCTGTTTTACTGTACACGCCCCCCCCCCCCCTTGCCGCTGGCAACATGAAAACAATACCCTATATTTGTAGGATCGGTACGATAAAGGATGTTCTTATTTTCTCACCCAGCAGGGCCCGAGTGGATGGCAATAGGTGTGAGGTAGTCTCTAACCGTGAGAGAGAGAGAGATAGAGAGAGAGAGAGATAGTAGCAGAGACGGGATAACGGGAAAACCAAACAGGCTATCTAGAATGGAAGGTTGAATCGATAAAACTAGAAAAAAAATTACCATATCCAGCCTGCCCTTGGCCTGCTCGTTGTTGTTTGTCATCTTGAAGCCGTCGAAAACGAGCACTTCTTTCATCAAATCACTGCCGATATAGAAACCTAGAAATTTGATAAGATATGGTAAAAAAGTTATTTTAGATTTAATTAAATCTATTTTTAGAAATTGATTAATAAACAAAGATTGAAACTATAAAACCTACGATCTTCCCTTTCACCATACGGTAAAGCGATCGTTTCCATCGGAAACTGCTCACCCCTGCTAGCAGGCATCCAACGACCACAGTATTTCCATCTTAAATTTTAATTAGTAATTGCATAATTTAATTGTATATTAATCTAACGGATTTCATATTCCTTACCGATTCTCATCGACCCGCACCAACTTCAGCGTAATCTTGTACCGACCGTCTGGATGCAGTCCCTTGAAGGCGTACTCCAGCTTGGGAAACATTTTTCTAAATTAGCATAGACGATTAGAATATCGATGTTCAGTTTTATTTACCTCCCAACTTTATTAATAATCATCTCAGTGCCGATCGCATCAAATTTCTCCCAGATCGGCTCAGTGACCAGGGAAATGGAGATGTGGTTCATGCTTCTAGAAATATACGGTAGTTTGAGAGTTGGAATTACCATTAAAAAATCATTATAATTGCATAATGCTAGTTCTTATTAAAATACCAGCGGCAAATATCAAAGGGAGGTTTTCTTATCAAAAAATGAGGTTGCGGAAAGGAAAGTGGCAGATGGAAAACACTTTTCAAAACCATGAAACATTAATGGAAGGCTGTTAAAGGTATATAAATAAGTGGGGGTTAATCGAAGGTATCTGAGGTTTATTAGAGTCTTGAAATTAAACCTCCCAAACAAGTGCCAAGTCCCTTAAAGTAAAAAAAGATTAACACCTCCAAAAAGTGGCACCTAATTTTGATGGGTGAACAGGATTGACTTTGAGGAGGATTGGCTAGAGGGAGATGATGAATGTTACTGAGGCTCGCTAGTTTTTTTGGGTCCGCCCCTTTAGGGGTGTACGGTGAGAAATTGCCAGCGTGAGCGCCATTGCCCCAGGCTACATACTGACACCCTCTACTTGGTCATTGAGCGGTTTTTGGAGCGGGTTTGAATTTTTTTGGGGGGTTTTGAAATATTTTAGGAAATGTGCAACGGTAGACAATCATGCTACGCGGCTTAGAAACAGAAAACGGTTACCTAAATCGAAAAAGGAACGTAATCGGCTGGCGTTAGCTTTGGAAACGTAGCAAATTTGAGTTCTACAAAAATGCAAATTTAGCAAAATAAAAATCTAGAAATTTAGTCAAATGATAAATATACTCAAAATTAAACCATATATTTTCTATATTGCAAATTATGCCTTAACAAATCTACCCAATCCCAAACCCATTTAATACATCCGGCATCCAAGACTGATCCCTCGTCACAACACCACTTCGCCTCCTCTTCAAACCAGGTGAAGGCCGATGTCAGTCGAAGCCCTCGGGGCCCATCTAACACCTAGAGGCCAAGTCGCTCGGGCCCACCTTCAAGGCGGACGATCGCCCGAGGGCATCATTCCCAGCCGGCCGACCATGTACTTGCCCCGACACCTGTCATCCAACGAATAAACGAGCCCTCATCTGGAAGAATGTCGATTTGTTTGAGATTTGAAGTCTGTGGGGAAGGAGGCCCAGGGGTATAATTCTCAGGAGAAGCATTTGGATAGGTAGGGGGATTGGGTTGAGGAGGTATGAAATTGGAAGGGGAAGGCGGAAGGGGTGGTAGCAATCGTACGTCTAAGCTAAGTCTAAGACTAAGCCTAAGCCTAATCCTAAGCCCAAGCCTAAGCCTAAGCCTAAGCCTACGCGTAATTCCACGATATCTGCGCGCTTCGACTTCACGGTGAGTAGCATCACCTTAAGGCCTTTTCTGTTGCCTTGGTTGAATAAATTTTCTCTCTTCGTATCTCTCTTTCTCTCTCTCTCTCTCTCTCTCTCTCTCTCTCTCTCTCTCTCTCTCTCTCTTTCTCGCTAGTTTTATATTGACTTCTTAAACCACTCATTCAATCCCCCTTAGGGCCCAAATTTTGATCGAATCCATCTAGGTTGTTGACGGTCAACCGGGTGCTGCTGCGCGCGCAAAGTCTCGAAGGGTTTCGGAGAAGCACAGGCCGACAGTCTGCCCAAGCGAGAGAGAGAGAGCGTGCGAGAGACAGCAAGTCATTCTGTTTTCCCTGTGGGTCGTGAGCGAAGGGGGCCCTAGGGTCCTCTCTATGTCAATAATGTCCCACACTCCTCCTTCGGCTCTCCCCCTTGGTCGCTAGAGCTCCCGCACCGGCCTCATACCTTTGGGTAACCTTGGGTTTTCCGGGTTTTTTTTGGGGGTCATCACAAAAGTCGTACACTGTTTAGAAACCCGGATTTTTTGAGGAGGAACTTCCAGAATTTCTCAGAAATCAAAATTTAACTTGTATTCACAATTCTGATCCATATCTTTTTAATTCTTTTGTGAACTGCTCGATCTGCTGATCATTCTGATTTTAAAATCGTCTTATCTGGTTTTTTTTTGTCGGCTTAGCACTTAAGATCGAAAAGATAAATGCTGAACCGGCGGCTCCAATTTTCCAAAAATATTTTTCGATTTCCACCTTCGCAGGGCCGGCATGCATTATTCAAGAAGCTCGGGAAAGTATTGCAAAAAAAGCCATCTTTTCCATTTTTATGGCTTATTTTTTATAGTTTGTATGTTATAAAAATATCATAATTTTTAGATGTAATAAACCTTAAAATGGTCGGGAAGCCAACCCGACGATAGCTCCGATCACTGCGTCAGACTGGATCGTTGTGTCTGGACTCTCTGCCATAATATAACGTAAGCATCGCTTTTCAAAATCTTTTAAATCATGATTTGTATAGAAAATTAGTTTAAAATTTCCTTTTCAGATTGCCGTAAGCCTTTTGCCATTTCCGCTGCCCCATTTGCCCGCCAATGTCGAATGTTGCCGCCATTTCCCACGCCCCAGCACACCTCCATCCAATTGCCACTTCTACTTTTTAATTTAATGGGTTTTCTATAATTTAATATATATATATTTTAAGCAGTGCCTTGACGTCCCTACACATCGATACGGTCCCCCTTGCCCAGACTATAGAAAAATGCTCGGTTTTTAAAGGGTTAGAGCTTGTCCCGAATCCATAAACAGCTATAATTCCTCTAAAAAACCACATTTTCTAAAGTAGTAGTGATCGAGCTATTGTATTTATGGTTTTTTCTTGTTTTATTTGTTTTTATAACTACGCAATTGCCCGATTTCCGCCCCTCCACACCAATCTTGTCGAGAGCCCAACGATTTTTGCCCCCAATTTCCGCAGTATCATCCCCCCGATATCCACCTATCTACAGCAGGGTTTTTGTAATAAATGGTGATTTGGATTTTTGGATATTTTTGTACTATGTTAGAGCAGAAAACGTGTCGAAAAACCGCTTCGCGGCAGTCAACCCTGACCTTACGGGCCCAGGGGGGAGTTGCATAGTTTTCCGTATCTAAATCACAAACAATGCAAAATACGTCCTCACAAAGCAGATTTTCTGTATTGTGTATTTATACAAAAATAGTAGCAAGTTCCTAAACACTCCCGAACCTTTCGGCCGTTCGTCAGCACCCCGTAAAGTGGGGGTCGTCATAACAACACTGCCAGCAGGGGCCCGGGGTCGGAGACGAACGAATAATCGGTCACAGAAGAATGCGTTCCGCTTCAATACCCTTCGAACGGGCCCCTTCGCTGTTGACGATTTTCACAATTTTCACTATTGAATAGATCTCATTTCAAGAAATAGAATAGAAATTTCTAGATTGTTTGTCTAGGCGTAGTGGCACGGAATTCTAATGCAAAAAAATTTCTAGTTCTTAAAAACTCCGGAGTTTTTTCGGTAGCTTATTTCACCAGTTTTCAAAATTGTTAAATATTTATTTAATTTGGGGGGTGTAACGCCCCTTGAAAAGGTTTAAAAACCAGGCACAGCTACAGTACCACAAATATTTTGCCCTCAAGCTCGCCTCTAAATATTGAAAATAGCATTTTTGGTTTTTTTTTGTACTCATAAACTTACAAAACAGTCTACGCTAGGATCAAAAATCAAGGTTTATAGACGAGACAAAAATATCTTCGCCCCTTCATCCCCTAATCCGGCTTTTCCTCCCTCTTGCGTGCGCGGAAGCCAGTTTGAACCCCGGCTTCTGATTTCCAATTCCTCGTCAAAACGCCCATTCACAAGCGCATTTTTTCGTTTCCGCCCCCGATTGCGAAACCACTGTATTCTCCCTGGGATACCCGACATTGGTGGTGTATAGGCGTCAAGCGGAAACCCCCCGTTGTTGTGTTGTGGGCGCGGAATAAATCGATGACGCGAGCGTGGGGGGAGAGCGTGCGATTCCGGTTCTGTCCTATATTGCGACTTGTTTGCCCTCCACCCGCTGCTGCTCGTCTCGCCATCAGCTCGTGCTCCACCCCTTTTTCTCACCAAGAGTCGGGTGATGGTCCCTTCATTCTGGTGACCGGCGAGGGTTATTTACCCTGGTTTGCAGGAGGCGAGAAGACGTGGTTTTTCATTTTGAGCTCTGGATCTCAGGATTAGGGGTGTAAGGAGGAGCCGTTCGTACTTTTTTCGGCTTTTTCATGACGTCGAATCAAAACCTACGCACTAATGACGGATCTGGCCTTTCCTGCTGAACGGCCAGATAATGTGGTTTTTCATTCTGAGCTTGCCTTAAAAATTTTGTTGTAGGGAGTAGCCCATCGTACTTTGTCTTTACTTCTCCATGACGTAAAATCACCCCTACGCACTAATGACAAATCATATTTATTTGTCCCAAATTGCACTTTTACTCTACCAGACCGATACTGACAAAATCTGTTTTGTTTGCCCAACCACAACGAAAACGATATTTTCCGATCTTGCCACCCCACTTTGTCCCCCTCCCTACCTACCCGTTTATCGTCTACCACAACACGAAAAACAGCCTCCACCTCCTCCCCCTCAAGATTCCGGAACTTTGCTTTTCGCTCTCCTCCACGACCAGACGAAGCTCTGATTCCCCCTCTCAACCAGCTTCCTTAACGGCGTCAAGTGCTCGTGGATAATTCAGTTTTCGAATTTTTTGGGGGAAGAAGAAGCTGGAGGAGAAGCTGAAGGGGCGGGGAAAGCCGTTTTGGCGGCTGGCTTCCGGCCCTTGGCCACCGGACATGCGAGGCAATAATTGCCGGAGCAGGCAGCGTGGTGGGGGTTCCGCGTCTAACCTAGGGACAATACTTTGCTAGCAAACACTAGAATCAATTAGATGGTGGGCTAGTGGCTGATGTGTGCTTTTTGTGGGGTTTAATCTTGGCAAAGCGGATCGCTTTGAAGTTATAAGGAAATTTGTCTTTTTTTCATGCTGGTAACAATTTGCTAAGGTATAAAACCAGATTTCCCATCCCTTTTCTAACAATCCAATTTTTATTTGTCCACCTGCCCCCGACTAATTGCTCCCAGCGCTACAAAAAACATGCCGCGCAACGACTTTCGGTTTTCTCGGGGGCGCTGACGAAATAACCGGTTATTTCGCGGCCATCTACGGCTTCCAGGAAGTTTTGGGCGCCTCATCGCCAGTTTTTATTGGGGGCTGGTGCGTATTGGGAATCAATTCTGGGAGCGGATTGTCGTTTTGGGAATCATGGAATTGTGAAATTTGCTGTTTTGGCATAAAGTCATTTTGTAAATCGGAAATTTAGGGATTTTGAGCGTATCCTGAAGCTAAAAAACTGCTTTCTAAACTTTTTCCAATCCCCAATTATTTCCAAACATTTCGATTTTTATATCAAAATCTTTTTCTCCCACTTGTCCCAAATCAGGAATAGTGAAATTCTGATTTTTAACCTATGAACAAGCTGCTTCTTTTGCACTCGCTCTCGCTCACTCTCTCTTTCGCTCACTCTCTCTCTTTCTCTCTCTCTCTCTGTCCCTTTATATCTCTCCCTCACTTTCTCTCTCTCGCTCTCTCTCCTCCAGTTTTCAAAGTTTTTGAGCTTCAACTCACTTCCAAACGTGCCGATCTCCAACTAAAGATCCTCTTCCCACTAATTAATCCCAAATTCGGACGTCAACCCCACTTCCACCCTGCCCCATTCATCCTCCCCGATTTTCGACCGCTCCTGCTCCTCCTCCCCGGCCTTCCACCGGTTATTTTAGTGGCTGAGCGCCGGGATGAAGGGGTGGAAAATTAGACGGAATCGCTGATGACCGTCCTCTTTGTCATTGCCCGAGCCAGCCAGTCCCCTCCCGCTCCACCCCTCACATTTCATTTTTGTTATTAGGGGGACTGGTCTGGGGTTGGCTAACAGGGTGACATCTTCTCGGGCTCTTGACTTTGGCTTTTTCTCGGATCTGTCTGGTGACAAGCCGGGCAGGAAATTGGGTGTCCTTCTTCGGGGAATGCCCTCGTTGGGCTTGAGAATATTTGGTCGATTTGTTTCCGGGGGTTGACGTGGGGTGGGTGGCAGCCAGTTTTTTGGGGTCGGAATTAGACGTGAATTTTGCAATTTCTGGGTAGATATTGGAAGGGACTGAGGCTTAATCAAGCTTTCAAGTTAATTAAGATAGATTTAGCGTGCTGGCTGGAGGGTTTGTAGTGGGATCTTGGCGAGCTTGTCTAGGATTTGAATTAATTTGAGTCAGTAGAACAAATCTTAGCTAATATAAGCGAATTTTAGTAATAATGCGTAAATTTGTGGTCTGCAAAGTTAGTGGTTTTACTCAGAAAATTCGAAATCGGATTGATATGCTAATTTAAAGACAAAGCGACAAGGCAAACAATTTTTATAAGGCAGATTCTAAATTTTAGATTTCTAATTAGCGTCTTTATTTGCCTATTAACCCGATATTTAAATGTGCATCACCTCAACTTCTAAATTTTCTAGTTGGATTTTCTAATTTACATCCGAATTATCCCAGTTTATCACTCGTACCGAAACCTCAAAAACCAAACTACTGACTCCCAATCCTCACGCCCTAAATATTAAAGTACGCCCAACACCCAATGCCACCTCTTTTCACCGCTAATTATTTGGGCAGTCAGCCACCGGGGGTGGTGCGCTTTTTAGCATTTGAGTTATGACGTTGAAGGGCCAGACAGACAGCAGCCCCAGTATGTGTCCCGTTCCCCCTCAATATTGAGGGTGAAATTTAAGCCTTGCACGTGTGTGAGTGTGGCCTGTCGATATGGGTTTGGCATGAATTTTCGGCCGGGTTAGGGGAGAAGCTGACCAAAAGCCGGGGGGTTTTTAAAGCTTTTTCTTTGGATTTGGGGATGCATCCGGGAGTGGGCGTGAGAATGGGGGGAATATCAGATCGGGGGCGCTGGATATGACCTGATTTTTGTGGCTGGCGTTTTGTTGGCTCTTAATTTCTGTTTATAACTTTGTGACAACATTTTGTTGGTTTTAAGGGACTGTAAGCGTCACCATTATGAAACATATGCTCTCAACAACACGAGTACGAAGCCTATCTCATGACTCACCAGTAACTGTAGGGGGTGATCGCATTTTTCGGCGGGTTGATTTCCATCACAGCAGGGTCGGGTGGTACTGGGCAAACAGTACACAGCCATCCCATCATTTTCACTCCATCTCTCTCTCACTCTCGCTCCCTCTCATTCTCTCTCCCTCTCTCTCTCTCTCATTCTCTCTCAAGCTGGCCATCAACCAATGCGGTCCACTATTTCCTCGATTGCCCATCGGATCGGTAAACCTATTTACTGTTAGCCGCAGTTTTCAATTTCCGATCTGAGACGCGGACTTTGAGACTAGGGTGTGGTTGCGGGGAGCAGCAGCTGGTTTTGTTGGGGAGACATCAACAATTCGGAGGCTTTGCGGGTTTTTTGTGAGGTTCCGGCTTTGGTTTATAAACCTAGGTCTCCTTGCTGAAGTCTATGAGCATGAGCTCAAGGCTCAAAGTTACAGAAGTTCATGCTCACAGAGAATTTTTCGGGAGGCATTAACAATTTTTCGAAAATTTTCTCGATTTTAGCAGCTTTCGGCTTTCATTATAAAGTTTGACGTCTTTAGTAACCTCCCGTACGTTCAGAAATTAAAAATGAGCTCGATCTCGAGCTTTCCTGCTCTAAAAACCAAATACCCCTCAGGCACTTTTCTCGCATCACCCCAACCCATTTACCGCCGACCCAGATACCCCCTACCCACACACCTCCAGACTACAATCAATTTCCCCACGGACTCTCAATTTGTTTTTTAGACCCCACCACCCCATAGGAAGTAAATGTATTTCCGGTTGAGAGGCGTTACCTGTCAAGAGCACGCTTCCCAGCCCAGTCCCCGTCCCTCGCCAAACCACACCCGCCCCGTCTGGCCTTGAACTTCCACTGACCGCTCGTCACCCTGGGATCGTTCAGTTTTCCCCCGAATTTTATCGACTTTTTGCTGATGTTTACCGTTAGAATTTCGGATTTTGGGCTAAAGGCCCAATAATTTGATACTGCTCGATGGCCTCGGGGCTTTTGAGGGTCTTTTTGGGGCCCTAGGTTGGCCCTTTCCACCCCCTCCATCCGCCCGCCATGGCCACAAAGATCCTCGGCAAACATAAACCTAATCTTCTTCTGTTTATTTCTCACGCTCTTTCTCTCACTCTCTTTCTCTCGCTCTTTGAGTGTCTGCTTTTTGTGATTTTCAATGATCATTTGATGTTTTAAAATCTTTAAAACCACCAATTCCAGGGATGAATCGAACGACTCTATTCTTGATATTCCTCTGTGCTTCTCCGGTTCCGCTTTTCGCCAAGCGAGGTGGAGGTGGTGGCGGTTTCAATCGAGGTTCAAGTGGAGCCAGACAACAAGGTGAGCACCAAGTTTTTAAAAATATTATAAGCTTCAAAGCTAGCGACTACATTGTAAAAACACAGATCAAAAACTAATTTTTCAATTTTCTGCCATCTCCCACATCCCGTTGAATCATTAATGTGTTGTCCATGTCCATATATTTGTGTGTGTAAAGGTGGCTCGGCGGGTACGGCCTCTCTTCGGGGTTCAAGCTCCTCGAAAACCCAAGCCGTGGTTCCCCCACCGGCCGGCCAGTCCAACGTCTACAGCAAGTCATCAGCCATCAACTCGAATCGTGGGTCTGCCCGGTGTGGTGTCGCGCGTCGTGTTGTCCCCTAAAAATGCCTAAAATCCCTACCCAGCCCTAAAACACTTCTTAAAACTCTAAAACACTTTTAAAATAATTTTTTTTTTTGCAGGGCCAGGCAGCTTCCAGAATGGAGGCAACACATTCCAGGGATCCCAAGGTGGCTTTAACACCCACAATGGGTTTAATAATGGAGGTAAAAGACTGGAAAATTCAAGATTTATGTAAATTTTTCAGGGTTCAACAGCGGTGGAATGAGGCCGGCTGGAGGTGTGAACACTGGTGGATTCCGTAACCCACAGCAGAGCGGAGGATTTGCCAACCGAGGGTAGGTGATTTTAAAGGGACAGCCAAGGCACACAACAGACACGCTGGCGTTTTCGCTGAGTAATTGGTTAGGCGGAAAATGTTGCAAAAATCCATAGAAAATCCGTAGTTATAATTAGCTTACTAGAAAAATGCTTTAACTTAAAAATTCTAGTCGGGACCCGATGCCTCCTATGCAGAATTTTTCGCTGATTCTGCTTCTGTTTTCAAAAATTTCACTGAAATTTTTGTGAAAAAGATACACCATTTTTCTTGGTTTTCCGCTTTAATAATGCCGCTAATTTACATATTCCAGCTTCTCCGGTGGCTCCGGAATCGGCTCAGCCAGCCGTGGCTCTACCTTCAAAAATGCTCTAATTGGAGGCGCTCTCGGCGTTGCTGGAGGTAAGCATCTTGCACCAGGATCTTTGTAATACGCTTTCTTTCCCCCGGCAGGAGTGCTGCTCTATGAGGGAACAAAGGCCATCATCAACCACGCATCCAACCCGTTCCCCTGGAATAACCGCAACTATTACTGGGGAGAGCAGGTGGAAGAATTTTTGAATGAAAGATAAAAACTATATTTTAGTATTACCAAGGCAACCCCAACATGATCCAGTGCTCGATGCCGTTTGATCAGCTCCAGAAGGTTAAAAAATGTCGAAAAAATTGGTTATATTCCCAATTTTAGACCCAAGCTGCTGCTCAAACTCCTGCTCCTACGACTGTTACCCCTCACGTTGATGGAGATAACTCCACAACTGCTGCTCCCGCACCCGCCGACGTCGACAACAAGTTCAACAACGTAAGAACAAAACTAAAAAAAAAGAAATAATTATTTAGATCCAATTCCAAGACGGTTCTCGCCCAAAACAAATTGTGTGGGGATGCAGACGTGGAGCTGAGGTAATCTATCTCTCCCAGTCCCTTTAAAGTACCTTTAGATGTGCTGCGGAATGGAGTGCTGCCCCAATACTCAACAACCAAATGGGGCCGTTGCCCAGAGGAGCTCCGGTTTTAGCACCACCGCTGCCATCATCATCGGGTATCGATTTTTGCCAAATTTAAATAATGATGCCTGCCTCACGCTATAGTGCATAGCCAAAAAAAACTGAAACTAACCCGCCGCCGCAGCTGCTTTTGTCGTCTGGTAGCCTGGTGATGGTGGTTTGGGAAAATGTGGATATTGTGCTTTGAAAAATCACGCAAAAAATAGAAAAAATGCTTTGACGTTACGCCATAACCGAATTAAAACCCGACTATAAGTTTTTAGAGAGGAATTCCGAGTCTATAGACGTTATAAAAACGTAAATAGTATCAGAGCCAAGCTCAAAATTTGAAAAAATTTACTAAAACCATCAAAAATTGACTATAAAATTTTAGAGAAGAATCCTCTACCTAAAAAAATTATAAAAACGTAAGTAGTGTCAGGGCTAATCCTCAAATTTGAAGATATACCTTACTGAAGCATCCAAAACCTCATCTACTAAGTTTTGTAACCCAAATTTGAAGTGGAAAATTGTAGAAAAAAGCAAAATCTACGTATTTGCATACTCCAAGATCGTTAAAATAGTATAAAAAACCAGCACGCCCTGTTTTTCAGCTACCTAATCCTGCGTCACTGAGGATCCCGGTGCGCCAAATGTTTTGTTCGAATCATTTCTCGGTACCGTCCTACGTGCAGAAATGCAGCCCTTCTTTTCGATAGTGGCTTCTGACCCTGGGGTGTGGCAGGCTTCAAAATTTCCGAAAAGCGACTCTAAACGCCTGCCACATCCCTTAACCCATTAGGCTAACGGCCCTTCCAAATAACCCCCACACGTAGCAACCCAATTTTTGTTACTGACTCCGCATGAGTTCCGTTATTCCTGATTTAATAGAATTATACTTTAAGAATTAACATTCCCTTTTCAGATTGATTATTCTCGTGCTGGTGGGGCTTTGCTGCTGCTGTTGTCTGATGAAGAAGCCCTGGGAGAACAATAATAATGTGGAGAACAATCAGGCTCAATACGAGCACAAGTATGATGATCAGCCTCATGGTAGGTGAAGCGTATTAAATCTATCTACAAAATTTCAGGATACCCAATGCAGTCTTACGGCGGGCCATCCGGGGGTTACGGCCAACCCCAGGGCTACGGCGGGCAACAAGGCTACTACCCTCCCCAGCAAGGCTATCCCCAGCAGTACCCCGCTAACCCCACTTACTAACTTTAAAGTATAACCCTTTCAAAAATCTCTAAAATCAAAAAACCTCCCTTAAAATACAAATGACACTTTCTAAACCCTCTATTCTCACCCCCATATCTTACCGATTCCTGAATCCGGGTTGCACACAACGGTGAATTCCCCATTTTCTCGACTCTTCCACACAAACTGTGCCAATTTTGCGTATACATCCACAAATTCTAAACTCCTTGATCACGTTCACCGCGTCTGTACGATTTACACACACCCCCAAAAAGTCGTGTGACTTTGCTCACTTTCACAGTTTTCCCTATGATGTCGATAAAAGGTTACGTACTTTGCATTTTCCAACCACCCAAGCTTGTGCGTTATACAGATTTATTGGCCCCCAAAAAGAAAATAAGTGAATACGCCGGAAAGTACACAAACAACAAAAAATTTCACAAGTTAATTAAGTTCCCAAAATGAAAGACATGGTTAAGGCAATTAGTGAGATCGTTTCTAAGAACAAAGCATACTTTTAAAAATCGGCATCAAATTCGATTTGACGATCCTCCTCGGAGCTCATCACGCCCGGCTTCTGGTACTCGGAGACGCGCTTCTCGAAGAAATTCGTCTTGCCCTCGATCGAGATGTTCTCCATGAAGTCGAACGGGTTCTTGGAGTGGAAGAGCTGGAATGAAAGATCGTAATGAGGTAACTGGATGAAATCATACCTTATCACAACCAAGCTCGGCGAGAAGATGGTCAGCAACGAATTCAATGTATTGCGACATCAGCTTCTTGTTCATCCCAATCATATCGACGGGTAGAGCCTCGGTCAAGAATTCCTGCTCGATCTTGACAGCATCGGCGATGATGTGATGAATCCTTTCTTGGGACAGCTTGTTGTTGATATGACGATACATCAGACAAGCAAAATCCCTGTAAAAAAAGGTTTAAATTCAAAAATAAAGAAATTACCTGTGCAAGCCTTCATCACGGGAAATTAGTTCGTTGGAATGCGTGAGGCCAGGCATCAGTCCACGCTTCTTCAGCCAGAAAATGGCGGCGAAAGATCCGGAGAAGAAGATCCCTTCAACAGCAGCAAAGGCGATGACGCGTTCCGAGAAAGTAGACTTTTGATCGGCAATCCAACGCAGAGCCCAGTCGGCCTTCTTCTTGATAAACGGGAACTCTTCGATGGCGTTGAACAACAATCTCCTGCAAAAACACGTTTTGAAAAGTTTGAAATCAATTTTTTTACCTCTCCTTATCGTCCCTGATGTACGTTTCGATCATTTTCGAGTACATCTCCGAATGGATGTTCTCGATGGCGATCTGGAACCCATAGAAGAAGCGCGCCTCCGGGACTTGAACTTCTTGGGCAAAACGCTCGACCTAAAAGAATACTTTTATATAATTATAGTTCAAACAAAGCTTACCAAATTTTCATTGACGATTCCGTCAGAGGCGGCGAAGAAGGCAAGAACGCGAGAAACGAAGAAGCGCTCATTGTCGTTCAACTTTTCCCAATCGTTCATATCCTAAAAATTCTTTCCAAAAAACTGGGTAACGTTCTTACCTTTCCTAAATCTACTTCTTCAACTGTCCAGAAAGAAGCGACGGCCTTCTTGTAGAACGCCCAGATGTCGTGGTACTGCAGCGGGAAGATGACGAAGCGATTTGGGTTTTCTTTCAGCAGCGGTTCTTCAAGAAGAGGGGCGGCGGAGACGAGGTCCTTGGTAGCCTAGAACAAAAGATAAATGTTATAACAACCTCCATACCGTGACAACCGGGGCGGTATTCTCTTTGTCGATCAAGGTAGTCATCGTCAAGGTTGAATCCTGAAAAATAAAGTATAAAGATAAAAATAGCGATAAGAGCGTGTGAAAGAAATAGAACTGAAAACCGAAAGGACGAAAAGGCTGTGCGCACAATGATAGAAGTGATAGAGCAGAAAATCTGAATGAAATCCTACTTTCCAAGCTTATATACCGCAAAACTAGCCGTGAAATGAGCGCGAATGGTGGCTATTTCAAGAGGGATTTCCCGCTCAACGGACATCTGCCGGTCGGTGGCACCCCGTCCTCGTCACGCCCTTATCTAGCACGTTCGCCCACCCATCATGTAACGTTATTTTACGAATGAACTGTTCGAAGTTGGGGCACAAGGTGGTACGGCCAGATTGGGGTGATATTATGACACCTTGTTGTTGATGAGCGATGAACTTTTGGGGGTAGGACAGCTGATCACGAGTAACAAGAAAGAGTACAACGTTTGCGCCCAAGAGAAAGCTAGATACAAAACGCTCTAGTTGTTAATTTACAGTTTATAGAAAAAAAAAACAGAAAACTAACGGGAGCACTTTCTAGAGCGGAAATAGCTATACAAGCCTCAAAAAATGCATGAAAAAGCATGAGGCTCAGGTAGAAGACTTCTGAGTAAAAATAGGACAAGTTAATCTAAAAATAGCCCAAAAACCGAAAGGAAATACGTTGTTTTATACGCAAAAATCGAGCACGAGTCCGGACTTGTTTGGGTGGGCGAAGCAAAGGGAAAAAGCGGAAAAGGGGAAAAGAGAGACAAAGGCCCGCGCGCCCCGCCCCTTCTTGGCCCGCGCCCGTTGCCACACTAATGACGCTTTGACCGGAATTTGGTGTTGTCGTACTTTTTTCGGAAAGATTTATAACTCAAATTGCTGCGTTGAAATACACTGCGTTAAAATTTAGTCTACGTAGTCTAGAGTTTTTTTTACCAGTTTCTACAGGCGAATTGGACGTTTTTACTCACATTTTTGAAGATTTTTGAGTGGGTTTGGACCATTTTCATCACCTTTAGTCTGTCGGAAAATCGCAACTTTGTGGGGCACACCGGGGAACAGCTGCTTTTCACACTTATTTTCGGGGGATAACCAATGGCGAGTTGAGAGGCGCAGAGATGAAAAACTACAGACTAAAAAAGCGGAAGTATATGCGATTTTGGTATAAAAATCTGCCATAAAATAGAAAAAAAAGGTGTCTATAATCCAAAATAAAGCGCATTTAGGTTTAGCATTAGGTAAATTCAGCTAGAAATTCCTGGAGGGTTTTATAGCCTTTAAATCGTATACAACCATGACGTGACCCCAATAACCCGGTCCAATTTGCAATAATGACGTCAAATACTTGGTGGGACCTGTCAGGCTGTGACCGGACACACCCTCTGCCTTTTCTGTCCCCTTGGGTGTTCCACCCCTTTACCGAGGTCAACCTGGGAAATGTGGCGCGCAAATGTCCCATCCCCTATTCAAATTTCGCGCGTTTCCTAATACACCTAAATACACCTAAAATATACTGTAAAACGTAGAAACCACAAGAAAAGAACATAAATTTATTAGACCCGAACAGCTATAAGTGACAGTATTTTGTAGTAAATAGAGAAGTTACAGCTCAGAAGGATGGCGCACGTTTTCACTAAAATGTACGTAATTTTAGGTATATTTTTGTACCGCTGATGGACCGGACAAGTCGCGCAGGGCCTTCTGCATAGTTTTTTCTTTCAAGGCCTCATCATCCAAATCTTTCCCTTTGATCCAGGCAAAAACGTCGAGTTTTGAGTCAAGGAGGAGGCGGGCGCGTTTTAGCCTACATCAAAAGTAGATGAATTTAGCGTTAAGACGTATTTAACATACAGAAACTTAATACATAAAAATCTACATAATTCGAAAACTTACCTATCCACGTACTCCCGACCATGCTCCCCTTTGCTAGAATAACAATCCAAAAGTTCTGAGCTTGTCTGAAAACATTACAAATACGGGGTTTTAAATACCTTAAAACCTACGTCAAAAATATCATCTCTCCATTCATGCAATAGATACATCCACGCCTTTTCTGTGCTACCATCAGCCATTTCGATCTGCATTTTATGACGTGCAGGTTTTAATTAAACCTACAGTTTCCAATTCTCTGGTATAAAGATCGGGATAGGCCTCAAGCTCGTCCAAATATCCCAGCTTTTCCTCATCAATTTTGTAGACCTCGCCTTGAATCCTCTAAGAAAGTGATAATTTTAGTTTAGATAATTTTAATTATACCTTTCCCCTCTTTCGATCCCTTAATGCCATCGGTATATTAAATTGGGTAGCTATTATTAGCGGGAATTTCGAAACAGAACGGCCATTGCCTAAAATTTGCATAAATATTAGATCAAATAAATACCTATAAAATCACAACTCCCGGATGTTGCCATAAGATAATGATGGTTGGGTTCATTTTTCTTCAAAGTTCCGTACACAAAAACCAACATCCTTGATAGTTTTGGGGTCAAAATTTTGTCTAAATTCTGTAAAATTATTTAAAGTTGTTTAAAGCGTTTTAATCGATTAAAAAAAATTTGAACAGATTGAAATTCGTTAAAACTAATTTCCGGGGAGCGGCAAAACGCGATTGAACGCTAGCAATTTAGGGATTAGTAGCTCGTTGTGGCGGGCCGGGGGGGCTCCCCATATTAGCCACTACACCTGGTGGCATTTATGCCGCTTGTCCGCACACCGGCACAATCGATTTTCCTTTTTCTAGTGCCATATGAAACTTCCGGTCTATTGTTCTATTATTCATACCATTAAAATTGTATCATTTCTCATTTTCAGATAGGTATCGATGAAAAGGGATGAAAACTTGGGGGCCGTAACTGATAAATTATTGCATTGCCTTCTAGATACCACTGAATTTCAGGTAATTTTTATTAACGTCGTTTAAATTAAAGCAATCGGTTTAGGACTTATGGTATAGAAAAGTCGTAGAAAGACTAGAAAAGGAAGCTAGAAATGAGCAAGAGCTACTAAGACCGAGCACAAGTGAGGCTCCAGAAGAAAGATGGTGATTTTATATCTTTCTATTAATGCCTAGAATTTAGTGATACATTATTGTATACCTTAAAGGAGCTTATCACTGGTATAAAATTTGTCGTGGATGCATTTAATCGAAGTTGTAAGTTGATTTAAATCGAAATTTAGGCAAATTTTAGCGGAATTGGTTTTTGGGCATTATGACCCTGTTGCTAATCGAGATGCGGGTGATATTTACGCTGTAAAGTGGCAGGTAAATAAAAGATGAATAAAAATAAAAAGTTAGATTCATTTAGTTAGAAAGATTACTGGCTATGGAACGGCTTGACGAGACGAAATGCTGTAGTATGATGCGGAGATTGATCCAGCTAATAAAACAACTTCATAAGCGGATTGCTAGGTAGGTTGTAGATCTAGAAATCTCCTAAAATTAGCATAATTCAGCCCGCCACAAATTGCAAATCTAACGCATGCCGTCAGCAGCATCTGCGATTTGCTCTATGAATTTGAGGGCTGGCTGGCGCGTAATATTAATCGAGTCCCGGAACGGAAAATAGCTGTTAAAGGTAGTTTTCAAATGCTTTAGGTGTTTTATGCAAATTATAGCACTTCGCCAAGCGATCGACAGCCTGAATAGCAAAGTTTTGGGGAATATGGAGGAGGTATACCAATTTTTACGCAAGAAAATCTCGATTTAGATCACGAAAAAGAGCAAATCAGCTATAGATCTGAATCGTCAGTGCGGAAGCCCTTGGAATGCTACTCCTACTCGTAATTTCTATACAAATCAGAATATTAAGTTGCATAGGAAAACCTAACACGCTGCCGAAACCGCCTTGGGAGCGTCAAAAGTACAATCGTCCTCCAAGTTCTTGGATTCCATCTAGAGAATTGCAACGACTAAAACTTAAGACGGTAGGTTTAAATTATAATATCTTAATTTATGCAAATAAGTTTAGAAATCGCAAAGCGAGCCAAGACCGGCACTGCCGCGCAGGAATTTACGGCCGGTTCAGAATATTCCGAAACATCCTGAATCCGAAACAGTCGATTCCTATCGTAAAGCTCTGGAACGGAAATGGGGTCCAATCTTGCAAAATGATGAAGCTTATATAAAATCGCTAAATTCAGATATCAATGGGAAAAAAGCTTACAGGTACTGTAATCTATTAAAACATATTTAAGTTTTTTTAGATTAGTCCAATCAATTACCAAAGAAGTGGTACGACGCTTGGAAAAAGAGCATCATATAGTGTTTGCTGACCCATAATTATGCAGCTCATTTCATTGGAGAATTTTATAAACGATTTTATTCATGCTAACACAAGTATATAATCACAGAAGACGGATGTTCACAGATGCTAAATAAACGCAATTCAAAGGTATCCAAATTTTTAGGGCTTTTCAGGGATTTTAATTGTCACAACTCTAGAAACAAAAACTCGATAAGAACATCTCGCGTCGGGACCCGGTGCATCGCGCGTAAAGAGCAAAAACAAGAAAATTCAGACTTTAAATTTTCATATTGAAATTAGCACTAGCGCATCTCTGAATGGGGGCAACGGTTGGGCTTGAAAGCGGGAGGGAGAAATTGTGGGGGTAATTTTGCACTAGACGGTATGCGGGATGGCTATATGAAAAGACACGACCCGTCGATAGGAAAGTCGGAAAATTAGCTCCAGACGTCGGCCTGGTAGCGGCGTTGTCGTTCGAGGTCTTTGAAGAATTTGGTTGCTGCTTCTTCTTCAAGACCTCCGACCTGAAAAGGCGGAAATTTAGTGATATAAGGTTTTAAAGTACCTCTCTGATAATGCGAAGTAGGCAGGCTTGCACGTCTTTGGCCATATTTCTTGCATCACTAAAAAAAAATGCCGTTAAGCGGTTCACCAGAGAAATTCTTACCCGCAAACGTAGACATTTGCGTCCTTGGAAAGTATGGCCCAAATTTCCTCTCGTTTTTCCCACATCAAGTGCTGGACGTAGACTTTTGGTTGGTTCGGGATACGGGAGAAAGCGACGTTTAGGTCTGTTACGACATTGTCGGCCTTGTATCTGAAACCATATTTATAGATCTTTCTCTCTTTCTCTCTCTCTCTCTCTCTCTCCCTCTCTCTAAGTACTCACTTCTCCAATTCATCCCGATAGATGAAATCCTTTTCCGGGTCCCTGCAGCCAAAGAACAGCATAAGAGGGCCGATCTCTTTGCCTAGAAAAGGAAAGGTATAATTGGATTACCATCAAGCATTACCTTGATCTTTGTGGAACTGTCTCTCTTGGATGAAACCGCGGAACGGCGCGAATCCGGTCCCCGGTCCAATCAGGATGACGGGAGTGGTCGGCTTGTAGGGGAGTCTCATCTGGGATTTTCGGACGAAGATTGGTACTGTTTGCTTGGCTGCCTGAAATAGTCATAAGTTAATTTATGCTAATTTGTGCTTACCCGAGTTTTTAGCCAATTTGTGCAGACACCCTTGATATGACGAGTGTCGTGCTCGTCAGTGAGGTCATACTCGGTAACAACCGCGGTAACATGGATTTGAGCATCAACGTATTTTGGAGAGGATGCGATAGAGTAGTAACGAGCCTCAAAATTTTTTGATGATTTTGGGGGCTTGGTTTCCCACCTGAAGACGTGGCAGCAACTCCAGCAAGTAGTCAAAGCTGGGGCGACAGCTAGGAAATGCTCGAAGAACATCTACTAGCGATCGGCGACCTCGGGCGATATATTGAGCATATTCTTTCTAAATTGAAAGATCTGTATTTTTGAAATTTTACTAACCAATCCTTCTTCTGACGGAGTTCCGAGCAGCTTCAAGCGCTCTTTTTCATTTTCATCGCTGCAGGCTTCTGATAAAGCCTTTAGAACGTGAGATTTCAGAGGTGAGCAGATATCGACCTAAAAATTATCTCTATCTTTGGCTTCATTAGCCCTTTAATTTTCATGATCTGTTTTCACCTACGTAATGAGTAACAGCCGTTCGTACTGTAGTCGGACACGGGAAAGGATTCCTCTTGCTCGAATCCTCGTCAGTGTTGATCAGACGGAATGCCTAACAATCTATTGAGCACGAGTTTTTGCTTCCTACCTGTTCAGGATCAACATCAAGACGCTCGAGCACAACTTCAACAAGGTTAGTATCATTGGTCGGGAAGATGGCAACATGGTCTCCAGTTTCATAGCGGATTCGGGATCCTAGAATTTCGGTAAAACGCGACAAAAAACCAAATACCTTCAAGCTCCAACGAAATATGTCTGCAAGACCGATCGCTCTTTTCGGTGTGCAATTCCCTGTTTTCCTGGATTGTTGCCAGGTACGGGTTCTTGAGGTCGAACGGCGGGCGCTGTTTCTCGAACGCACCCAGACGGCCGTATTCACCCTAATAATATCGTTATTGCATCCATACTCTTTATCTACCTTGAAAAGAGTCGTCGGGCCATCAGCGGGGAGCAGTTCAAGCCGGTACTGTCGTTGAGCCTCCGCATCAAGGTCCAAATCCCAGCCATAGACCTGGGCAACGTGGGGCAAGAATGCCTCGCGCCAACTGATAAAAATCAATATAACCAAGGAAACCAAGACCAACCGCATAAAATCCTCCTCCAAATTGGCATCATCATCGCCAAGGCCGAGCTGATAGGCGCGTTCAGCCCCCAGCTCTTCAAGCCGCGTGTCAAAGACCTAAAAAATTTTGTATTTTGATTCAAGTGAGCCTTCAAACCTTTCCAACTTCATTGTAATGTTCATAAGTCTTGTTCCCCAAGCCAAACACAGCGTATCTAACGCCCTTCAAATCCGCCTCAGTATTTTTAATGAATTCGTAGAGCTGTTGAGCATTATCGGTAGGGTCTCCCTCTCCGTAAGTGGCCATGCAGAGAATGACGAGTATGCCATCAACCTCTGAAAAGCCCGGTAAAATCAATAAATCTAAAAGTTACCAGGTAACCGAGCTAAGTCATCAACCTCCATCTCTTCCGGGTCGAGGACGGTGGCTTTTTGCTTGTAGCTAAAAAGATTTTGGACCTTTTGGTATGGATTACCGATGGAAATCCTTAGCCAAACGGCCCGACAATTCTTCAGCTGTTCCTGTTTGAGAGCCGTAAATTATTAAAACCTAAAAATGACCTTTACGCACTGAAACTTTATGAAAAACCTGTCGTCCTTCCGCTTTCATTTTTGAGATGAAACTGGTGTCTCGTTCTGTGCGGGTAGGGGCGACTGGGGTGGATTTGGGGGCATTGTAATTCGTGCCCTAAATCTTGGAGATGAAAAAGTGTACTTATATTTTTAATAGTTTAGCCTATATAGTTAAAAATTCAGTTGATCGTGTTTTTAAGTATATAAGGTCAATTAAATATCTAAAACTGCAAATTAACCTACCGTATTGTTCATACGATAGTGAAAAAACACTAATCCAATCCCCAGCAGGACCAGGATAAAATAGTCGAACGTGTCGAACTGGGATAATAACCAGTCAAGCATCCTGAAAAAATGAATGGTTATTAGCATTTCGGAATCCAGCAAAAACAGGGTAGAAACAGAAAAATAGGAAAAATTGGAAGAAGGATGTATTGGCAGCCCGTAAGTGCCACCTGTCGATCCGATCGACATGCTCCTCCAGGTATCCTCCCTCCAGGCAAAAATCCAGAAACCTGTGGGGTGAAACAAGGTCTCCCCCAACCCCCCGAAAAGGCTCGGGGTGACCGAAAAATGGGCGATAGCATCGCCCCCACCGACTCCAACAGGCCGCCAATACAAATTAGTTCAGATTGTGGGAGGTCGAGAAGAGGGAAACGAGGATCAATTTTTGAAGTGCGTGTTCAGCTACGGCATCAGCAATCCCGGGCTACAGCTACTATTCGAACTACAAGGGTACAGAAACGGACTCTGGCCCTGGGTAATACACGAAAGAGGAAAGATAAGATAGGGAAGGGGTCGGCAAGGCACACTCGGGCTCGGTCGGACGAGAGAAAAAACACGCGGCGGCCTCCCTCAGCCATGACCGCCCCCCGCCTTTCGATCACTAACTTGTCTGGGAGAGTGATGTAAGGAGGAAAAATGCGGAATTATGAAATGAATTAAGGTTATGTCAACGTTTTTCTTAAACAAAAAAGTTCTTTACTTGAAATACATTTAATTTAAATTAAAATCTGCCCTTCGAAAACGGTTAAATCTTTCGAAGGGGTAATTATGGTAACAGGGCTTGTAGTAAGCCTTTTTAAAATTACAAAAAAAATTAGAATAAACATTTTTTGGAGTAAAACAGGCTAATTTTCATACTTTATTTAAATTATGTAAATTAAGGAAAACATCAGTATTATTAGAATAATTATAATTTAAAGTTGAATACGTAACGCCAGCCAACGAAGAATAAAAAATGATCCCATTTCTCCCCCCGACCCGCCCATCATATGGCGATCAGAAAAGACACCCATCCCAAGCACAAAATGACACAACGCCCCAACTACAAAAATACGGTTTCCACGATCCCAGGAAGTACGCGGAAATATCCAAAAATCGATCCCAAACACCCGGCTGAGGCCAATTAAGCCCTGCCTCGGTTCAGGAAGCAAAAAAAGAATAGTGTGCCCGGGCCAGTCAGCCGGGGTAGTCGACGATGCCCGGCTGATCACCACCTCAAAAAGAGCAAAAAGGGGGGCAGGTAAATAGAAAAAGAGACTGCGAATAGCTCGGCGCCGCCCAGACCGGAGGTTCCCATGGGAATACAATTTGGGTTGGGTGGTGGGAAATTGGGGAGGAATTATTTGGTCGGGTAATTGTTAGGTTGAGAAGTTTTTGAAGTATCGATACTTGAATTTTTTGGGAATCTAACGATTTAAATTTTGAGCTTAAATATGTTAAAGGGCTGCGGACGGCATGTGTCGATCCCCCCTCATCAACAAATTGGCAAGTAGCCAACAGGGGAGAGAGCGCGCCCTGGGGAGAGGCGCAGAGACATTTTCTTTTCCGCGCGTAACCGATTGACTATGCCGTCGGCATCCCTTTAATTCCAGCGAAAACCAGCGACGGAAGCTGATCCCTGATCAATTCTCAAATTCGACATTTTTATAGCTCTGCGTAGATAGTACAAAATTGTAAAACAACCCCTAAAAATCCGGAAATCGATTAGCATTTATTGGCCAAGAAAAACAATGCCCAATTCCGGGATTCGGCTGATTAAAAAAGGCGGCCCGCCTTGGTGGGCAGGTCAGAAAACACAGCCAAGGCACTCGTGTCAGCCAGAGAAAGAGAGAAAGCGTGAGAGTGAGAGAGAGACACACAGAGAGAGAGAGAGAGAGAGAGAGAGAGAGAGAGAGAGAGAGAGAGAGGGAGAGACGGCGCGCGGAAGGAAAACAGTGATTGGGGTAGACATCGGTTGAGAGGGGGTAGGGTGAGCCATATTTGTGATTTGGAACTCCTGTGCCCGGGTTTTCATGAAACGTGATGAAAATGGGGGTGATTTGTAGTCTTCTGCCGGAAGAGGGCGTGATAAAATATATACGTAATATGTTTTGAAAGGGAGATAAGAATATTAAGTCTAAGTGTAACCCTAAGCTTAACTATACCTATTAAACCTTCAAAACCCCCAAAACCGTTCCGAAATCAGGCCATCCTCCTCTCCCCTCCGCATATGTTGGTAGAGGAGAATGAGTGAGGGAGACGAGGAAACGAGGGCAAATTGGGAGGGATGCACTGAGGGGGACGGGGCCGAACGGTTGCGCGCGCGGAGCAGCAGCCCTGATTCGGGCTCCTAGCGGCGATCAAACTACGGGGCCATAGAATGGGATGAGGGTGAGGCTCACACCTTTTCACCTGCGTTTGAGTATCTATTTAAGGGGGAGGCGCGTAAAGTGATTGATATTGAGGGTAGAAAAAGGGGTCAGAAAATGTGTAAAAGTTGCTTGGAGAAAATGGGGCGATTTTGAGGATAAGAGTTACTTTGTTCATGTTGGGATTTTGAAGTGATACCTAGAGAGAGAAAGAGAGAAAGAGAGAGAGAGAGAAAGAGCAAGCGGGAGAGATTTTACAAAGTTTCTTGCGTATTCTGTTAGATAAATGCCCAAAAAATTCCACAATTATACTGTAAAGCCTACAGTAACCCATTAAGCCTCCATTTTTAACATGACCAGTTTATTAAGCATAGATTCTATGAAATGATTAGCGGACCACTAGTACACACCCGTGAAAGACAGCAGAAAAACTACACAGAACTGAAGTTTGGAATGGCAAGGGCACAACGGATAGGAGATTTTGAGAAAACCAGAGAAATCCAAGTCTATAATAGTTTAAAAAATTATATCGACTTTTTAAGCATAATTAGCATCAATACAACGATAATAGAAGCAGCTAGGCAGCAAATACAGTGCATTTTCTTGTCTTTTCCTTGGTATCGCTCGGCTTTTTCGACGCTCTGCACGGCTTTTCCGACGCGGATCGTTGCTTGCTCGACGTTGTAGTCGATTCTAAAGATATGTTTAAGCAAATTATGCAAGCTTTACCTATCCAACACACTTCCTTGGTCTACGATCATTTGCGAGACATCTTTAAATAAATGGTTTAGTTCCCGGATTGAACTATTAACAGCTAAGACCTAAAAATCATCGTCTTAAAGGGGCAATGACAGCAGCTTGCCTCTTTTTCACGTTGTCTCACTTCCATTTCGTTTGACATGATTTCTTGAAGTTGGACCATACTGTAAAATTAGCCTTTTGATAAATAAATGCATAATAATACCTATATTCCTTTGAGGGCGTCAAATCTACAAGCTGATCCCAAGATGGTTCATCACTTTGGCCACTGGTAACGAGGTAAGAATCCAGATTATTCGATCTGAAAGAAACTTTGTCATTAGAAAAGTAACGTACTGCTTACCTTGATTTAATACTTTTAAGATATGCCGTTTGTCGACTCCTGAATCCATTTGTAATCTGGCTTAAGGTCAAGAGTAGAGCAGCTATGGCATTCTCTCGTAGTCGCTTCTCGCCGACAGATTCGCGAAGTACAGATTGGGTGCTTATTAACCTAAAAATTGTATTTTATATTTGGAGTTCAGGGTTTATTTACCCTATCAATCGATGGCAATGGGATAGCATAGATGTTATCTGCTCCGTCATTTCTTCCATCTTCTTTTCTTCTTCCTGAGTTATGACGTAGAAAGTCTCGGTTTTTTATTTTACCTCAAATCGTTCATCTCCAAAATTCGGCCTCGACACGTGTTTCTTTTGGATTTGTTCGAGTTCTTGTAGCTTGCCACGGACTCTAATACCCCTTGATTATCCTGATTTTCTGCACATACCGCTCAAACTCGAATTCAACTTCATCCGAGGTATGAATCCACATTGGCTGCTCGTGCTCCTGATGCTCCCCACCTTCTTCTAACGCGACAAGGCTCATCCGCTCTTCTAATATGATTTTTGGTTATTTGTGCTTAATTTACATACCGCTCCTCCCAGCCTTTCCGATCGTGTCTCCATACATGTATTTATTTTGTTGGGCATTGTTTCGGAGGAGGACGAAGACTTCGGTGAGGTTCCGGGTTACGCCTGTGGAGGTTCCGGGTTGCTGCATTGTTTTAGGCAATGTATTACCTGTAAATTTGAAGATTTAGCTTATTGGTCCACTCTATAACAGTTAGAATTAGAATGTTGGTCTCTAAACATCAAAATTGAAAATTTGCGTGATAATACATAAATTTATGTGGGTTTGATCGATTTTTAGGTAAGACCAAGCGCTTCTCAAGACGAAAAATAGAATGAGGGTATAGACACTAATGAAACCCAATAATTCACAAAATCATTAATGCTAGGAGAAGCCTCGTCATCAGGAGGTTCTATGCAGAGACCTGGGGTACGAAGCAATACTCCGCCTGGGGCAACCCATTACGATAGGGAAAAGCGGTTCCAGGCTCACCTCTTCCTCGTGGAATTGTTTAAATATTGAAAGAAACTAAGATCTCGCTTAAGCAACTTATATCGAAAAATGTTTCTAGTGCACTGTAGTGTAGTCTGTAGCGAAGCGTAGTGTGCATACAAATCAAGATCTAGATTTTTAAACTTTATTCCAACAAAAACACCTTTGGAGTACAGTAAAACGAGTCCAACCGGAAAACCGTGACCCACAGAAAAAAAACGGAAATGACAGCTGGGGGAGAAAGTGCAAATGTGTGGATTTTGACAGCCTTTTCCATGCAAATTGTCGTCTATTTTGACCGTTAGTGGTGACCCAAATGGAAATAGTATATATTGTTTTAACCGCAACGGGGAGGGGAGCACACGGTTTTGGGGGGGATTTAACGAGAAAAATTTGGGGTGGGGCAGAACACTAAAAAGTTTCTAGCAGTTTCTGAAGGCGATGTGCAACATAAAAATAGTAATAAAAAATTGTATAAATTCAAATTTTAATGTGAAAAAATTGGAATGATGCGGTCAACAATGATTTTGGGCGAACCGGATGTTATCGCTCGGGAAATCGAATCGCTAGCGACACACCGATATTTTCAAAACCGCGTTACTGCAGGTAGTCAAATTAACATATGGTAAAAATTAACATTTCAAGAAAAAAAATCGGGTGATAGGATAGAAGGCGGTTAACTAAATGACAAGTTTACCAGGGCAGATAAGGCAGTAAAATGGCTTAAAGGGACTGGGAAGGTATATTTCAAGTTTTTTGAGGAATTTGGCACCTTTCCAAAAATCGTTAGTCGATCTTCTACCTCGCCAACCCCTTCAACAATTCAAAAGTAGTGAAAACGAGTGGATTTCAACAATTTTTAAGGTCCAGAAACTCGGCCGATCGCCAGATCCTGGTTGTTACGTCATAAGAACCTTCCCAAAAACAACAAGTAGATGCTCAGTTCCGGTTGCGGAGATGCGGGGGCACGTAGGCGTTGCCCTTTGGCGCGGCAGGCGCGGCGGGTTCAGCAGGTTCCGGGCGCGGCTGACGGGGAACCACCGGACCGGATGCCTGAGCCATCGCGCGCACCGCGGCGATCGCGTCGTTCTGGAAAATAACGATATTTAGGTGTAAATAGGTTTGAAGCGTAGGCGGCAATAAGTGTTTTAAACTCCAAAAATTACCTTTCCGGCAGCCATTGAAGCGGTCATATCCGTTCTGCCTCCAACTTGATAGGTATTAGCACCCCGGCTTGAGGAGGAGCCGGACGACTCGACCTTGCCCCAAGGATTCTTCTTCTCCTCCTTGTTGTGCTTCTCGATCTCGACGGCCGCGCCGATGGTGGGGAACATCTCCTGGAAAAACAAAATTACGCAAAAATCCTTATTAACCCACCTCATTGCTAATATCAATATTAGCAGCCTGTGCCCTTCCACCGCCCCTCATTGACGGAGGCACGTAACCGCGACCAGCTCGAGCCGGAGGCCCACGCGGAACTTCCGATTGCGTTGCCGCCTCCTCGTCATCATCCTCTGGCTTCTTCTAAATAAATTTAACTACCATCCACTAAATTCTAGACTTACAGTTGTTGCTCCCCATCCCTTATGCTGCTGCTCAACAGGGACCGGCTTCTGCACAGGCTGCTCCTCCTCTTCATCCTCCTCTGAACTCTCCGCACCCATATCCTTGATTTTCAGACCTTCCAGTCTGAATTAATTTTTAGATGCTTGTCTTTTTGGTCCTCCTACCTGCCATGCTCCCCATCCTCATAAGTCTCAATCCACTCGCTCTCCTCCTGATTTTTCAAGAAGCTGTACTCATCGTGGGCAGCGTTACGGCCCTTGTCTGCTTCGGCTTCGGCGGCTTGCACTTCCTTAAGATTTTATTTTTATGGCTGGTAGTGGTTTTTCTACCTGGCGACGTGCCTTTCGTTCCAGGACCTCTCCAACGGCATCCATGCTGACGACATTGCTCTTTTTGGTCTTTCCAGACCGCTTCTTGGCGAATAACGCGCTGACGTCGGACATTGCGTCACGTTTTGTACCCTCAATTTTGTATAAAATTTCGTGTTAAAGCGGTTTTAGCACTTGGAAGGCTGATGAAATCATTAAGAACAAAGTAGGGAGACTAGAAATTGAAGTTACGACACTCTTTTTAGCAACATTTGGGCTATAGTTGTGTGAAATTTTCGTTTCTTACGCTTAATAACTCGAAAAATTATACGAATTTTTGTTCCTAGGCCCAAATAGCTAGACTTTTTGCGAAAATTAGCTCCATTACGCAAGGGAAGAGCCCCAGAAATCGATGGGAAAAACTTGGCGACAAAGAATGACGTGGCAATGAATGTCGAAACGATTTCTATTTATTAAAGCCTTTCAAAAACAATGTAAAATCTCCAAGCATATTGCAATTCATAACCAAGGGCATTACGTCAGCCCTGTTGGAAATATAAGAATACTCCGAGCGGCTCCGTGAGGGCACTATAGGCACGGGTGTGTAGAGGAATTGTGTAGCGAGCGCGGGAACCAGGGCAAGAGACGCAGGGTGGATGGAATGGGGATGGTTGAGAGGGCATAGTCGGACAGACACATGGAACCGATTTTCGGAGTGTTATCTATTATAATTCAGGGTATCGAATGTATCCATTATGCATATAATTTAACATTATAAACGTCATTGCACACAATATATGAAACCGAGATGTTAATTCTGGGATTTCACATTTTAAAATTTTCATGAATTCTTCATATCTACTTCCTGAATTTCTATTTTAGTTATCAAATACTTGATTTTTATGCAGATTTCATCATCATTTCTTCGAAGCGAAAAATTGGAACATCTGCTTCTTGGCGTTTACAAGTATTTCATTAATGCCATGAAATTGAGCAGACTCCTATTTCGATAATTTTGCATATTGATATCAGTCCACCGATGACCTTCAAAAGTAGCATCTGCCTGTTATCAAGGGTCAAATATCCATGAACCAACTTTCATTTCAATGTACCATTTTTTTGCCAGTTGCTATATTTCCTAAGCTAAACATTTTTATTCGATTTCTAAGGCCAGGGTTATGTAAATTTAAACATACTAAAATTCTTAAAGCTTGAGTATTTTTCCTTGTCTCTATCTCTTTTCTTCTCTCTATCTCTCTCGCTCTCTCTCTCTTTCGCTCCCTTCATTGTTTTCGATTTAGCGTCTTGATTTACATACCTCTTTTCAGATGGCCAGTCTAAAAAACGAGGATTTCCGGCAATTGTTGGCAAATCGAACCGCTGCCACTCCAGCCACCGAAAGGGTTCGAGCCACCGGTGGACCATCCTTTACCCAACGTCAAAAGCCAGATACCGGTGCTAAAAGGCTAAGCCCAAGAAGGTAAGTCCAAATCAAGCAGACCAAGGCCCATTTTTAGTATTACCAATACCAAAAGCAAAAAGCTGCCGAAGAGAAGCCTCCGCCAGATGAGGAGGATGCTCGTCTGCTCGAGATTATGAAGAACTACAGGGATCGAGCGGCTGAGAGGAGGAAGAATGAGGATATTGTCAGTTTTTTTGCAAATCAGTTAAATTTAAAGTATCCAACTTATGGTATCATTTTAGCAAGAAGACACTACCTATAACCAAGGATATCAAGCCGTGCCAAATGATCCGAGGGTGGCTGCTGAGTTGTCGCACGAGAGGCGGAGGGCCATTGAGGAGTCGAAATTCTTGGGAGGAGATTTGGAACACACTCACTTGGTCAAGGGTCTCGATTATTCATTGTTGCAAAAGGTGTGTTAAAAATCAGTTTGTTTTTTTGCTTTCCGAGTTCCTTTAACCCCTGTAATCTACTATATTTTTAGGCGAAAGCGGAAATGGCTCGAAATGCGGCAGAACAAGTTGATGATGAGCTGGAAAAGGCGATGGATGAAGAGCCAAAGGTCAAGGAAGAAGCCCCCCAGAAGAGTCAGAATCGAATGGTCACCCGGTTAAACAAAGTGTTATTTGATGTAAGTCTCCAAAATAATATTATACTGCTCAATTAAACCTAAACCAAAATTTAACCAAAATTTTCAGCCTCCCGAACACCCAAAAACCAACGAGCTATTCGCCAAGGGGCTCGTCTCGTACTTGGTGGAGATTGACTTTGAAGACACGACAATTCCGACTATTGTACTGAAGTAAGTTTTGGGCTATATTATTAAACAAACAATACTATTAAAGCTGAATATATATTTTTAAGATCCGTCCTCGAAGCCAAAGAGGCAGACCGGAACCGCAGTGCCGAAGTCGACGCTTCGATCATCCAGAAGATGACCCAACTCCTGAATTATGTCCGAGGTGGCGAGAAGAAAAAGAAAAAGAAGGTAACAGCATTCTTAAAAACCAATATTACAATTTTTTTTAGCTCCCGAATGTCCCCGAAATGACGGAAGAGGAGAAGAAAACAAATAAGGATGTCAGCATCTTTGATGACGCTGGGGAGTATGATTTCGGGCAAGCGCAGAGGAATAAGGAGGAGGCAGACAAGTGGGTTTAGAAAAATTAGAAACAGAAAAAGAAGAATATGAGAATTTGATAAAACTAAAAAAATTAGGAAATAATCTAATCATTTCAGAAAAAACGCGAAAGACAAAAAGGATCGGCGAGATGACGACCGAGATCGGAGAGACAAAAATCGAGACCAGGATCGGGATCGTCGAAATGAGCGTGATAACCGGGATCGGGATCGTGATCGCCGAGATCGGGATCGTGGACGTGATACTCAGCGTGATCGGTATGCTAAAAATTATGAACATTATACGCGATGTTTTAGGGAGCGCGAGCGTGAACGCGAGCGTGAGCGCGAAAGACTAGAGAAAGAGATGGCGGAAGAAGAGGAAGCCAAGAAGAAAATGGCCGAGAGGATCGCCAAGCGAAAGAAGGAGGCTGAGGGCGAATATGTAAGGATTTCATACAGCAATTTTGAATATTTTTATAGAGTGAATATGCTGAATGCTATCCTGGTGGGCTAATGGAGATGGGAGGGTTCAGTGATGATGAGGATGGCGGAGGTGACAAGCTTGGATTGCTGTCGATGAAAAAGAAGAAGGTTAGCCTTACTAATTTGTTAATTACTAATTTATTACGAATTACACTCCTTTATGTAATTTAATCATTTTAAAAACGAATTTTTAGGGTACCAGCGTCTGGGATGTTGACAATAATGATGATGATGAAGCTGGAAAAGCTAAAGATAAAACTGCTAAGAAGGTAATCTTTCCATTAAAAATTAAAATAACTGTATTTAGCCTGTCAACAAGGAAAAAGAGGACCGGAAGCTTGATCGAGAACTCGACAAAATTAACAAGCTTATTGAGAAGCGGAAGACGGGAGGACCAGATGACGAGTGAGTGATAATTTATAATTTGCCTTATTTTCATCCAAATGCATGAAACCTTTTTCAAATTTTATGTATCAATTTCAGAGGCAGCAAACGGCCACGCTACTAATTTGCTTACCATACCTCGGTGACGGTGTTGTTTTTTTGTATTTTTTGTGATTTGTCAACTGTTTTTGGTCCTTGCAATAAATTATTATTCCAACAAGTAGTAACCCTTGAATTTGCCATTTTTTTTGTGGGTGACTAAAGTGAAGCCCCGCATATCGCTCCATCATTTTCGCGCAAACGCGTGAAGGCACGCAACCGGTTGAAGTTGCACGTCGTTGAAATCTCGGCTGCTCTATCTTGGTAACGCATCAAAATTGTTTGAGACAGAGAGAGAGAGAGAGAGAGAGAGGCAGAGAAAACGCGAGAAACTGATCAACGCACCGCATTTTTGGGATACCCCGGGTTCCCCAGGTACATTGCGGGTCCAAAGGGCACCGGGAAGGACGCAACAATTCTTAAAAAATAGTAATTGAAGTCAATAAAGGAATTGCAGCTCTGGAGGAATCTGTCGGAGACGGTGAACTGCTTGAAGACGTTGAGTCATGCCGTGAAAAAATTTTTGACGCTACATTTGCAGGCAAATTTGACGTTTTCTGGATCTGGAACTTGACGGTGTTCTCTCTCACTCTCTCTCTCTCTCTGTCTCTCTCTCTCTCCCTCTCTCTCCCTCTTGCTCTTCTCTCCTCTCTATGGTTCTCTAACTTCATCTGCTCGCCTCGCTGATCTCTGGTGATCTCCTGCCCTCCAGAGCTTCACTTTTTCACACCATCACCCCATTTCATACCCCAAGGACCCAACTTCACACAAAACCCCATTTGATCGGGACCCAGATCACCAATCAATACCACAGAAAAAGCAACGCTAGATGCTAATGATACGTGGAATGGACAGCACAACGCCCGTCTGACCATGGATTGGGTTGGGGGATGGTGGCGTTGATGATGATGATGATGATATCTCGTCCCCTTCATCTCGTTGCTCGCCCTGTCCATCCTATCGTTTCGTTGAAAGCCTATCGATAGAATGGGGGGCTGTGGGTGTTGAGAGAGGCGGTCTGTAGGTGTGGGCACCCCGGAAATCAGCACCCCCACCTCGTCCTCACCCTGTGAGATGCTCGCGCTCAATTCCCGCGCCAGCATCACCCCTATTGATCACCGATTTGATCCCAAACTACCGTAATCTGGGGGTCTGGTGGCGTTTTTTGGGGTTCGGGGGAAGCCGGAGGTTTTCCGGATTGATTCGTACTTGTGGTAAAAAGGGGATTGTCGTTGGTCCTCGATCTCCCTTGCAACCTTTAGGCATTTTTTATGCACATTAGACATAGAGCGACAAATATTTTTGTGCTATTTTCGGGAACGGTAGGCTACTTTAGATAATTTACGTAAAATTACTGTACTTATTCGATTTTTAGGCTAATTAGCATGAGCACAATGAACCACCAGACACCATGAAAATCCCACCAATCGTCCCCCTAATCAGCATATCGATGCCGATCTCATCCCCACCCCGCGTGGCGCACGCCCCCCCCCGCGCCCCAAGGCTATTATGATAGAGGCCTATCTAATTGTTTATGTAGCCAATCGGTTGCGTTATTTATTTGTTTTATAATTTTTCGTAGTTAATATGGATAAATTGAGAATTTTAAGATGGCTATAACCATTTTCTTATTAATTAACATACTGAAAGCGAGTGTTTCATAAAGAGGAAGCTCTAAGCCTAAGCCTAAGCCTAATCTAACCCCCAGCATAAACTAAGCCTAAGTCTACGCCCAACCTAAATCTAAGTAAAGTGGTCGGGGACCACTCCTAATCCCAAGCCTAAACCTAAACCTAAGCCTAAGCTTAAGCCGAACCTAAGCTTACGCCTAAGCCTAAGTATGACCCGAAATTTGCCATTTCCGGGATCATCAAAACTTTCCCCAATTCCGTCCTCAAACTGCAGAACACCGAGACCACAGTGTGTGCTAGAATGAACACCCGACCCCGTGATCAGCGAGCAGCAAATTTTTGGGCCGGGATTGTCTCACCCGGATGTTTACCATCATACTCCCGGATAGATCACGGTGAGCAGCACCCAGCGGAGAAACCGACTGAGGAGCCCGAGCTGCAGCCCTAGGAAGGGATGTGGACTGTGGGTGTTCCCTGGTGTATTCGGCATCCACACCACGTGCTTCACGTGTGAAGTTGGGGGGAGAATGTCGTCGAAACCGTTGGTTGTGTGCACCCACAGCTATCGTCTCCTTCTCCTTCTCCGGCTCTTGCTCGGTCTCCTTCTCCCTCCTCTTGAAGCCGATGGCCATAAATTGCCGGGGTTTTTCCATTGCGGGGGATACCGGGGGAACTCCCCTGTTGCACGCGCATAAATCTCGGTCTGCTCGGACGGCCTGGGCAGACTTCATCTCGTGATTTTCTTCTTTTCTTCGCCCAGCCAGTCCCCTTGCTGATGTTGCCGAACCCGAACGAGTTTCGGGCTGGGGCCGACAGTATGACAGACAGATTCTTGTGGCAAAAAGGGTGGGGTTCCCGAGAATGGATGACCTTTTTTCGGCGGATTGTAGATGGCACATGATGATTTTGGAGGCAGACGAGACGGGTTTTGCAATTATTTCTTGATTTTTAGAGATTATTAGGTCCGGAAAATTGCGTAATGCTTCTTAAGTCCTACTTGTGCATCTTTTGCTGTTCCTCAGACGCTTAATTTCATTTTTGATTTTTTTAAGCATGTATCTCTTAGGTAGATCTTCAGAAACCATGGCCTGCCCATACGGCTATGGATCATCGGAAGCAACGACAGCTATGCTCGTCGACCTGAAGAAGGAACATCCAGAAGAGGAACAACCACACGGACAGGTAAGCCTAGCCTAAGCCTAAGCCTATACCAAAAAAACCTAAGCCAAAACCGAATTCGATCAAAATCCCGAATTTAGGATGGTGTCAACAAAGTGGCCCTCGGAATGGGCGCCACCTACGGTGAATACCTACAACTTGGAAAGCTCCTCTCATGTCAAAGAATGCAGTCCACCGAAAGCGGGCATCAAGTTAATGATGAGCATCTATTTATTGTTATTCACCAGGTAAATTTTTGAGTCCCAGTGAATTTATATAATTCTTTAGGCTTACGAGCTTTGGTTCAAGCAAATCATCTTCGACATCGACATCGTCAGAAGCCACTTGAATAACACGGTGGTCGACGAGACCAAAACCCTCCGAATCGTCTCCGGATTGGAGCGTACTGTGCGTATCCTGAAGCTCCTCGCCGACCAGATGCACATTTTGGAAACGATGAGCCCGCTAGATTTTGTAGAATTTAGGTAGGACGCCCTTTCTCTATCTTTCTACCCTTGATTTTTTAGGAAATATCTCACACCCGCTTCCGGGTTCCAGTCTCTGCAGTTTCGCTTGTTAGAAAATAAACTGGGTATGTAGGATTATTAAAAATCATATGCTCTAAAAATTAGGTGTACTGCCACAACGCCGCATCCGCTACAACGCCCAAAACTATAGGAATGTTTTCGCGGATTCGAGCGATTTGGAGGAGTTGAGGAAGAGTGAGGAGGAGCCGTCACTGCTCCGGCTTTTTGAGGTATCGTTGTCCACTTTAAATTAGCTAACATTTTTTAGAGCTGGTTGGAGCGCACTCCCGGCTTGAAAGGGCCTGATGGGTGTGAAGAGGAGGGCTTCTGGCCTCAGTATGAGCAGGCGGTTGATCGTTTTTTGAGCGATTTGAAGGCTGATGCTCAGGTTTTGGAGGAGACTAAAATTTAATATGCAAAAATTAGAATCCCGAGCACCCACAGCAAATTCAAGATCAGTTGATGGCCGAATACCACAAGACCGCCGATTCTTTCAATTCGATTCTTGACGTGGAGCGCCACAATCAGCAGCGGAAGTGCAGTAAGTTTAGAAAGGCTATCGAATTTTGTCATTAAAAATAATTTTTAATTCAGGACAACTTTTAGTGGAACGTGTACTTTCCCATGAAGCATTGAAGGGAGCTCTGATGATTTATTTCTATCGTGAGATGCCGCGCTTCTCGCAGCCCTACCAGATTTTGACGTATTTGATGGATATCGATTCGCTGTTTACGAAATGGCGCTGTAAGTGGACGTCTTGAATACGTGTCTATTAATGCGTAACTCCAGACAACCACGTAATGCTCGTACAGCGTATGTTGGGAAGTAAGCAGGGTACTGGAGGTTCTTCTGGATTCTTGTATCTACGTTCTACTGTCAGGTAATATTAAAAAAATGGCGTATAAGGGAATATTAATTTAGTGACAAATACAAGGTGTTTATCGATCTGTTCAACTTGTCAACGTGGTTAATTCCGAGGCAGTATATTCCATTGTTGTCAGCTAGAATGGTAAGTTTAACTTCATCAGGTTAGGCGTAGACTTGGGCTTAAAATTAATAAGGTGTATGAACTCAAAATACATAAATAAAAATTCCAGGTAAAAACCCTGTTCGAACATTCCTACCTAAATGGCGCTGGCTCAGCTACAGAAGGATCAGAAGACGAAGACCCATGCACCGTTGCCAAATAATACTGTATATATCGATTTTTTTCCCCTCTTCTTTTTCTTGTTCCCCCCATTGTGAACAGTCGTCATTTCTGGTCAATAGTCATCGGCGCGCGCGATTTGTGGATCTGGCAATCAGGGCTCAATAAATACTGGTCGGCATCTTCCCAAAAACATGACACATTTTCCTAATTTTCCTCCCTACCCCACACCGAGAAACCACCGACTAGAAAATGACTGCCGTTTGCAATCGCTGGCCCCCACTTTTTTTGATGCTCCATTTTTTGTGATTTGTGGTATTTTTAAGAGCGTTTATTTGTTCTGATAAATACCCGTATGCTAAGCAAAAGGCTAGAAAATGGGGATTCAGTAGATATCACAAAATTTGACGCTGGTACGGGGGCGTATTCCTTCGTTTTCGAGCACGGTGATGGCGTGGGTGGATACTTCAAAGGTTGAGGCGAAGCCGTGACGGGTTGGCAATGTGGTCTGGAGATCAGAGATCATGTTTGGGGTAGAGACTACGATACGCGGCTTTTTACAGTTGCGGTCATAAATTTTGGGTGGGTGCAAGGTCGGCCAAAAAAGGTTTTTTTGGGATATCTCTACATTTTTCGGACTACAAGATGTTCGACAAGACCCTAAATTTGCAGAAAAATTGATCAAAATACGATGAAAAATTTGCTAAGAGCAAAATTTCCCTACCTGTCTTTTCAGCCGTTTTCCCGGCTGTCGTTGCGGCGACATGCCGCACTTTGGAGGCTAAAATACGAGTTTTCGAGGTTTTTCCAAATACGTACTATCGACAATGAACATTCCGCATCAATTTCACACAGCGATACTTGGCATGAGAATTCGACAGTTGGATCGCCGGGAAATTTGAAGGCGGACATTTCCTAGTTTTTAATGTTTAAATTTTCACTTCCGATCCTAACAAACCTGCCAAATATAAGTACCCCCACTCAACGTCGGCTTAAAAAGAAGATCGTAAATAGGTGTCTCCAGAAAATACACATCCAGCGCGCACCTAAAGCGTACTGTAACCCCGAAAACAAACCTTGATCTTCTAATTCGAGGAAAACCGTTCACGTGAATACCATCATTATTGGGAAAACAATTTTCTGCTCCCCGCGGGTTGTCAAAATAACGTTGCAAATGCTCCCCTCCCTATCTTGGTGCTCACCCATCCTCATCGATGATTTGTTGTTCCTCGTGCTCGCTCCGTACATAACAGTCGTGGACAAGGAACGTGTGATTGGAGGCTGAAGGCAGGGGATATTTATGTCATTTGATGTGTAACGTACGGAGCTCGCATTGCCATTTGTGGAAGATGGTTTCGCCGACTTTTGCTTCTAGAACGGCACACATTTCCGGGGAATATCGATGTAAATTGTAGGTACAAGCGACTTCTAAATCCCTTTAAGCTTTTAAAGCTTTTAAAGTACCATCCAGCTTCTTTTCTAATCGTTTTTCACGGAAATTTGAAGCTAATGGTTGTGGTGAAAGACATGAGAGATCGATTCCCTAAGAAAATCATAATTCTAAATTTTTTACGGTGGTTTCCGTACCTGATCCGCCCGCGTCTGAATCAACGGGTGGAATTGTAGGATTACAGAGACATTATAGACATATCCAGCCTATAAAGCGAGAGGTATTTCCCCAAGAAAAGCCGAGACAGACCAGCGTTTCCCACTTTGTCATCCCGCACGTGTTTTCCTCGATGCGCAGTGCGAGCTCGCGGTCTTTCCCGTCGCCACGCTGGAAATGGGGGGTTTTGATATGAGGAGGGGGGGGGGCTGTCTGGCGTGATTTGCAACACTTTAGATCCCGTTTATTACAGCATAAACCCCCAACTTACAATAATACATCTCCTGTCCTCATGATGAGATTGTGCATATATCATCCCTTGCATAGGTCGAACAGTCCGGATACGGATCTCCATCCCATTAGCGTCACATTTTACGTCAGTAGCCCCGCGTACGGTTGGAGCTAGGGTATAATCAGTTACGACATGAAAATAACTTACTAGCATCCGGCCCCAACGCGATCCCAGGGCAACCAAAACCAACAAATTCCATTAACACCTCTTCGAATTTCTGGGAATAGGCTTTTTAAGGTGATTTTGGATTCACGTACCTCCAGATTTTTAGTGGTAAATGCTAATTTGGGATCCCCGGTAATGGCTACAAGCTCTTTCTCTTCTACCAAGCTTGACATGACGGCAACCGCAATGATTGGACAACCAGCTTCACGAAGTCTGCGAAGAAATAATTGTTTTCGAGTTAATTTCACGTGAAACTTACAATTTAGCTTCTTCAGCCGGGGTTTTATGTGATCGGCCATCTGTCAGAACAATCGCAAGCTTTGGGATGTCACTTCTAGCCCCTAAAAAATTTCTGGTTTTTTACGATTCGGCCAAAATTTAGCTCGAAGGCTAAGCCTATCCATACCTGATTCTTCGCTTTTCAAAATCCTCAAAGCTTGATCCAAAGCGAGATGAGTACTAGTCGTCCCTTTGATCGATCTGAAATCAAAAACCATTATGTTTAATGTGATTTCCTTACCTCAAAGCATTCAGATGGCTAACGACCGCACTATTATTCCAAAACTTCGTATCGTTAAACGCAAAGTGCGTAAAGGCTTTCCCTGAGAAGGTAATCAATGCCATCCTAAAAACATACTTCGAAATCTAAAAGCGATACTACCTCACCGCCTCCGGATGCAGATTGATGTTGTTGATGATGCGGTCGATGGCGAATTGAACCTTAGAGGAAAAATTCTTTAAAGAATGTGGATTACCTGTTTTTGAAATAATCGATCGACCGATTCAGAGGAATCGATAATTAGGAATAGATCAAGAGGTTTATCAGAGCCCTTCACACATGCTAATCAAAGAAACAGGGTAAAAATGGAATCAAAATCCACCTGGTTGAGTTTCACAAATTTCTATTCCATGCCAGGGTGCAAACATGTCTTCTAACTTGTCCAGATTTGAATTTGTTACAATTTTATCTGCGTTCTAAAATTAAAATTTGAGAGTTTTACGGCATGCCCAAGCCTTACCCTCGTATAGTTTAATAATGCCGTCATTGCAACATATTCGCCAGTACCGTAGGCCCAGATTTCTAGTCTAGGATGGCTACGTCGAAGGTCTTCCACAATTTCGAAGTCCTAAAAGGCTCTTTAGACGGTAAGTAAAAGTAATAAACCATTGGAAAATCGTGCGTGCGGCCGTCGGATAGTAAAAATAGGACTTTGGGTACTGACCAATCGCGAATTCCCTAAAAATGAAAAGTTGCGTACAGTTGTATACAGTATTCTTACAATTGTCGGATCTTCCAGGGTTTCCTGCGCAAATTTGAATGCCCCTCCCACTCTTGTAATTCCAGAAACATGGCGAAGAACTAGAAAATTCCAATGAAAAATGGCGGGTTATACCAGATAAGGCTGCCATTAAACTATCCCTTGTTGCAAATGAGTGGAAGTTAAATTCGAGGTGCTGGACACCACTAAAAATTATAAAAATTTGGCGTTGATTTTTGAATTCAACCTGAATTGAATTAGTGCTACTCGGGTTGCATTTTCGCCAATAGCAACGTGGCGTACTATCTTTCTGATGACTTCGATCTCATCCTAAGCTTTTTTGCTTGAGGGAAATGGAGAAAACTAGACCTGGAATTGATCCCTCAAAGAACCGGAACTGTCAAGTACAAACAGGAGGTCAAGAGGGGCAGCGGTAATTCGACAGAGGGCTGGAATCACACGAAAATATATATTTTTGAATACGGTAGCTGTTACTGTATCAAATTTGGAGGAAAGAATTATATGTGTAGATAAAAAAGGTCAAAACCAGTCTTTGAACCCACGTTTTGATGATACAGCCCTATGCACAATCTCAGGTGGCGCTAACCCGTTGTCAATCACCTGCACCATATCACCAGCATGAAGTAATAAAAGTAGAAATATTACATGTGACAACATCTGGAAGACAGTTTTTGATGGGAAAATGGGCTAGGAGAAGAAGAAAATTGAGGGAGAAGCCGAGAGAGGGGTGAACAAAACGGAGGAACGGTGGTGCCGATGACATAAGCACTCCCCGTTGTCGGCATAATGCGGAGGCACAATGACTTTTAGGATACAGCGAGACGGTGGAGGGGTGCTTTTTAGCGAGTAGGGAGTCTAAACAATTGCGTAAACATGAAAAGTATCTTTTGCCTTAGATTAAAAATATAAAGTTTGCGATTGCGGTAGTGCCTAGGCTTGATACGCGCCAGAGAAAGCCTAAAAATGTCTAAATTCGACGGAAAATCAAATTTAAAAGTTCAGGTTTGTCGAAGCGGACGCGAAATTTTTCTAAAAGCCAATTTATTGGGAAAATCTAATAGATTTAACCCCATCATCAGTAAAATTCGTTCTAAAAGTCATTATCTTCTTCAAAACCACTTTTCAACACCTACCGTAACCTACTTTAATAATTTGTTATACTTACAATTTATCAAGGCGCCTCTCTCAGCCCCGTTTTATGCCCTCCCAACCTTTATCCTCTCAAATTTCCTTTAGTTTAAGTCCACAAACACAACACAACACACCCCTTGACAAATTCCAGCAGTGCATTCAAATTAGGTGACAATGCAAATCCCAACGCTAGCGCATCGCGCGCAGGAACTTCCAAAAACAGGTCGTCGTTTTGTGAAAAAGCGCATATTTTCTTGAGCGCGCTGTTTACGGGGCGTGGAACCGTAGAAACACTTGAGGAAGGAACGGCACGATGGTCGGGTTCGCGGTATACTCAGGGTCGTTGTAAAATACCTAAAGCTTCGGGACGAGACCGGGGTTTGTTGGTAAATATCTTAAAAAACCTAAAGCTATCATATAAAATATTATAAGATACTAGATACTTTAAATAATGGCTTCTTTAAGGAATATAGACTTTAAAGATACGATGAAGCTGTGGGCTTGATAACGAACGACCTGGGGAGGTAAGGAGAAGCGGAGTGTGGAGTGACGCTTAGCCGGGGGTATCCTCAGCTCCCTCCAGGGCTATTACCCTATTACTTTCCCCATATACAATGCCCATTTGGTATGACGAGCCGAGGAGGGTGCATTGAACTCTTAGCGGTTATTCGGTTGATGGTTGGGGTGATGAGGGGGTGTTTATGGAGGTTTATTTAAACTGTTTTATTTTTTATTTTCCAGTTCGCCTCAAAATTTCACATACGCAATTCTTATTTTTTTTGTATTTGCCGCTTTTTTAAGCTGTTCGATCGCTTCAAAACCACGTATAGCTGCTAAATGAATTTCCGATTTGGTGGACGGCCGTTTGGAACGGACGTGCAGATAAGGAAAAACTATGCAGGACTTCCGGCTTGGGTAGCAAGATTTTACAATTTTTCGATAGTCAGTTCTGTTAATGGATTCCAGGTCTTGACAGTCCCTTTAAAAACTATAAAATCATCGAAAACTTACTTGCTTACTTGAGAAAATAGTTTTATTTGCAGTTTCCCTTTCGACAACCTGATTAAAAATTACCGGTATCCAACGTCACTTCTCTGCCACTTTAAAGGGGAGGTAAGACACAGTGATCGATTTTGTAGGATGTGGATTTCCTGATTTTGACGCAACGCGTGAGCCGCTTGTCCATGGCGAAAAACCTAAATTGATTGCGCAATAGAAACTGCAGTAGGCGTCGCGTGTTGCGGGCAACGAATCCCTAGCAACAAAATCCATATCTGCCGCGCCCCACCCTTTAAAGTCATTGTTTTTACTTTTAAGGGACATGCCAATCCATTTCCAGCCTTCAAAAATTCCCATGAAACCGCCCGGGCCCGTTTGTCGACGCCACATACCGGGAATCACACGGGCTCTAATACGACCGCTTCGTATCGTCGATGATCGCCAATGCTTGTGCTATTCGGCCATGCCGATGGTTTCGTTTTGGGGCGCGGTCTGTGAGCCCCCTGTATGCTTCTCTCTCTTTCCGGGGGGTCTCTTCTGTTCTGTGGGTGTGGGGGGCGCTTCGATCGGCGGCCCGGGCGCAACGTGGCAAATATGGCAGGGAGGGGGGCGGATGCCGATGTATATGGCTTGGCCTGGCACTGTAGCTTCTCGTATCTCCATAGCTGCTTCCACATCCATGGCCACGTCGTCGCGCCGGGTGACACGCTTTTGTCCCCGGGTGGGAGGGCGAGGCCGGCATAATGGAGAAGCTTCGGGTTGTTGGGGTGAGAGCCGGGCTTTTCTATCCTTTGAGATAATTGTCAGCTAGGTTTGACAGAACAGCAAGTTTTTATTATTCGGCCTGGAAAGTGGGTATTTTTGTTCGAGTCGTACTGTATTTTTCACATTTAAATTTACAAATTTTCGCTTCCAGCAGCTTTTAAGAGTTTTATGAATGTCTTAAAGAGATATCGACAGCAATGCTGTTTTTCGAGCGTATTAGCAGGCGTTTTACCTTTTTTGTAGAAGCCTAGACAAACTTTAAAAACACTTTTAATTTTTGGCGGTTCGTTACCTTATTTTACATTTCTAAGCTTTTACACGTAAAACCTTTCGATCCTTTGCAGAAGATTTATTTCATTTTTAAACTCTCTACTTCTCGGAAATTTCATAGCAACTTTAATTCGTATTTTAAAATGCTTCTCTACTTTTTACACCAGCTTTCAAACAACTATGCTCTAGATTTTTCATTGCAAAATCTTGTACAGGCAAATTCCCATATTTGTTTCTCTATTTTTTTCCTCAAAACTAAAAACTGAAAACCACCCCAATTCCCGCTTCCTTAAAAGACCCCACCCATCGCGAGGCGATAGTGGCTATCTTTTCGATACTTTGTAAGCCAAGCCTTGTATGAATACGGGGTGGTCCGGTTGGTTCAAGTCGGGTGATAACGGCGTTATCTCCCGAATTTCGCCCCTACACCCCTTGCACCTCGGCTCGTATTTAGTTCATAGCGTTCGGCTCGATTTCATGTTTACAAAATTGTTTCGGTACTTAATTTCCATGTTTTAATCGTTTAAAAATACTTCAAAGGTATATTTCAGCATGTAGTCCATCTCGCTCAACACTTTACGGTCTTTACAACCCAGTATTACGTATGTAAATTGATAGTCCAACAATTAGGTGAGTTATTTTAGGACTGAAGGGTATTCCAAGTATTTAAAAAAAGAAATTCAAAACAAAAAAAAATATTTTTAGCAATTCTAGCCCAAATCCACGCATCGTCTGAGTGTACTTCTAGTCAAGTGTACAGCCGTAGCCTATCGACGACTCTTCGAAAAAACTGCAAACTAGCCAGGACTACCAAAATACAGTATAAATCTAAGTTCCAAATAATTTTACTAATTTCTATCTTCATTTACAGCTTTAGTCCCCCGACTCTATACTTCTAAACATTCCATGTGCCTCCTCTTCTTCCTTGTGATGACTGTGTGATTCATTTCGTGACAAACCCCCAAAAGCGCAAGCTGTGATATGTGTACATAGAACTTTTTCTTTTCCTTATTTGCCTTTATTTTCATTGCCTTTATGCCTTTAAACTTCTTTAATTTCATAATTTTTCACTTGGGAATTAAAGAAGCGATTTTGGGCCGGAGCCAACAGGCCAAAAGCTAGAAAAACCAAGCGGCAATGCTAGGTTTTCAGCTTTTGGTCAACAACTTGTAGCCCGGAAGTCACTCTCGCTTTTCTAAACCCTTCTAAAACAATTTCCAATCTCCAAAATGCCTTTTCCAAATACTTCCCCTTTAGCTTTAAACCTTGTTGATGAAATAAATCTGTTAATCCGCTAAAAACCGCATAACGAAGTTTATATGAGTACAAAAAGTGGGAACCATAAACACATAAAGAATAGTGAAATGATATGAGACATAATGGCCAATCCAGAAAAGCTTCGATCACAGGTAGAAATACCGGAAAGCGGGGCCGTCATCACAAGGAAATCGTCTTTTTTGTGCATGTAGGAGGGGAGAAAGCACCACCAAACAAATCCGTCACTAGAAGGTATTTGATAACTAGAAGGGTTTGGAAGCTCAAAAACGTGGGTAAGAAAAAAAGCACCTACTCGTAATTCGCTATTTGGGGTTGCAGATTGTGAATATGGAAAATGGGAATGTTAGCGGGGGGGATTGTAGGACTAAAGCGTATAAGTGGTTATCACAAAGGCACCCATAAAATTGAGGTTTTGGACGAGGCCTAGGCGGTTTCGTGGAAAAGTTTTTGGCTGATTTCGGAGAGGGCAGAGTAGGTGCCGGTGGAGAAGCCGATCAGCGCAAAGGTCAGCAGGAAGCCGTTTTTCAGCCAGGCGAAGAGGTCGAGACGGCGTTGTGCGTAGAGGACCTGAAAGTCCATAGTTTGCATTTTTCTCTATTAATTTTTTCAAGACTTCCTTCTCATCAGCGTTAAATCAAGACAAGACTCACCAAAAGCTCGATGCAAGGCGGGAAGACCAAAGCCAATGAAGCACCAGAGAAAGCGCCAATCAACGAGATGAACAGGGCCAGATGAGGAATCGCTTCCGCTAGCATACCTGAAAAAGAATTTAGATTTATACTTCAAAACCTACAAGTCAGCATCACTCCTCCAAACCGTGCGGCATAGATGTAGAGCGTCTGCTTCTCGGCCGGAATCTTCCTGGTCACCCATTTCTCGACTCTAAAATCAGTTAAAATTAAGAATATCGAAAATCAGCACCTTTCCATCGGGACGTAGAACTGGAGCGGGTAGGAGATCATGATGCAGAGGACGAACATGATCTTCAAGGTCTGGTAAAAACTAAAAAAATGATTAGAACCTTAAAATATTGGCTTACGGTGTTAGGGGCAAGTTGAGGGTGGCAGTGTCCTTGACGGTATCGCCGAGAGCCAGGTAGCCGTAGAATCCGGTCACTAAAAACACGGTGATGATAACACCGATCGCAAATATAGCTGAAAACCTAGTTACAGTATCGAAACGTACTTGCAAAAATTGCCAGCACAACCATGCATGAAGAGTTGAGGACACCATTCCAACGAATGAAGTCGCCAGGCTGGTGCATACGGTTTTCAATGGGCATGATCTAAATAGAAATGCGCTGCTTTTATTGAACTACAAACCACAGCCACTCCTTCAAACGCGAACATGACGGTTCCAAAGAAAAGCGGCAAATCGGTGATCTTGCCGAACCAAGGAAGGGAATCGATGGGCCGTAGATCTAAAAAAATACCCTAGAAATCCCAATCCAAACATACTTGTAAAGAAGAAGTAAAGCACAATCCCGGCAGCAGCCAGGTACACAACATTTGCAGCCATCGCAAACGGCGCCAAGATGCTCAAGCGGCGGATCGAGCAGATCGCCTAAAATCAAAGTTAAAAATCACTCTGAAATCGATCATACCAAAATCGGAACCAACAGCAAAATCATCCACATCGAGATCGACAGCTTGACGTCAAGGTTTGTACGGAAGAACTGAAAAAAGATTAGCGTGGCCTGGGTAAAGCTTACATCTTCCAAATTATCCGCCATAAACACGAAATAGACGCAGCAGAAGCCGAGCTGCGCGATGAACATGTTGACGTTGACGAGTTGCCTGAATTCTGAACTAAAAATAAAACGTTATAGTCGTACTTGAAGAAATAGCCGCGATTTCGGATCCAGTCTGGGCCCATCTCGACGGCGAGACGCATGATGTTGGCATAGTCGACGAGTTCACGTCCGCTCCTAATAAGCGAAGGTATTAAATTGAATATTAAAATGTAAAGTACCTTGAGCAAACGAAATGTGAAGCCCAGACGACTTGACGCATGCAGTAGAGGCAAATAACGCAGATCATCACGATCAGGATCAATCCCAGCATCAATCCAGAGTATTTGAAGGCAAGCGGAAGTGAAAGAAGACCAGTGCCAAGCATCGCCTAAAATAAAAAGGTTTTTACAAAGCTTTTCCAACAGTTTCAAGTTTTTCTAGCATATTGTGATACAAATCACAAACCTTAACCATATGTACAAACGCCTGCTCCGCCGTTAGTGATGAAGCACTCTGGGAACGTTCCTAGAATGACAAAAATTATAAATGATGCATTTTAAAACGTACATGAAAGAGATATTGATCTTCATTTGTCGATCCATCATGTTCTGACACGCCGACGGCAATTATTGGGGTGGGCTGTGCGGGGACGCTCGCCGATACCTGTAAAAACCACAAATAACTCTCAAGTTTTCAATGCAAAAATCAAAACAAACTAAGAAATATATAAAACAAACCGGATTCGAACCATTGGCCGGCTGATCTTCATGATAGCTCTGGTAGTTGGGGTCGTCCATGCTATAATCGATAAATATAAGTGGATCAATAAGAATTCGAGATGAGAAGCTGAAGGAAAAGCCGTATGGAGTGATTTGGGATGAGACAAAGTCGAAGAGGTCATTGTATGTCCAGTTCAAAGGACCATGTGAGACAAAAGAGGGAGGGCTTGTTGTCTCTCTCTGTCTCCTCAGGGTGTGTTTTAGAAAACAAGCCTTTCGGGGAGGGCATCCAGAAGCAAAACAGTGTTGGAAAGGGTTTGTAAACTATAAAAATTAGCTGTTTTGGGCTTAGATAGCTAGTTCCCGCTGGGTTAGTCGAAAACTACATTTTTTTTGGTCTTGAAACAGGGCGAGTGCGTTGTCACTTTCATAAGATATTTATGCCAAAAGCCAATGCTTTATATAGAGGCAAAAATGCAGCTGCAACATATTTTAAAAATTAACAAAGGTGTCATTGGTGCTTGTGAAGCTTTTGAAAAATCAATAACGCTTATCGCGCTTCTGCGTTTTGCTAAAACACACTAATGATGGTTCAAGCTTATAGATATCTTTAATCCCAAATTTTCCTAGAAAACTATCGTTTTTAAAAGAATAAAGAATGCTCGATATCTCGCAAAAAGAAGAATGAACTGAATTCAAAAATGTGAAAAATATGTTTGCCCCGGATCCGGGTGAATCAATCCCCCCTTCCCCCGCCTCCAGCCGCTCCTGTTTACATTTATTTCAATTTCTCGACAGCCGCACATCGTAAACAACATAAAACAATCGAAAAATAGAATTTTGTTCGGAGATTTAAATAGATATAATTTGCTTAGAAAACAAAGGGAAAGTAGAAAGAAGGATCAATAAATTAAGGAATGAATTAATGGAGGGCAGGTACGGAAGGACGGCAGTTTAGGTTCGGTGGGGTTTCATACCACTCCGGATTTTGTACAAGTTTGATAAAGGATTTGTAGTCTTGACCGGGATACCACCAAGCGGCATTGCACCACAACCATCGTCCCTTACTCTCCGTACCCCTGTCGACGTCCTCCGCCACGTTGAAGGTGTTCACAGGATACTTGGCCTGCAACAAAAAGCCTTGCGGCGCTTTTACATAGCAGTTTTATCAAAAATCTATTAATAATCTGAAGTTAATACTTTTGTTAATAAGAAGGATTTCGTCACCTGTATACGTGCGAGCTTGCTGGCTTCAGACTCGTCGTCGTCGCTGTCTATTAGGTCGGTGAGGGCAGTGCCACCCAGAATTTTTTTGCTTTTTCCGACTCTTCATCCTCTTACCTGTTTGTTTACGCCGTAGCTTTCAGCCCCGTGCCATTCGCATTGGAGGTGAACGCAGTAAGAAGCATCGACGAATATAGTAACGGTGTCAGAAAATATAGCCAAGGCGTCGGAAAAGGTAAGAGAAAATGCGGAAAGGACCAGGAATAGTGCGAGACGCCCCATCCCCACCTACTGATCGAGTCCCACATCGAGGCGGGCATAATACTATCCATATAATCAATTGACCTTGCGCTGATTCGATCTCGCGCTCTATCTAGCTGTCTCTCTCTCTCTCTCTCACTCTCGCTCTCTCTCTCTCTCTCTCTCTCTCGCTTTCTCTCTATCGCCCTGACAGGAGTTGACCGGACGATGGAGGTGAGGTTTACATTTATTTCCATTTCTCGACAGCCGACCATCGTAAACAACATAAAACAATCGAAAAATAGAACTTTGTTCAGAGATCTCAGCGCGTAGAAACCACATGGAAGCTGTAACTACATTGGAAATCAGGGTTGCTTTGGTTTTTGATGACTGCAGGAATCAAGGGGGGTTAGGTCAAAGGGATTATCTTTGGCAATGGAATGAAGCGTGATATTATTAGCGGTTTTTAATACAAAGAAAACAACGGCGAATCGGGACGACCGATATACAAAAGAACCCTGTAGATACGGAGGATTGAATTTAGGAAGAATGGAACCTGAATTTCAGTGGTATTTTTGGCTTCAAATACAGTTCGCTGGAGGTTCTTTCCGTGAATATTCAATGAAAGATTCAGAAATTTCGAGCAGCGCAGGGTCCTGGAACAAGATTAGGATTTTTCGATATAGGACAACTTACAGTAACGCTTTCTTTACAACCTCGTTGCCTTCCGTTTCGACGTCGGTGTATCGGGGTGGATTCAACGATGCGTTCCTAAAAATTTAGCCTATAGTTTCGGTCATAAAGTTTTTCTACCTCCAATTCGTGCATGGGATCACAGTTCAGCCCTTCTTTACAGGGAACAAACACCGGGGCGGCTTTTCTGAAAGGACGGAAGTTTTCTGTATTCTAATTGAGATTTCTACCTGCCCAAAACCCAAGCGAAGTCGATGCGCGCTGTATAAGCATGCATCTTGATTCCGGCAAGATTCCGGATACGACGATGTCTAAAAACCATTAAAAAAAGTCAAAATTATAACTTACGAGTCGACAGATAAAAGCTGGCTGAAAAACGATAGTAAATCGGTTGGCCAATGGGTGGGGTACGGTACAGCCGTTTCGCGAAGGATTAGGAGAGCCTAATTTGCATATTTTGGGGAGGTTTAAATTTCTAAAAACCTGTTCCGGAAGTTGAGCTCCTGTTAGTTCATATGGGCATCTACCACGCAGCATTTCGTAAAAAGTGATTCCCAGGGACCACCAGTCGACTTTTTCATCGTATCTGGAAATTGAAACGACTTTTAATGGACGTTATTAAATACTTACCCATTGACAAGGCCAAGTCCGCTTTCAAAAATTTCGGGCGCCATATAGGGGCGAGTCCCTGAAAAATTGTTTTTAACTAATTTAGATAATTTTTCTGTTTTTATGAGTATTTTACTACGTTTCTTCTTGCTCCAGGGTAATGAGTAATTTCCATACCCGAAAATGACGTCGCCCGCTCCCCGGCGCTGAGCTGGGTGGCCAAATTAAAATCGGTAAGGTGGGCATGGCCCTGCTCATCCAGGAGGATATTTTCCGGTTTGATGTCCCTATAAATTGGGTATAATTTGGGGGTACATTTTGTACCTATGGACGATGCCCTGTTCGTGGAGATATTCAATGGCTAGGGAGAGCTCACAGACGTAGAGTTTCGATCTACATGATACCTTAAAATTAAAAGAAAAATTTAATACCTATCTTCCGCAAATCGGCCTTGTTGATTTAGATGAAATCGAAGATCTCCGCCTAATAGAAGGTCAGATACCATATACATATATGAAGCATCCTAAAGCGTAGCTTATTCCAAAAAATGGCGAAATTCACATACCTGGAAAGTATACCACAAATTAACAATAAACGGATGCGATATCTTCGTTAAAATCCGCAACTCTCTGATGACATTTGAAGCAACCCCCTTCTCTATACACCGCCTCTTACTCATATATTTCAGGGCATAATATTGTTTTGTAGATCGTCGCTGCACAATGCAAACCTGAGGCCTGGTTATAAAAACTTAATATGCAAATTACCTTCCCGAACGCGCCTCTCCCAATGCTTCTAATAACCGAAAAGTTGTCGAGGGTCGGCGGGAAATTGCTGTCGGGCCCTCTGGAGCACAGACCGCCCATCCATCCGGGACGGTGGCTTATCCCGAAGGTGGGACCGGCATCTGGAGCATTAAAAATTGTAGAAGTTTAGGAATAAATGAGCAAGAGCTAAAAAAGGGAACCCTAGGGTCGTCGTAAAAGCTAGTGGATGCGCGCGGATCACGAAAGCGGCGAGTGGGATTAGGAGGGTGTGGGGGAAGGGTTGGCCACAGCGTGAGGAGAGACCCAAAAAGGGGCCCAAGGGCCCAAAGTGAGAAGGGATGGGTGAGAAGTGCACAATTAATCCAAAAACTCACTCTTTAAAAAAACCTATTCTTATATCCTTCAAAATAACGCCCAAAACGACTTAGAAGCTATAAGCAATTTCTTAGCCAAAAAGCTTTGCCCGTGGCTAGCAATATATGGCGTGTCTATTGGCCCCACATGGCCCGCAGGGGGGCTCTCCCCATAGCCCCAGAGGGGGAATGGGCCCTTTCCATTCTGGACTCTGCCCCTCCCTCCTTTCACCCCCTCCCCTCCCTTTAGAAGCCTTTTCCTGCCATCTGGACCATCATATGTCATGATCTCTCCTCTTCTTCGCATTCTCGCGCTCACTTTGGCACTCCCCTCCGGCTCTTGCTCCCGACTCGCAACACAATATAAGTGGGAGGCCGAGCAACCCGAAAGGGGGAAAAGGAGCAGCCAGAAGTTATTTGGGAGGAGGAAAGGAAGGATGCTGGGCATGGGAGATACTGCAAAAATAAGAAATCTATGGTGTTTATGCTAAAATGTTACTATTAAATGCTAAGTACACACTATATAAAACCTAAAATTGTGTTCCAAACCCGAACAAAAAAACAGTTTGGTCACCGAAGAACGGGCGGCGGCTGGGAGGAACTCTAATTGCCTGAAATTTTGCGTGTGAACGCTCCCAGACACATCGTAGTTGAGCCCGACAGTCTGGTGCTCCAAATCTATACTATATTTCTAAAAATATTTAATTGTTTATAGTTTGTAGAGCCACGGAGAACGGCCACGGAGCGACTCAGAAATTCGTCAAAACTTTTATTAAGTATTTTCTAGCTTCAAAATATAATTTTTCTGGATCCCACAGAGGAGCACAACATCGTGGACTAATTGTGCCGGGCTGAGGTGAGAAATTAGGGGGCAGATACGATCTCCGCGTCCACGGTCCCCCGATTCGCATCAAACTTGGCCCGGTCGCATGCCCCTCATTCCACACGGATTCCCGTTTATTTTTGCGTGGTATTTGCTCTAGACGGCGGTGGCTAAAAAAGGGAGTTTCAGTTTTGAGGAATTATTGGTTGTCCGATAGCCTTAAATCCAGGGTTACACAGACATGTTTTACACCCCTAAAAATATTCTTTCTAGCGGAGCTTACCGTTCTCTTCAAGAGCCTTTTAATTGTATATAAAATTACGCCGATCCGAGCTACTTTCGGAAAGCTAACGTTAGGTTGTAAGACACCCAATTTACCCAAAAACGGTTCCCAGACGATATTCTAAAACCCTTGCCCTCCCCGTTTCTTCTCATTGTACGGGTCAGTGTCTGCAGCGTTCCTCGAGTTCAAAAGAAAGTGATGAGTCCGGTGGTTGAGTCAGGAGAAGCCATATCGGGAGCCCTTCTCCAAATATCGTGTGGTGCAACCAGCCCTCGGGGGTTGGAGGCCGATTCCCGCACGAGTGTGTCCCTCCTCCCGGGCCTAGGTTTGGGTGGGTTGCGGTTTGTTGCGGGGGGAGAGTCTCGGCTCGTTTGTTCTGCAGCCACGTTTTGGACGGGGGGGGTGCATTTCGTACTATGATTGTGGTACCGGCGGGGTCTGGGGGGGGGTCCGTTTTTGCAACTATACGTGCTGAATTGAGGGTAAGGAATGTCCTTTTTAGTGGCTAGATTTTCGCTTGAGCCCCAGCTTATCTAAGGCTTTACCTAGGCCTAAGCTAAGCTAATAAGCCTAAGCTTAAAATTTTCACCATTTCACGTTTATAAAAAGTTTTAAGGGGACTGGCATGGCAAAATCTCGTAGATTGCTCTTCCTCCTTTTGCTTTTCAATTTATAGATTCAATTCAAATTCCTTGGCTTATTTTAAGCCTCTCCAAACACAGGATTTCCTAGATTCGTCAGATCTTTTAGAGAAAACTACAAATTTTATACATTTTAGCAATTTTTAAAGGGCCCGGCAACGCTAAATCTATCCATATTTACTCTTCTAAACCCGCTTTTTCATTCCAATCCTCTCATCCAAAGTTTTTGTTCTATTTTAAGCTCCTCCAAAAATCGGCTACCCCTAGCCGAGGGTTGTCTTGGGCAGCCGATGCACTTTGGACATCCTTTATGGGGGATGGAGGGTGGTCTATTCTTGGTGGGGTTCGTGCCGGGGGTCAACGGACCCAAAATTGCCACCCATCGGCTACCATCAACCCCCGGAGGGCCGCGCCCAGATCGCCGAGGCTGACCGCTGGTCCGACTGGCACCAGTTTGTCTCTTTCTTAAATTTTCTGGGGAGCGGATACAGTATTCGTAGGCTACAGTCTGTTGTATTTCTGTGGTTTTGAGGGCTGATTCGGATCTATTAATGCGTAAATCTATTTTAGGTATTGAGAATCCTTTAAATCACAAATAATCCACCCCCCCCGCCACCTACCACCCTCCTCTCGATGCTTTCAGGGTCAAGTAGGCATCAAAGTGGGTCCATTCTTCTTCCCTGACTCACCCGCCGTACAGTCTGTTGATGAAATTGACCGGTTCTAACGCCCGGAATTTTGGAATTTATTTGAGCTAGAGCTCACCCTCGCCACGGTATCTTGCTTCAAATATGATTACCAATAGCTGTAACTGCATGATGATCCTCACCCTAAAAACTATATGCAAATAACTTCCTCCACCTTCTCTCAAGCCCCCCACCGATTGTTCACGAGCAATGTTTTGAGCTCGAGCTCACCCTCACCTTACAACACACGCTTTGACACTGGATACCCACTCTCCCCACTTCAGTCCTGACCAAGATACGTCGGCCACTTCAAAAGCTTTTCCTCCTCCTTCTTCAGCCTTTAAAAAAATTCGGCATCTTCGTTAAGGAAATTGGAACGCTGAGAATTTCGTGGTCTGACTGGGACAACTTATGTTATTGTTATACTATCTGACTCCTTTGGGTTAAGTTTTTGTTCCTTGTCAGGATCATTCGCTAGAACATCCTATTTTTAATGCATAGGTCCAACGAATTTCCAATTTGATCTCTGCTTACAAACTCCACCCCACAATATTGGCCCCCATCCTGCGTCCAGGTAGTTACGGGCTCATTTAGCGGTGTGTAAAACCACTCACCGAATGGGTTGTTGCTCCAAGGGGCGGAATGGCGTAGGGCCCAGTGGAGACCCAAGGTCCAAGTGACCCTAAGATCAGACCGAAAAAGTTAAGTTATGATTTTCTATATTTCTATGCAAAAAGTAGATTTTTTTACAAAATTCAAAGCCAGACGGGTTGCTCAGTGGTTCGAGGATTAATTCGATTTTTGGGGTTCGATAGATTTAGGGTCGATTTGGAAGATTGGGTGGGCTAGACGGGGCTTTTTCCTTTGAAATGGTCTGGAATTTTTATTTTGCATCTGAAGTACAGTAGCTTGTCATGCTTAGCCTAAGCCTAAGCCTAAGCCCAAGCCTAAGCCCAAGCCCAAGCCTAAGCCTAAGCCTAAGCCTAAGCCTAGGCCCAAGCCTAAGCCTAAGCCCTAAGCCTAAACCTAAGCCTAAGCCTAAGCCTAAGCCTAAGCCTAAGACCAAGCCTAAGCCTAAGCCTAAGCCTAAGCCTAAGCCTAAGCCTAAGCCTAAGCCTAAGCCTAAGCCTAAGCCCAAGCCTAAGCCTAAGCCTAAGCCTAAGCCTAAGCCTAAGCCTAAGCCTAAGCCTAAGCCTAAGCCTAGGCCCAAGCCTTAGCCTAAGCCTAAGCCTAAGCCTAAGCCTAAGCCTAAGCCTAAGCCTAAGCCTAAGCCCAAGCCTAAGCCTAAGTCCCAGCCCAAGCCCATTCTCCACAACTACACGAAACAACCAGTCCCTTGTTTTCCCAGCCGTTTCCGGCGAACAGCTATAGCCAAACTTTCTCCCCGCAGCCAGTAGACGTGGGGGTCTTCTTCTTCCTGCTGCAAAAAGAGGAGGCGTTTTGATGAGATTTGCAGCAGCCGATGACCCGGGGGCCAGAAGGGAAAATCAGGCTCCTCGGCCGCCCATAAACCACTTCCGTTTGGGCGTCTTTTGCGCCTTTTTGGGGCGTCAAAAACGGGCTTCTTTTTTGGGGGGCGTGGGGGACCTGTCTGCACGTGGTGGTTGTATAGTTTTTTTCGTTCGAAGGGTCATAAGGAAGTTGTCGTTGTAGTTTGTATTATTGTATATTTACCACGTTTTTGTTGTTTATTTTGCAAAGATAAAGCTGACTTTAATATCCTACTATATATAAAAAAATAGTGTCTGTGTGTGTGGCTGTGTGTGTGTGCCACTTTGCATCCACTTCCGTCTGTCTGTCCGGGGGATATCTCGATAGGGGATGAAGTTACGGGTATGTTTGATACGTCATTAGGTGCGCAATGGTCTTGAGATGACTGCACACAAATCAAATTTTACAAAATCAACCATTTTCGACATTAAATTTAAGTTTTTGTGAAAGCTCCTTTGTTAGGAAATAATTAGCATAGACCGGAAGTGGTGATTCGGCTATATAAAGGCACAGAAGAAGTTGTTTTTCATTGTTTGTCATCTGAATTCAGGACAATTATGTAAAGTGAAGGATAACATAGGGTTAGACGGGGCCAGGGTTGAAAAGTCGCGAAGCGGCTTTTCAACCCTGGTTTAGATCTAAAAATTTACCTACGAAATGACGTTAATTAGGCCTTAAAGGGAAAGTGACAGCGCCAGGCGCTCAAACTCCCAGACTCCACGCTGATTCCTATCTCGAAAATCGTGCTCTGACCCTTCCTCCCAATCACTGACCTCACCATGCCCTCTAGCTGGAACGATTTGTTTTTCGTTCAGCTGTAAT